TGTCTTTAGATAATTCTATCTTCGTCAGGTTATCTTATGGCCTAGAAGTTTGCTTGGTAATAATAATAAGTATTAGGGGGGGGGTAATAATAATAAGAGTAGGGGAATTTAATATGACATTCCTCTCCGGATAAATGCTATATGATTAATATGAATAATGGAAAGCAACAATAAGTCTGGCCATGCGGTTAAATATATAAATGAAACCACTCACAATAGTCAGAGTATACATCAGCGGAATCAATAGTTAAAGCTCTTAAAATAATGGAAATGAAAAGTATATCTGCATAATAGTAACCCCCTTGGGCTTTTAATTCTGAAAATATATATACTTTGAGTAGGAAAACTGAAACATTTCCAGATAGTACTACTGCTTAAAAACACATCAAGATAATAAATGGCGAAGCAATAACAGTTAAAAATTATTGAGGTGTCAGGCGCAGCGATTTATGCATAATTGCATGGCCAATAAAGCGTATGAAATCGGCGTTAAAATGTCAGCAACGATTATTGGCCTCCAGATCGGGTTGGACAGTTAAGCTGGTTGAGTGCTTGAATTAAAAGTAAATTGTTATGTTAAAGCCTTTTGGGCTGACACGTTGAAAGGCAGAGCCGACACATCATTAAAAATATGGCTGGCACAGCAGAAAAAATAATCAAGGAGTTGGACTTGGAGAAGCTGAAGTCCTGGGGCAGACAGCTCAGACATTAGTCCTTTTGCAGGGATATGGACAGAGAGACAGACTGGCAGTCAGCACATTATAGGTAATCACAATATTTATGTGCGTTTAACGAGAGACACTGTCGGTGGGCGAAATTGTTGAAACAAATCATTGACAGCTGGCACAGCAGCCACACATTTGCGGTGGTCTTCATTGTATTTTAGGAACTTTTTTTCTTCGTTTTTTGTGCTTTCGTGTTTTAAGACATTTGGTTTTTTGTTTCCTTTTATTGCTGAGGAATTTGCAGCAATAAATCAGATCTCTCTTTTTTTTTACTCTGCTTAAATTGAATCTCCCAAGAGCCGAGGCGTAGGCACATTAAGTTGACAAATAATGGCAGCCATTACAAATTGGATGTGAATTGTGCAAATTATTTCAGGGAATATTTTATTAAATTCGAATTAGGGCTGGAATATTTTTTGCTTGTTATACAGCAGAGTGGCAACAAGTCCAAATCTGTTAAACTTTTCATTGCCCAATTTGTATTTAAATGTTGGCCATTGTTACAAAGCAATTAGCAATTAAAATGTTTTTTTTTTTTGGTTTAAACTTGCATGCTAAAAAAGGCCATTTTATGTTAGTTTTTAGGAGTTTCCTGTAAATTTCCTGGTAGAAAAACCCTGCGATTGTTTTATTTATTTAAAAGAATGTAAATTAGTCCCTCCTAACGAACTTTGAGTCTCGGTATTGTGACCCAATTTCTCAAACGATTTAACTTGAATAAATAAATTAGCTACATTTATTTGAATTCGGGTGAGCAGAACAGCGAAACAGAATGTAAAAGATTCAATTAGGCATATTAGAGTGGCAACAAATCAGTGGCACATTCAGCTGGAGATGATAAACTTTGGCCGGAAGTTTCCGGCAGCAGTGCAGCATACGAAAATAAATTCTTTGGGAAATGGAAAAGTCAGGGAAAAGTGATAGACAGTCTGTCGGCGTATCTTTATTGCAATCATCTGTATGTGTGTGTTTTTTCACGAAGAAACGTGGGCGTATAATAGACAACTTCCTGTTATTGCCGGCCCATCCCAAGTCAGACCCTCCCAATTTCTGTCTTTTTTCGATCCATCGGCATGGTAAATTCGTGAAGTGTAAAGTAACCCAGAAAAGTCAACAAATCAATGGTGAAGTTTCAATTTTTTTCCTTGGGTCCTCTTTTATGTCTGTGATACACGTAAAGTTGCGATTAGCCTGGAGTTCAATGTTGAATGGATACAAATAAATTGGGTGATTCCTTTCCTCGATAAGAACGTGACGAATGGCAAATCTTAGTCCTTTTTCAGATTGACTTTAGTAGGTGGATAGATTTAGGCCAGGAAAATAACCAGATCTTTTAGCTTTCGCGGTTTTTTTACATTTTTTACATTTTTATGGGTTTTAAAGTGGTTTGTAATATTGTAGGTATTCTATCGAAAGCTACCCTTATTTCCTACATGTTGATTTATGAAGTAAGCAGTAAGTACAAATATAAAATCGAGAATATCATAATCAATGCATCAAAAATGTCAGTCGCTAGAAATTGAAACAAACCAAAGCTACAAATGCGATTTGCAATTTTACACGCACGTATCTCTGAGCAAATATGTATCCTGGGGATGGAGAGACTTCGGAATTGGACTGGGCAAATAGCGCTCATACGTGATATGGCTGGCACTTCTATTGCATACATCTTGGCTAGCTGTCCTTGCTCCTCACTTTGGCTAATGTTTTTGACGTGAATGGGTTGGGTTGCAAGTGAATATGGTCGTTTGGGAGCTGAAAGGGATTTCTGGTTCAATTCACACAACATCTTGAAAGGAGGTCTCAAAGACACAGAAGAGTTTCAAACTTTATTCATCACATTTACACATGGAAGCAAAGGAAAAACATATCAAAAACTTTTGTAGTTTTGGAATTATATATATATTAACCAAAATCCCTTAGTATAGATTAAAATATCATTAAACCTGTGAATAAGTTTTGGAACTTGAGCAAAAACCTAAACTGTTATTATTTTTTCTGTGTGCAGTGTTATTTATGCGCATTTTCCTGGCATATTAACGCCACACAAGGACATGATTAGCCTGAGAGTCCAAACTTATAAGCTCGTAAAATTGTGTAAAAGGAGACCCGCATATGTTGCCCGGATTGCATGTCAACGCTGGCCACGGCCAAGTCAACAACTTCATAAATATGTCGAGCATGTGTAGCTCGGATGACTGACCCCAGGAGTTCTCCACCCACGGAAGGAAGCAGGAACCCGGACCCTCTGGCAGAGATTTGTGCCACATCATCGCTCCGAGCTGACCATTTTTACGCTTCCGTCTAACAACAAAATGGCATTAAACGCAGATCAATCACAATCAACACCGCTGACCCACAAATATATCCTCACAAAGATACATGACTTGTGGTTTGGAGTGGGGCAAGAGATTGATTTTGAGTCGGCAATAGAGTTGTCCTCATGTGTATATACATTTCTTATTCTTCTTTTGGTGAGTGTTGACTGCTCATGACTACTGGCTTTCCACTGATAGTTTTCCTTTAAAAAGTTTTCCATTTACTCGACCTTCTGTTTCGCTATTTTGCCAACTTCCGCAATTGCTGGGACAACAAATGAAGCTGCCGAAACTTAAGTTTTTCTTGAACAACAACAAGTGCACTTGTTTAACTTTATCTTGCCTCAATTTCGCTATTAATTGGCAAACACCATTCAAGCCGCGTTTCAAGCCAAGGGCCATTGTGGTTTCACAACCTCCTTTTCCAGTTTTTCGCCCAGTTGGTTAGTGTAACCGCCACTTGGAAACAAATTGTCAACTATACATTCCCAAGGAAAATTTAATTTTGTGCCAAGTTGCGGAGAGTCTTTGCCTTGGTTTATTCATGCACATCAGTCTGGCTTACACTTGATAACTCACAGCTGTAGTTGAGGTCTGTTCAGGTTGAAGTACATTTATTTGTACAGCTTGCGGACATTCTTGGTAATTTAAATGGGTCAAAACGTGGCTGACGGAATTGTTTTCCTATTTATAACTCAAATTATTATCCCCAACTGAACTTTGCTGGAATTAATGGAGTGTTGAATTAAACAACTCTTAACGAAACAAAGAAAGTTTCTCTCTTTTGTGATTTTGCAAATAATTAAATTTCTGTAAGTTTGTCTACATTAGCTAAGTTTTTTTCTTGACGTTTAATTTAGTTTATTCAATTAGTCACATCTCGCATGCAGCTCTTCTTAAGTAAAATTCTATCAACTTAAAGCATATTTAATTTTAGAACTATAACTTTGAACTATGTTCAGTAAATGTTTAACACCGAAGTCAGAACTTCAATGAAGTATTTCAAATATTTTCTTGCAAAATTCCCAAAATTCTTTCAGAAAAATTGCTGCGGCATAAAGAAAACTTTGACAACTCGCGGTAATACTTCATAAGTGGTTTATTTTGTTCGAAAATAAAATATTATCTTGGAAACGCTGCAAGTGAATAGTTTAAAGTTATATTAGCTTTTGATTTTGCCTTGGCATTTCTTGAGTGTAAGCTTGTAAAGCCGACATACAATTTGAATTTCATTTTAATAAAGCCGGCTTAATAAGTATTTCTATTAATTAAATTTTAATAATGTTGATTTACCCTTAGCTTTTCTTCCAGAAAAATGTCCAAAAATGCATCTTGAAAAGTTAAAACTAAAATATTCTTCTTTAATTCTTGTATTTCATTTAGTTTAAAATATAAATATACCTAATTAGATGAATTAAAGCTTAATTGGTGTGGCATACGGGACTCTAATAAAATTTCTAATGAAATTCCTAGTTCTGTGAACTGGCATATGTATTAACTTAATTAAAATAGTAAAATAATTCAAATAATATTGAAAATAGCTGACATTTAGTAAATAATTTCTGAAAACAATAAAACCAAATTAAGTTCTCCAACTGCAGGAAAACCTAATGACAGCCTGGTAATTAACTTCTAATGAAATTCCTACCATTTATTCGATCAATTAGCCATCGTTTTGCTAGCATTGTATTAATGAAATGTACAAAACTGAATGCAATCCTGACTGAACATGCAACATATGTGCATAATTGAGTCGCCGTTGCAGAATCGAAATCCAGGCTAGCAAATTAATTGCTGAGCTTAGCATGATTTCGCATTCAAATGTTAAGATTAATCACTGTCAACTAAATGCGAACGAATATATAAATTGAATAGATACTTAAGCGCTAAGAGGGCGACATGGATGGAGTCCAAGGCATGGCGCTTAGTAATTGCGCAATCGCGCCGCGATACTCACTCAAACTACGTGCCAAGCCATGAATTGCAATTGCAATTCCAATTGAATATTGTCCACTCGGTATGGAAATCGAAATGGAAATTGAAATTACACCACGGATTCAAATTGCAATCGAGAGTTCGGTGTTAAAAAATATGTTAAACAAGCGGCACTGCCAATTGGCCAGCGATTTCACTGGCAACTCAATTGACTTCGATGAGTCTGGTTATCTTGTCTTACAAGTATCTCGAGATGCACACGCGATGGCCAAAAGAATGGCGTCAATTTTAGGTAAAGTTATTTGGTAAAATCACTTTAATATTTTATTTTTTTAATATTTTTCTGTTTTTTTCTGGATAAAGAATATTTTATTGTTTTTTTGTAGTTCTTTAATCACAAAAACTCTTTAAGCTGTTGACAGTTTTTACGCTTTTGCCAAACAACCTTTTTAGCCACGCAGCGTTAAGAGATTTCGCGTCTGGTTCAAACAAAATTTCGCATTGAACTGAATTTCGGTGTGTGGCATCGTCGTGCGGATTTTCCTGTTTGGGCTGCTGCTGCTGCTGTTGCTGCTGCTTCTGATGTTGCTGCTGGTCGTGTTGCTGTTGCTGCTGCTGTTGCTGGTGTTCCGACAACGGCAACACGAAGGCACACGACAAGTGACCTGCCTGATTTCACCCCACATTTAAGTTAGCCGGCTAAAGAAGCCGACATCTGAACAACCGAAACAGCTGTTCTTTGTTTATGTTGCCGAACTTGTTTCTTTCTTTGCTCGGAGAATTGCTATTGCTATCAACATGCTGCATGTTGCTGCTGCACTTGACCAAACCACACGGATATGCAGCCAGAGCTGCTTGAGTGTTGTGTTAATATTTATAGCCAGTTGGCCAATTAATTATTTTGTTAGCTAGCCAGCTTCAAGGGGGCAAGTTGAAGATAGTGTTTGCACCAGCAACATGTTGCTAGCGGTCAACAAGAGCTTATTGCTTGGCAACATTAGGGGTGCTAAGAGCTTTCTTATCATGTTTTGATAAGTGAAGAAAATAGTTAATAAATATCAAATAAAAGGTTAAGAAGTACAGAAATTGAAGTAACAATCCACCCTTATAAAAGCTTTTTTTTGCATTTTCACTGCAAATTGCCTGACGATGTTTATGACTTTAATTGATCACAATGAAGTGAGGCAAAAAAATTTCAGCTGACCCAAATACCAAGAAATTGTATTTTCATTTCATTCAGTTTTCTGTGAAAAGCAAAACAAAAAATCAAAAACACGTACCCCACTGATCTTCAGTGTGTGTTTAAAAAATGGGCAACATAAAGAAATGCTTCGTTCTGGATTCGTGACAAAAAGCCATCAAAATTCAGAAAACAATCATCAGCAATCAAAGTCGAGTCAGAGTAATTTTTTATTAAATACAAAAAAATAAAAGCCGAAACAAAACAAAGCGACAGCAGCTGCATTTATGAGAAGGCTAGTGAGAAACTCGATTCGAATCGCGAAATTTGTTGGAAACTTTGGCAGCATCGCATAAATAAGCAAATTTATTTATTTCATATCTGTAGCTGGCAATTTATATCGTTGTAGCCTTTATTTATTGTGAACATTTTGTCATAAAGCACACGGCCCAGAAAGAGTGAGAACGGCGGGAAATTCGCGCTCGTCATGTTCGTCTGTCATCGGGGATACTTTAAAATAAATAAATAGCAATAAATAGGCTCTTGAATTAAGCAAATAAATAGGCGTAAAATTATTTACTCGCCGGTCATATATACTTTTTATTATAAATATCGGAAAATGAGAATGGTAAAGAAGAAATATTGTGACGAATTTTAAATGCTCTTAAAGAAGAAGTATAGCCTCTAAAAAATATTTAGAAAATTTCCTAATAAAGAACTAAAAACTAATAGCTGTGGGAAACCTCAAGATATACGAAATATTTTCACTCATGATGGACCTCATTTGATTTGAAACATTTAAAATGCACAGAGGAAGTTCTCAGTTCTTAGGAAATCAAGAAATTCCTTAGCCATCAACCAAAAATAGAAAACTAAAATCGTCCAAATGACGTATTTTGGGTGGGCAGTCGCAAAGTGTCCGGAAAAGTCTTGAAGATCTTGCTGACAGCCGACAAATTTATGCGTCTGTAAAATGCTGCAATGCTCACTTGCCTTTTAATTGGGCCGAACTGCAATTAAAAGTAAAGAAATGTCACTGCAGTATATTCTTTTTTTTACTTCATGTGGCTTACGAATGACCAACAATTTGTGGCCGAACAACTTTTGGTCACTTTTTTTGATGATTTATCTGCGCCGCGGGCGAACTTTCTTTCGGTGATAAATTTCTTGGAAATGTCGCTGCCTTAAGCTGTTCTAATGCCACGGCCCATCAAAAATTTATCGTTTCGCATAATGCTAATGACTAATATTAATTTGGGATGGCTCACGTTTTGTTATGCCAAACGATGTTCCTATAATTTTGTTGTCATTTTCTAAAAACTCCAAAGAAGTAGAGAGTTTTATTTGAACAACAAATAATGGTGATTATATTTCAAATAACCATAACAATGCCAGAATAAACAAAGCTTAACACAAGCTTTACTGAGAATATATACCAATAAAGCCTGCGTGACCTTTGTTGTTTCCTCAAATGTTGCAATATTTATGTGCAACGCATGCAATTCAAGGCTTCAAATGCACGCCAGGATCTTAAATAATAGCCAAATGTCGTCGGCTGTTCATGCTACATTTATATTTATGACTAGAAAAGGATGCTCACTAAACGCATTAAATGAGCTGTACTTGAGGTCGTTTGGGGGGAAATGAAAAGGGTGTGCATTAAATGAAAATTATTTCACACAGATATCATCTCGTTCCTAATAACATTCGCATGCAACAGATTGTCAACAAAATGATTTGCTGGCAGAAAAAGGAGAAAACTTAGAAGAAGGAGGCCTCCTGCAGTGGCCCGCAGCACACGCGTCGTATGCGCAATTTGCATAATGAGGACATGAGGAAAGGAGTTGTCTTGGGTTTTCCGTTTCAGGGCGCAGTCCCCACGGACAGATGACCCAATTTTCAAGGGTCCTTCAGCACTTTATTGAGCCCCTTTTTTGCCAATCCCTTTTTCACTTTTCCAGTCGGTCTTAAGTGTCTGTAACCTGAGGCTAAGCGATCTATTTTCAGCAGTCCAGACATGGCCTTAAAGCAGCTAGTTGTCTGCTTAAGGATTCATCCTGCGTGTCTCCGCCTGCTGAATCATTCGCCTTGGATACACACAGCCTCCTCAGGCAGTTCAAAGGTAAATAATCGGATAAATATTTGTAATAATTTCTTGAACGATGAACCACTTCCAAGGCGAATAGAGCAAGTGGTGCCCACAATCAGATGCAGCTCATTAGCATTTGATTTGGCATCGAACCGAACAAATATTTCCGGCAATGCGGGCAAACATTGAACCTTGGCTCTGTGTCATTGCCATTTGCGGTTAGTTGAGCGGCAAAAGGTAAACAAATTTACGGGAAAACTCTCTTACCACCTGCGGCTTGAATAATGAAGAGGTGTGAAAATAAATTCTGTTAGCAAGCCAAGTGATGGAGTGAGTAATCAATATAAATGCGATTTATAATATATCATTCCTTAGGAAATATAAAAATCCCATGGTTTCTTTAAGAAAGTAAATCGAATTTGGCTTATTATTATAGCAAACATTGAGAAACGATTTCACTTTAAATTCTATCCAAGCACACAAAGCGTTTTCGAATCTAGTTACCAAGTAGGCTTGTGTACTTACACTCAACATATTTCTCGACTTTCCAATCATTTTAGCTAAGTCACCCGAAGAACAAATATAAATGTAAAATATTAAAAGTAAAGTTTATACATTATTGAGCATTTTCGTTTATTGACACATCACAAGGCCAACAAAGCCCAAGGCAAAAATTGTAAAAAATATTGTGTTCGACTTCGCGAAACAAAAGCCTTTCGATGAGAATGGTACGCCCAAATCGTCGCAAGGGAATCGAGGAGGTTTATGGATCCAAGATGGATGCATTGCATCCGGTAAAATCAGTGGCAATATCCCATGCAGGTATGACCAAAACAACCACAATGCGAGCTGAAAGATCGGGTCCGGGTGGTGGTGTTGGCGGTGGAGGAACCATTAGCTCCCGGCAACAGGATTCTCGCACGCAGCGCAGTTTTGTAACCGAAAACGATTACTATATCACGACCAATCTTCCGCTAACGGCGGCTAATTTGCGGAATGCCCCCAGCTCGATGACGCAGGCATCGCCATCGCAGATGATTCCCGGTCACGCCCAGCCGTCGCCCTATAATGCCATGTCCTCGAGGCGAAACAATATGGCCAACAAGGCCAGTGCCCGTCAGCCGCCGATGAACAAGATTGTGCATTTTGGCCAAGCCGAGAGCAAGATGAACAATAGTGGCTATAATATGTCCAAGCCAAAGGACGGTTATCGAATGCAGCATCACGGAAAGGGAAATACCCAGAGAAGCAACTATCCCATGGATGAAAGTGCCGAGTTTTCCGACAAGGAGCTAATGCCTCAGCAGGGAAATATGGGAAATATGCGTCGTCACAATCAGCATCATGCTCATCAGATGCAAATGCTATCCGGGGGAATGCATCATTCTCAGCAGCATCCACTGCAGCATCAGCTCCATCAGCAGCAGTTGTCCAACCACAGCCACCTCAAGCAGCAGCAGCAGCAACAGCAGCACCACCAACATCCGCATCCCCAGCATCCGCATCAGAAGCACTTGCGTGGACGACAGCCGATCCCGACGAGCAAGCTGCACGTGAGTACAGCCGATGACGATGAGGAGAAGGACGACGATCCCGAGGAGTTCTTCGAGCTGATTCGCCAAACCGTTCAAACGGCCGTAGGAGTAAGTTCATTTTATATATTTCCAATTACCAAATTGAGAAAGTAAAATATATATTAACTTAGAATACCATTTCGGATGCTCTAGTCAAGAACTTTCGGGATCTGAGCCATAAAATCGATAGGTTCTCGGGCGAATTGAAGCAAACAAACGAAAGCCTGGACAAACTGCAGGAACAAGTCAACAGCAGTAAGCTATTTATTCCTGATTATAGATAATTATTAACTATTTAATAACCCCAACAGAAGTAGCGTTCTACGGCGAGGAGAACTCCCGTCACTTCCGCTACTTGTGCATGAAGTCCGATTACGATAAAATGTTCTATCAGCATCAATCGCTGATGAATGGCAAGCCAAATCCAGACATGGCCAATCTCTCGAAGGCGAATTTAGCTGCTGCAGCATCGGCCAGCAAAAACTTGGGATGCAAACCATCTGAGAATTTGAGGCATAAAGGGGGGAAAGGGGCAAAAAATCATGGCAAAGTTTCCAGTGGCACAAAGAAAGATCACATCGAGACGCAGAAGAGTACCGGTGCCTATCATACCAATCCAAAGCTTCAGCAGTCGAGTATTATAGGTAACAAAACATCTTCGGATCACAGTTTAGATATAAAATCCTCTGACATGGGCGTTCGCGTCGTCCTGGATCACATTCAACGCTACTGCAATCAGGTGCAGCTGAGGGAAATGGGTGGCCAAATGGCTGCTGATCAGCTGCCCAGTTTAGAGGACATTTTGATATCTAAGAAAATGTCCAACGCAGGATCTTGTGAGCAGGGAGCTAAGAGTTCCCGCAACATTGCAGGTTGTCAGGGTGATAAAAAGGACGAAGACACCGATGGCGGAACTCCTATAGACAGTATGGATGAGACTTACACTGAAGTTGATGACATCCAGTTCTCCTCGGACATCTCGACCTGCAGCGATGATGACGATTGCGGTCTCAAGTATCCAAATGGAGCAATCACAACCCGGGCCAAACCCAAATCGAATCGAAGGGCGGCCAACAAGGGTGCCGGAGATGGTCAGTAAAGTTAATGAGCTATACATAGATTAATATTTATAACCCGGATTAGACAATTCAATTGACATTGAGGGATAAGCTACCCTTTGCAAGTAATCATTAAACTTATTTTATTATTTTATTTGGAATGCCATAAAATCCTAACGTAAAACACCAAAAATAGTGATCACAGATTTTGGAAACATATCAAAAACCAAGTATGGCTCGTATCGTGCGTACAAGTATTTATGTAATTTATTTTAGGGATCATGAATATATACGTTCCAAATTTATAAATAATGTGTTTATTCTTTTAATATAACCCCTGAGCATAAAACTGACCTATTTGGCCCTTGGCAAACCCAATCCCGGCTTAGTAATGCCCATTGGTGTCACTAATAACTGCATATTATATTGACTGCAAGGCATGAACAAACTGAGCTGGCCAGAACAAGGCATCACCCACCAAAACGGGTAAAAATGAGTCGAGTGGAAAATAAGACCTAAGACCACCCCCACTAACCCTAACCTGCAGCTGCATTTTTATGGGCTTACGACTGCCGCGGCTCTGCCACATTTCCTCTAGTTCAGTTGGCCAAAACAGTTTAAACGTGAACGTGGTTCGTCGGTGACATATTGATGCGTTTCTGCTAAAATAAAAGAATAAAATATAAAACGCTGTTAAAATAAACCAACAAGTTAAGCTTAAAAATGTTTTTCGGGGAATAAAAGTTGGAAAATCCCACAGGGTTCTAGTTTAAATTAAACTTACGCAATGTGGCCAAATGCAATTTGCAGTTTTTTGAGTGATGTTGCTTTTGACATGGATTAAAAGTGTTATGCAAAAGCCCCGAAACCCGGAAACGCACCATACGAATGTCAAAGCCGAAGGCCCATAGTGTGTGGGTTCTATTTTCAAGGATATTCCAATTCAGCATTCAGCTGAACCCAGTTTAGATTGGAAAGCCATAAAATTAAATGAAACATTTTGATGGCAAATATTGTGCTAACTGACAGGGGACTTTCGTAGTTAAGAGTGGCCAAAATTGCATTTACTGATCGGCACCTTTGACAGGCCAACCCCTTTGTTCGCCCTGTAACTCGAAACTTTTGCCTACCAAGTTGGCTAATTGCAATGACCAATATTTGAACTGGCTTCGGGGTGCACATATTTATTTTTATAATTATGGGAAAATGTACACTCGACCCGACGAGAGAAAACCACTCAATTGCCGAGTGACAGTTTGAGTCAATCACCATAACAACCAGCGAGTGCCGGGCCTAAGCCAAGTTAGTCAAAACAAAACGGCCAAAACAGGTGCAAAACATTGCCACATCAGTGTTCCGCCTTCGGTTCTTAGGGGTTGGGTTCAAAAAAGAATACAAAAAAAGCTAGAAAAAATAAAAATCGAATAGAACATAATTGCATTGTGCGGGCCAACTGCAATACTGCACCCGTTAGCACAGGGGCTTACAAATCAAATTGCTTGTCCACGGACAAATAAAATATATGGTTTGGGTGCTGCGTACATCACTGGGCAAATATAAAACGAGAATCGTTTAATTGACCCTAAAATCACTGAGGCGTTCAATTTGTGTTTCTTTTTTTTTGGCCACTGTGAAGCCATGGCTATAAGCAAAACTATTGTAGCTCAGACTGTCAGAGGGCTCATTGCGTGAATCTGTGTGTAATAAGTGCGGTGCCATAAATTCCACAATTCAACTTACAAACAAGAAAAAAAAATTTGGTATTGATTTTCCCGAAGTGAGAGAATATGCGAAAAAAGAAATATATTTTCCAGCGCATTACTTTGCACTGATAGTGGGGAAAATCACGAAGAAACGGACAAGGAAAAGTGGAAACTGTGTTAGTGTGACAATTTTTAATGCGATTAAAGTGCAACACTCTCCACGCAGTCGGCAAATGCTTAAAGTGGCCAGAAAAAATAAGCAAAAACCTAAAACTAAAATTGTTCAGAAGTTCGCAGAAATAATCAAAATGGTTAACAGCCAACTTACATTCTTCTCTTTTTCCGTTGCAGATAAAATGCAAGTAGTTATCAGTAAATGTTGAAGGAAAGACTGGAAAATCGTTTTATTATCAACGGAAATTTTTGTATTTAATTAAAAACCATTAAAGTTTTAAAATGAAGGTCATGAGTTCGTGGCAGCTTGGCCGGAGGAAGCCATTACCAGTGGGTGAGTGCTCAGCAAATGTTGTAAGGCAGAAGTGAAACGCCATGGAATAAATGTCAACTTAAGGAGACTTCTTTTATTGGTTCTCAGAACATTTCAAGTGCTTAATTCTTCACAAAATGGCATTTATGTTTTAAGAAAGAGTTGTCAGTAGGTTTCTGCTGAAATTTATTATTGAATTAGCTTTTTATACTTGGACTAGAATGGGAACCTGCTGTAAAGATTTAAAGTTAAAGAACTTTCTTTCCTTAAGTCATTTTGACATCTTTAATCTTACATATTAAATTAACCTCTGTTTCGTTTAAAATACTCAAAGTGCATTCCCATTTTCCAGGTCTTCTATACATCCTAGTCACATTGCTCTGCATCTTGGACTGTCAAGGAGGAGATGTGACATCACCCACCAAGAAGTCAGCTCCCCTTCGAATAACCAAACCGCAGCCCACAAGTCAACAGGCCAAGCCCATCAGTATTACCACAAAGGCACCAACAACAACGGTGACCCAAACCACCGATGATGGCATCTTCAGCTCCAGTTCTGTTGATGGTCAACTGGCTCCACTCATCTCATCCACAACTGAGATGTCCAGCAGTGGAACAACTGCCAGCTTAGTGCCGGAAATATGTCTGAATGGTCTACAGTTGACCATCAACAGTCCGGATGAGGGAATGGTGATACGGAAACAGGAGGAGTTTGTCAAGATACTCGAAGGCGATGTGATGCTCAGTGTTCTGACCAAGGATCCCGACTCCGCATTGTTCGTAATCAATCGAGTGAACCAAGCGAATCTCATAATGGCAGACTTTGAAATTGGTTTGTAAATGCATTTCAACTACATTTCATTCAGCTTAAACCTTAATACATATTTATTTAACTTGAATTCAGGAATTCGAGCAATCAGCATTGACAACGCCAGCTTGGCAGAAAATGTTCTCCTCCAAGAGGTTCAGTTTTTGCAGCAATGCACTGCGTACTCCATGGGCATTTTCCTCGACTGGGAGCTGTACAAACAACTAGAGTCGGTTATCAAGGACTTAGAGTACAATATCTGGCCAATACCAGGAACACGAGCCCATCTCTTTCCCAAAGTGGCGCATTTGCTGCATCAGATGCCGTGGGGGGAGAAAATCGCATCCGTGGAGATTGCCACCGAAACTCTGGAGATGTACAACGAATTCATGGAGGCAGCCCGTCAAGAGCACATGTGCCTGATGCACTTCAAAAGTGACGAGAACGTTTACATAATGTTTGGCAATAAGCTGGCCAGTCACTTCAAGGAAAATGGCACTCTGTTTTCCGTGCCCACCGATCGAACGGACGATGAATTTTTGGCAGGTGAGCAAAGTTTAGTAGTAATAGCTTAGATCATATCATTATTTGTTCCTTTATACCAATTCTTAAATATTTCTCAGATTTACCAAACAGAGCCTTTGTACTAATGGAGAACGAAATCGACCTGAGCACCACCACCGAACTGGACGCTACACCCTCCTCGCTTGACGAGATTCTAATCGGGAAAAGTGTAGTGCCATCGCGAGTCCTAAGCTTCGCTGGTTCTATTATCGACCTAATGAACTGGCTACGTGGATCCCTGTCCAAGCACTGTAAGCGAGATGAAGAACATGATCTGTATGTGCTGGAGAGTTGCTTTAACTTCCTAAACTTCATCGAGGATTGGAGGACATCGGAGTATCGTCAGGCTCACGAAACGGCTGAGATCCTGTCACTGCTGGTAATGCGAAAACTGGGAACAGCCATGAACTTTCAGATGTATCAGAAAAAAGTCTTAACCCTGGATAAGATTACGGGTGAATCCCGTACCGAACTGCGTGAGATTGCTTCGCAGAACTTTGTGACCAATGTGACGACTTACTACCACTACAATAGGGATAATCACACCAGTTTGGAGCTAAAGACCAAGTTTGGTCAGGTCTTCAATTGCCAATACAGTGCTGGCGATAATAGAAGATATCCATTCCTTTTCGATGGCGAATCTGTGATGTTTTGGCGCATCAAGATGGACACATGGGTGGCAACTGGGCTGACGGCTGCTATATTGGGCCTGATTGCCACGCTGGCCATTCTGGTGTTCATTGTGGTGCGCATCTCCTTGGGCGATGTTTTCGAAGGCAATCCAGCTACCTCCATCCTACTTCTGCTTTCCCTCATCCTGGTCTTCTGCTCCTTTGTACCCTTTTCAATAGAATATGTGGGTGAACAGCGGAATTCACATGTGACCTTCGAGGATGCCCAGACTTTGAATACCCTGTGCGCCGTGAGGGTGTTCATTATGACACTGGTCTACTGTTTCGTGTTCTCCCTGCTCCTCTGCCGAGCCGTGATGTTGGCTTCAATTGGCTCCGAAGGTGGCTTTCTGTCTCACGTTAATGGCTATATCCAGGCAGTGATTTGCGCCTTCAGTGTCGTCGCTCAAGTGGGAATGTCCGTGCAACTTCTGGTCGTGATGCACGTGGCCTCGGAGGCAGTTTCCTGCGAGAATATCTACTATGGCCGTTGGTTGTGGGGCCTACTGGCCTATGACTTCGTGCTACTATGTTGTGTGGGCGCTTTGATACCCTCTATATACCGATCCCAACGGAATTATCGCGAGGGAATACTTATTGTCATTGGATCGGTTCTTATTATGGTCATTTGGGTTGCCTGGATAGCATTATCCTTGTTTGGAGATGAGTGGCGTGATGCTGCCATTCCCTTAGGACTTCAGGCCTCTGGCTGGGCAGTACTAGTGGGCATCCTGATACCGCGCACCTTCCTTATCGTAAGGGGTATCGAGCGGTCGGATATTGCCCAGGCCTTGCCATCACTGACCTCGCTGGCGTTTGCCCAGAACAATCAGTACTCATCGGAACAGGTTGGTAGTTAAGGATGATAATGAAACATTATTACAAAATTCCTTTTACAGAGTGTCTACGAGTGCGTTAATCCTGCCATGCGTCACTGTTCGCAGGAGGAGGTTAACCACCAGTCGCCCAGTGAGATTCCCACGTTACCCCTGCGAGGAGGTGGACCACGTCGACAGCAGTTTTTCGCCAATCTCCGCCAGGCCAATGCCAATATCAATCCCCAACGTCCTCCTCCACGACCCCAGCAGAGTCCATCCCGGTCTTCGGTATCCTCGTTGCCGCCCTCGCCCGATCACAACAAGATCACCCGTTTCTAGCCCATTTTTTAATAATGTGGCATGTCTAGTCAAGGCTCCCAGAACGTGAATTCAGCTAAGAACTGTCCAACATTTTGAATCACTGACGAACCAAGATCTTATGGAAGTTGATATAATAAATCGATAAAAGTTTTAATCCCAATGTAACATTTTTGAAGTTTTTCTTTTTTAACTTAGTGACATCTTTTAAAGGTGTATTTAAACAGACCTGTAAGCCGGTCCTGTATTTTTTCCACCCCAAAGTTACTTTTCCCAACATGGTTTATGAACCCGCTAAGTAAAAGCTTTCAAAGCTTTTAGGCTTTCTCTTCCTGGCTCTCTCTTAATCGGACTATAACTCTAATTGGCTGGGCCAACACGTGACAGAGTAAATAGCGAAAGCTAGACGGGCCATAGCTAAAATCATCTAAGGCAGAACAACGACGACGACGACAATCAAAGGACTCGATATCCTTGTGCGTCACGCGACAATGGACGCCCGTTTTGTTTGGCCTTGGTGGGTGGTTAAGTATAGGGTGTGGGGTTCCCAGGAGGACGCTGACGTCAGGGTGACACTGGCCAGGGCGAGAACATTGACCGTGGTACATGGACAAATGCGCAACAAGATATGCTATCAGGCCGCCACAAAGGCCGGCAAAAAGCGAGGTTGCCACAAACTACCGACTACACGCGACCATTTCAAATGGCGCCGATTTCCCTGACAATGCCACGCGCAAAACATTAGAGGGTTAAGGGAGGGCTATGTAGGATCCAGGCCAACCTCAATAAAGTTATGCTTTGCCATGTAATCTCGCCAGAAATCCCCCTTATGAAAATCCCTCTCATTTGTATGTGTGTGTTTGTGTGAGTATGGCATACTTTTTTGGGGGCAACGCGAAAAGCACTTTGTTTTCCGCGCTTTTCCCTGCAACTGGCCGTTGGCATAATTTGCACTTCATTTGCCGACACACAAAAAGGAAATGTCTTAGCCTGCCAAGGACAAGGATAAGGATTCGTTCGTGGGCGGTTTGCTCTGATTGCCGGGCGGCGATAACACTGCGAAATGAGTTTTTCCTCTTGCCATTTTCCTGTTTATTTTTGTATGGCCGCCACGTTTCGTCCTTGCGTATGTTTTGGCATAATTTTGAGCACAGTTTTTGTAATTAAATTTTGCGCTTCTGCTCCAGATTAGAAAAGATGTATGTAAATGGTTTGGGTGAGACTTCTGCCACACCGCAGATCCGGGCAACTGCCCTCATAATTGGCTATGTTGAGCAGCCCCTAATCTGGAATTCCGGCTGGAGTATGATGGTGGTGGTGTGTGTGTGACACTTGACTGTCAAAAGCTGTGCTACGTGACATTATTAGCAATGCAGTCCTGCCGCAATATCGCTCGTACTTGCCTCCTTGGCGTGCTGCCGGCTACATAGCGTTCCACGGGGCGTATGATTTATGACTATGACAAAACTAATGATGCCACATTCGTTAGATGGCAGGCGTGCGCCCAAGGCGAGAAAACATCCAATTGGGCACAGGATATCTATCTATATCTATCTATATGTGTACACATATATTATGCTGTGGGTGATGTGGCATGTGGTATGTTTGTCTATCCTCCAGAAAAAATCAAGTCAAACATCGTAGCGTCACCGGCTGTGACGTTGTTGGCCCACGCTAAAGATAGCCCAACATTTGGCCAAAACAATCATAAAAGTCTCTTCCACTTGTAAACTTCTACTTTTAGTTCAATCTGGCATAAGAAAAGTTTTTCCTTTGTCGCAACATTCTGTTTAACACCCACTCCTTGCACTCGCTCGTGAATCATTCAACTGCGTATCCATCGGTTCAGTGACGACATCAACTCATCTACCGGTAAAAATCAGACATTTCCAGTTAAGTAAGTAGCACTGAAAGAAAACATTTATGTTTAGTTTATATTGACAATATTTTGAATTTTTAAAAACTCTTATTTTATTCTTGCTGATGATATTATCAACTATAAAGAGCTATCTTTACATAATTATTAAAAGAATAAAATTTCTAAAAATTTTTAGCCTAACAAGTTAAATAACAATCAAAAACCAAACCAAAAACCTAACCAAAAATTTCTCTGAGTTCAAGAAAATGTTGTTTAAGAATGCGTATCTGCTCTGGCATGTCGCCAAATGTGCTTCACGTCCTGCGACTCTCTTACCATTTGCCTATATTAGTCATGCGGCCCAAAAAAGACATGTGACGCTCGAGATGCCAGTGCTACTCATTCCCTAGGAAGTCAGGAAGCCCCCACTTCCTCCCACTTACAAGCTTTTACTATGCGGGGACGTCAGAGGTTGGTGCTATTTTACAACTACAGCGACATCAGCGGGAGTTTTCCACACCGCCTCGTGTCCCTTTCCCAAATCTGGGCAGTTTTCCACGCGACTCACAGATAGCGGCAAAGCCAAAACAAAAAGCTTTTCATTCATCAAATGTAATCGGGTGCAAGTGAGATGGGTATATCGAAAGGAAAGGGATGCAGTATAGGTTGAGTTTGCGCCATTTGGCAGCTCGTGAAGCTATTTTTCGCCTATTTTGTGGCTGGCTCTTTGCTATTTTCGCCACATTTCGCTGGCCAACTCGACGAAGCTTCTATTTCTGTGCACTGGCTTTTCATATGCGGTTGTTGCTTTTTCCCATCTTTTTTTCCACTTTTTGACTTCTTCAAATGCGCTCTGGGGTTCATTCATGAAATTTGACAGCCCGACTCGCGTTAACCAAACAAAGACGAATTCCGAGCTTTTCTTTCTTTTGTCATTTTAATTGCCCAGGGCTAGCTATTTTTGGAAAGCCATTGAGCTCTCGATGGGCCTTCGGTATAATATCATATTTTTTAAGTGGCTTACAACTTGTTGGTCAGCTTTAAGTAATAAGATTTCCTTGAATATCAATTATGAATCTTCTCTCGCTAAGAATGGCTTATCCATATCACAGAATATTTTCAAATATATTTATGGAAATCAAACTCTTCTGAAAACCATTTTTATGGCATATAATGCTATGGGTGGAAACGTTGATCCTTGTTTTAAATTGTAAGGGCAAAACGTATTTATGAGGATATACAACAACTTAAAACTTATTCATCCCATTAGCCGTATAAAACTCAAAAAGTAAAGGCTAATAAATATCAAATTTTATTATACCACCTCATAGACTCAGATACTTTTTGATGGAGAAAGTCTTTCTAAAATAAAGCCAGCCATAACTCAAAGACTGGCGAATTCTGCCGCTCCATTTCTCCGCATCACTTTCCCTCTCTGCGAACAGCTGTGAGATGTGGTGGCCCCCGCTCCAAAAAGCTTTCGTCAAGTTAGCCAAGCTTTTCCAATGCGATCCACAACAGCAGAGGCAGCAGCAGCAGGAGCACGGAGCAACATCCTTGAACAAACGCATTGGAGTCCATGAGCCTTTTCGTGTTAGTACGCGACGTTGACTCTGAGAGAACGGACACGAGGGCTAGCAAACGGCTAAAGCAACGGGAAAATCGCTGAGACAGGACCTCTCACACACGCGCACTCACACACACTACTCTGTATAAATATATATATAAATCTATATATGTATATGTGAAGCGCCAAGTGCCAGTGTCCTAGAAATTAAACACAATACGAGTATAAATCCAAATCGAATGCGATAATGGAAAATTAATTGGTAAGGCCCGTGGATGTGAAACAGAGCGAATGGAGCCAAAGGAAAAGTGCAAGTGAAAAGTGACAGTAAGAAGCAGAAAATCACACACACACACTCACTGGCACACGCACACAAAGGAAACGTCATATGCCAGAGGCATTGACAGGAGTCCGTGGAGCCCGCATTTTGTGTATCCTATTTTGTGTGGCAGCACCAGGAGAAGGAGAACGTGTCCTTAGTGCCATAGTGGCCAAGAAAAACAAAAACAAGAAACAGCACACAATTACACCGTGTAGTTGCCATAATGATAGATTTCAAAAATAAATTGAGCAAATTATCGTATAGAACGTGCCCCGCTTCGAAAGTCTAAAAATAATCGCGCGTCGCCAACTTGTCGAGAACCCTCAAAAGTTCCCTATTTCCCCCAATCATCAACTGGATGGTGGATGTGGATGTCGAAGGGTCTAAAGTGCCGCAACAGACTTTAAATTATGCATGCACATTGATTTTCCGACCACGGCCCCATTCTCTTTATTGTTTTTGTTGTTCTTGTTGTTGTTGTTACCGTCGTTATATCCCCATCATCTATATCTATATCACCAGCCCATCGGCTTTGTTGTCGCATGTTATCAGCGGAACTGGCGTCGTCGACGGCTTTGTTGAATGCGAGTTATCAGCGCAGCAACGGCCCAACAAAAGGTAAGCATCCGCCTGGACCACACGGCGTATGGGTAATGGGTAATGGGAAAGCACTTTATTGATTAGGCTATGGCAAGCACAGGAAAAGCGAGGTTAATGAGTGCCCATCATGCTCTGCAGAAGCTAAGAATGAAAAGGAAGCTATCTCAGGCTAAGCAGCATGAGCAGGAATAAGCGGAAAATCTTGGAAATGTTGAGTGGTGGTTGGGATATTTTTAGACAGCTGAAAAGGAGATTCTGGGAATTCTCATCAGTATTAAATATAATAAGAAATTGAATCAGGTTGGTAGTCATGACATAAAATGGCTAGAAGTAAAGGTAATTAATGGTTATTATAAGGTAATTCCTTTAGACCTAGGACATCCATGATTTTATTTATTGGTCGTAAAACTATGAACTTCTGTATTTTATAGAAGGGAACTGTTGTCATCCCCTTCTTTTAATCACATAATAAACTCATATTTTCTTAAAATGACTAAGCAAAAATGTATTTTATCAGTCATATTCGTTGTGTGTGATTTATACTCAGCTCTCTCAGCTCTGACTCCATATCTCTAGCTCTTTTGCTGCCTTTGCCTAAACTCAATTTCAATCAAAATGTCATAAAATACATTTATAACTCATTTACTGTGCTTATTAACACGTACACACAGAATGGGTGGCAACTCATTAACGCCCACAGGACATGAGCTAGTCCTGGCCACCATCCCCATTCTGAATGCTGCGTCATTGTTGGCACTACAACTGCTTTTAATCAGATTTCAATTATAATTCCATTTTACTGCACTAATGTCGTTTGGCGGCCACTGCCGGCTGCTGTGCTGCTCCCTGTAAATGGCCTCGAGTCACCCACATTCATCCATGCCACAGCCCATCTAGTACAACGTCAAACGCCCACCTGAAGCCCATCACCGCCCACTTGGGGTAATTTCCCTTTTGTGCAACAGCATTTTAATGCAATTTATTGGGGCTGACAATGGCCAGCTCACTGCGCCGAAGGCGTTAAAATTTCCATTTGAAGTGCCCGGAAGTATGGTTATAAAATGTCAACAACAATGCTAACCCAAAACAGTTGCCATACATCCGGAATGCAACTTGCTGGTTTTTTTTTTGTGTCTCTGTGTATGTGTGTTAGTTTTGCTGACGTTTTTCTAACGATTTTACGACTTGATGTCATGCACCGAAGTCCTTCTTCGTTTTTAGCAAAATTTCCAACGGCATGCAACAAGGAGTCGAGCTGAAATTGACTTTATAGTTCGCATTCAGCCAGGCAATTGCCTTAATTATACAAATTGTTTGGCGGATTATAAATTACACTGCAGTTTGCATAACGAAGGAGTTAAAGGGGGCATTTCCTAGAACTCGATTCAACGTTCAGAAATAGTTTTCCAGGGAAGGACCTTAGGGAGAACTCATAAAGGATCTGGCTTCTGAGCTTGAACTTGTTTTATATGAAGTTAAAAAATAAAAATTTAAAGCTATGCATGGTCTAGACCAGTTAGAAGACTAATTTTTAAGCTTTTTATTTTCTAAAAATCGTATATAACATTTTATTATTATGTTTTTAAGACCTGCTTTTAAGTGTCATGTTTTTGACACGAAATCCGTGTGAAATCCAGTTTCTGATTTCCGCCATTTATTTTTATATTCGCATTTTGCAGATGAAGTTTGCCCCTCGACAACATATGACAAGTGCCACACAACGACAGGAGCAACATCAGGAGCAGCAGCAACAGTCGCAGCAGCAACAGCCACAATGACCAAGCAATTGACAACGGCAACTGCAACAAATGCGGCATCGAGCATAGGGCAAGCGGGTGATTTGGCGCCCACAGTTATATCCCCAACCGCAGCCACAACACTCGAGACGGGATCAGGCGGTGGAGCTGGAGGGTCATTGGGAGCAGGTGGAACCATTTCACCTGTCAGCGAGACAACAAAGACTTTGGCCCAGCCACAACCCGTTGAGGAGAAGCCCTCGAGTAGCGATGCCAGTGGCAGATCGGCGGCTCTGGAGCGTGCTTATGTGCATGATGTCTACGAGCATTGTGAGGAACCCACGGGTCCGGTCCGTCCTCGGATGGCCCACTTTCTTAGCAGTCTCGACCCCGGGTCCGTGGTCTGCGACGTGGGCTGCGGCAGTGGAAGGTACCTCACCCAGTGCAACCCGGCCATCTGCACCATTGGCGTTGAGCGCTGCTATCGGCTGAGCAAAGTGGCTCATGAGAAGGGTGGCGAGGTGAGTCCTCTATCTTGGAATATTAAGTTATTCATTTAGTGTTAGAAAGTAATAAGCAGAGTACGTAATTAAAACATTTAGGTTAAATGCTAGTAGCTAGAAATAGTTAAACTTTCGCAGAAAGGAAGAAGTTCATTATGCTATTGTTTATGTAAAGATCCTGGCATTTCAAAACGGATTAAGCTTGTCTTGTTCAAAGTTCCCACGTATGTTCTTGATTAACTAAAATTACGAAATGAGCAGCACATGAACTCATGAAGTTTGTGTGCAATCTAATTGCAGCCTGCTAATTGCATGTGTTCGGTGCGGTCGTGTTCCTTGTGCTCTTGTAGTTCTTTTGGCCATACAATTGACCCATTTTCTGCTAACAAGCCGCCCAGGGAGAGGCAGATTGAAAAAGGAAAACTGAAAGGGAGGAGGAAGTAAGGGAGTCATAAAACATTCGCTAGATTCAAATCCTGGGTTGCTCCACTTAACTTGGCCATTAGTAGCACGCATAAATTATGCTTATCATTGGGTATTATTTGCACATGTTCCACTCGCCATTTTTGCATTGGGAGTTTTTAATGCCCCATAATTGCAATGGTCGATAACGGTGCCGTAAAACGAGTCATTTAAAGGAGCAGCCAACGAGCCAGATCCTATAAACTGCAGATGGTTGGCAGCCAAAAGGGATGCATAATCGCCACTTGCATTTAGTGCAGCTTCCGTTTGAATTTTAGAATTCTACCACTATGAATTATAAATGAATTCCGTATTCATTTTTCACGACTTAATTGGTTGCTGCCTAAATAAATTATTCTTAATTTAATATGCAACCCAAAATAATAACTAATTTGTTTGGCTATTCGGAAGTATTAAAAAGTTTATGAAGTTGGGTTTATTGAAATTCCATTTTTTTTCTATGCTGACAAACTAAATCAATTTCAGGATTACTTGATGTAGATTAAACTAAAATTAATAACATATTTAGTTAAGAACATAAAACTGTTGGATTGAGTTAGGATTCTCGTGACTTCCCTCTGAAACTCACATTTATCCTTTTTAGTCAGGATTGTTAAGAACTTTCACTATCCTCCAAGACAATTGTGTTAATAATATGTCATGTATTAAGCTTTGAAATTGTAAAGTTTATGGGGTGGAAGTGCACGCCTCGAACTTCTGGGCACAATTAAGTGATACGCTCGGCTATGTCATAATGAACATGAAGTACAGCGCACTTAGTTTTCCTCACCCTCCGAACAATATTCGCTCAACAATGACACAACTCTGCTGCATAGTTTTCCCCATTTTCTTTTGTCCCGTCGCTACTGCTGGTGCTGCTGCTGTTGCTGTTGCTGCTGGCAACCCCCAACATTTCCTTTTACAAGGAACAACAATAAATTGCTATTCCCCCCCTACCGACACCGTTTGCCCCCTGAAAAGCGACTATATAATGGTATATGGCGAACGTTATTCAGCGGCATGGCTGCCCGAGGTATGCAATGCTTTTTGCCATAATCTATTACTAACGCTGGGCGCTTATTTATGGTGCCATTTCCAGGCAGAGCCAGAGTAGCATTTCCCAAGAAGCCCGGGCTTTTCATTTGCCACTCCGTCGTAATCGACAACACGCATTCTTCGCATTTAAATTGCTTTCGCGTGGAATTGACAGCAAGGTTGCAGCACCAGCAGTACCAGCAGCAGCAGCTGCTGCATTTCGCCCACCATTTACAGTAAGCGGCTTAATTTATTTAATAACATGCCACATTATTGTGACCGGACAGGAGCTTAGTGCCTCCAATTATTTTGCTCAGCCGGCGTGTCCTTGACATTTAACCCATAGCCTGTCGCTTGATTGTCCGCATGTGTTTCTAATCACTGTTTCCCCCGATAATTTGCATAGCAAAACGGATCCGATCGGAATTTATTTCTATTTGGCTTAATGTGTTTAAAATAAAGCCGACAGCAAATGCACAAAATGCGCACGTGACATGCAAGCGAATGCAAGTTTTTCCTGCGGAATTGCCAACTTTATGCAAAACCAATTTAACTTGGCCCGAACACAAAGTTGCAACTTTGATTCCTGCAGCTCGTGCATGGCCTGATTTTCAATAATTTTCTGTAAAGCAATAAAACCGGCAAGTGGAGCACACGAGAATCACACTTCCCCTTTCCCCAAGACAGCCTCGTAAATCTTAAACCAGACCACCCCCCAAAAAATGGCGCATACAAATGGTTGTAAAAGCCAAGCCGCAAACATAAAAAGTGAAACTCAATAATGGCAGGTGCAGAGAGCTGAGCCTTTTTTTTCTGGGCCAGGTGAAACCTGCAATTTTCAGCAGGCCCGAGGCTCCGTTCTTGGCTAAAGCGCCATTTAAATAAGCCGCAAAGAGAGAGACTGCATAAAGTATGATACAATATATTATATATATATTTATACAGATTTTCCTTTTTGGCTCGGCTGTCTTTTCGTCTTTGCGCTGCGCTTTGGCCTCATTAGCGTGCAACGTGGCGTATGCGTAACGTGCCACACTTTCACCTGACACTCTCTCGCCTCCGCTTTAGCAACCCAAGCCCTGTCAACATAAATTTCAAAGGCGTCATGTGCCCGACCCGCGTGACACTACACACATCGCATCCGCATCCACAAAAGCCCCCTATGTGAAAAATGGCCACTGCTATAAATACGATTTGTATGGCACTAAAGCAAAAAAAAGGCATGGAAAATAAAGGAAAACTGTCACCATGCGCATTCATCGAAAGGAGAAACTAAAGTGCTGGGGAGGATTCAGTGTGGGTGTGGATGTGGGTGTGGGCATGGGGATCACATGAATGGCTCTGCAATGCAATGCATTAAGAGTCATGCTCATAACCAGAAAACAAAAGCTTGCTTAACTAAAATGCATGAGATTGTGTTTGTTTGTTTGGGCGTTTTCACAAGATGAATACAATGATTAGTTTTTGTTTTATGTATCCAAGCTGAAAAGAGTATCGGGGGTTTAGTAAATAGTTCAGAGAATAAAATAGACTTAAAAGATAATTCAATAGTCAAACCAGAGAAACCTGATTAATGGTCTAAGCTAAAATTTGTTCCATCTCCTGCTGTTTAACTTCCTTGGAATAAAGCAAATGCAATTCCATTCTAACTAGACCATAGTTTCTATGGGCTAGGACCATCCAAAACTCAGAGGCCGAAAAACACTTATGTTAATTGATATTTGCTGAAGACTTCGAGCCTGTAATGGCATAGTTGAAATTTCTGCCCACCTGGCAGCACCTGAAGCAGAAAACTCTGGGCAAAGTGTAAGGCTTGGCGGGTCAAGGATTTTTATTTCTGCAGACAAATACACACCCACAAACACACACAAAGTTGTGGAAAGTGCAAATATACAGACATTTGCGATAATGGTAGAGCAGGAAACGGAAATACAAGATTGCAGCAAATAAAATGGCATTTTATGGGAGACAGAAACATAATACGTATGTAGCCTTTTTCCAATATTTAAGTTAGCATTTGCTTGGTCAATGTAAATTTGATTCGCAAACGAGAATTGAGAGCAATGAAATTTCCAGGGAAATTGTAAATTTATATTGGCTGCGAATTGCATTTCCTGGAACAGATCGAATCAGTATTAAATTTCTCTGTTTGACGCTTTTCACAGTTTGTCATCCAATATACTTTTATATATACATATATATAGAAATACGTCTTTGTTTGGATAATTCCCTTTATCCCAGACATTGGTAATTGACACCATCAGTTCTGGCCATGACACGAAAATGAATATAAATGGCATGCATACACCTGAACGTGCATCGGTTTTGGCCACATTGTGTTAGGTCAGTTTGTGGCCAGGTGTTCAACATTCGACCAGGACTTTTCCCCCAGCGTATATTTGAATGACAAATGGTCGAAGCCAACTTCCAATCAACCAACCGGACCGATAACTTTGTTTTCCCAGCACGGAAAAGTTACTAATTGCGAAATGATGTAGCCAACCGAAAGGAATACCGGATTATTCAATCGAGTTGGATCGCTTTGATATGGAAATTCGTTTTCTTTTTTTCCAATAAATCCTGAAAGTTGAACTTTTCTCGAAGACGATTGATGGTCCTGTCCTGGGCTTGAAATTGCATCATCTCGTCTTACTGGCTGCAGCTTACAGCATTTCAATTGCATACTTTTGCGGGCAGGGCCCATGGGAGATTTCTGGGAAAGACGAAGTCGATGTTGGCGACAGGAGCACGATGTCTGTCGTCGTGACTGACCCCACAAAGAGACTCCTGCGAGGACTTATCTTTGACACAGCTTAATTGGCATGGCTTCCCCGAGGGATCTCCGGTTGGCTGGGATTTCATGGTGTTGGGCTAGCACCTTGGGAAATCATTAAGTCCGTGAATCAATCAAATTATTAAATTATAAGCGAAGTATAAATATCTAAGAGCATTAAGGTTGGGCTTATGAACTAGTTTAAGATCTATTTTAGGACATTATTTATTCATGTAATTTTATTTTCTAAATTTTACTTTCTAAAATCTTATCCTTTTACCGTTTCCAGGTTGCTCTTTGTGACAATCTGGAACTGCCGTTCCGGGACGACAGTTTCGATGCAGTTTTGTCGCTGGCGGTAGTTCACCACTTTGCCACCACGGAGCGACGTGTTCAGGCTCTAAGGGAGCTAGCCAGGATCCTGAGGATCGGTGGCCGAGTAGTTATCACTGTGTGGGCGCTGGAACAAAGACATCGACGCTTTGAGTCGCAGGACGTACTGATACCCTGGCAACCACCAAAGAATAGGAACTATTCATACTCTGATGAAGAGGACGACGACAACTTCCAGCCACCCTACCATGCGTATACGGAGGACTCGACGAATTCCAGTAGATCAGCGGGAGATGGAGATAGCTCCAGCCTCAGTTCGTCCTCGCCGGGAGAATCTTGCTATAGCTTCGTTCGCCGTGCTATTCAAGTAAAAATAATAATTATTAAATTTTATTTTCCTTTATTATTTATATATATATTTTATTATAAAACCTTAGAAACTGGCTCGTGGACGCCGGCATGCTTGGTTTATGGACTCGTGGTCCTCAAAAGATACCAAGAACGACAGCAGTCTGGACTACGAGGACGCCAAGGACCTGCCCATCGAGCTGCGACGCCTGGAGGACTTCGAGGACTTTCCCGATCCGCCATTATCGGCTGGCCTCAAATCCAGGAGTTTGGGAAGCATTCTGCAACCGCCACCCCGCCAGATTGTTCGCTCTCGGTCCAGTGTTCCCAGCCTGGGAGGTCCTTTGATTCCTGGTGAATCGAAGGCAAGTGCAGCGGCTCTGCTACTCAATACCCCGGAGAGTCAGCAACTGCAGTTACAACTCCAGATGAATGGAAGACATTCGCCTACCACCACGGCAAGTGCTGGAAATACGTTGAGCAGGAGGCCCAAGCTCATCAAACAGAAACAATCCTTGTGCGATGATGATGCCGCCACGCCTCCTGCCCCCGAATCCTTTCAGATGGTTAGCAGTTTAAATGGATCCAATGGTTTAGTCAGCAGTAGTTTATACACGAAGAGTGGCTGCTATGCTGGTAACTTCCATCAACATGCATCGTCGACGGCCACGCCCCCTTCAGGAGATCCTGCCGAGGGAGGAACATCGGTAGGATCGGGAGCACCCACATTCCTGCGCAAACAGAGCTCTTTGAATGAAGACCTGATGGCCGTCAATCGCTTGAGGGAAAAGGAAAGAGTCCGGAAACGCATACAAAAACAAACCTCCCTCAACGAAGCCTTCCTGTGCAGATCAGCCCTATTCTCCAAGCGACTCCAAGTAATCCGCGAGGGCTTCACTACTAAGATAAAGAGTTCGACAGGCAGTCTGGAAAGGGTGACCAAAACAGGCATAAGCAAACTGATTCAAAATATCAAGAGTGTGCCGCATGCTCAGACAAATCCTGCCCAGAATCCCACACAAACGGACAAGAACTCCACGCTGAATAACAACAATAAGCAAGGTGGAACAGCGCTGAACCATCAGCACCACCATCATCACCATCATCATCCTGTACATCATCTGTCCCACTTAATACTGCCCGCATCCTCAACTTCGGGACCCGTGACGTACTGCAGCAGTGTGGAGTGCACCATGGGGAATCTATGTCACTGCAGTCAGTATCAGCAGGAGTGCCCTGCCTGTGCGGATGGCAGTCAAGGTGACAAGGCTAGAAGGCATTCACGGGAATCTGGCTCAGACTCCTCCAAGGACAGCAGCCTGCAATCGGACACTAGTATCGAGTCGGAGGACAGCTTCGCTTCGGTCATATTTATACCCAAGCCGGAGCAGCACCAGCAGCAGCTGAACTATCAGCAGCAGCACCAGAACTCCAACTCTAGCTCGAGCAACTCCTCCTCTAGCAATGGGCAAAGAGCTCAGGGTGCCGCCGGTCGGGATCAGGGAGTGAATTCCGGCTCTCGATTGCCGCCCACCCACTCAGTGCCAACGTCACCGTTAATCATGCCCTGCCCTCCCACTCCAGCTCACTCGCCGGCTGCCATCCAGGGCACCGTGACATCTCCGCCACAATCCACGTCAGCAGTTTCAGCCGCCATGGCTATCTTGACTCCACCCTCGAAACCAGCTCGGTTCAGCTTCGATGAAGCCCACATCAAGCTGCAAAAGGAGCAGCATATAGATCTTCATAAGGAACCACCCAAAGAGAAAAAGGAGCCGCTTAAGGAGTTGCCAAGGGATCCGCTCAAGGAGTCACCGCCGGTACGCAGGATCACCCGCCAGGCCATCAGAGACTTACCGCCCATTCCCAAGTTCCGGAAACAACAATCTCTGCAATTGCAACGCCAGAGTTTTCCCATCGTAAGAAGAGCTTCAGGGTCGGGCGTGTCCACCTCGGCATCGTCCTCCTCTCTGGCCAGCAAACTGCTTTCCCTCGAGCTCTTTAATCCGGCCACTGATGATCTGGACAGCGACTCCAGTGAACCCTCCTCACCCGGATTCCATAGATAGTGTAATTAGTGCTCCGAGATCGGCTAAGGTGCCTTCGGGCAGTGACGAAGGAGGAGCTGCCTCCGCGAACTCAAACTCCGCTTCGCAGGACGAAGGAGAGCCAAGTTTAGCGCAGATTATTAGTATACAACAGGAACAGTACCACAAAGGAGAACTGCAGATCAATAGTTCCCGATCCCAGGCCGAAGATGATATAATCCTGAATGCGGATAGTGCTCCTCTGCTTCCCGAAAAGAGGGAGTCTACCCAAAAGCAGGATTGTGCAGAATTCGCGGAACAACTTACTGCCCAGCTTCAGCGGGAACTGGAAGACAAAAGCAATCGCACCGAGTGTCGATATCTGGATGGGATAGGAATGGGAGATCTATCTGAGTTCTTGGGCGGCGGCAAGAAGCGCTCCAATGGCGATTTGAGTGCATTTCGGGATGAGCTCAGGGAACGTCGATTGATGCTGGCCAATCTTTCCACGCAGCCAAGTCTGCAACAATCCCCGGTGAGCTCGTCCACTTCCTCACTATCCTCACAGACCCGTAGCTTCACGATACACGAGGAAGATGGCGAGGAAGAAGAGGAGGAGAACGAGTCAAGCTACTCCCTGGGCGTTTATGAACACTGTAAGATCTCCAAGTTCAACTACAATAGGAATCGACACTATCAGCTGAACCCGGAAACAGCCTACCTTCTGCAGGACGACGACAGTGATGTGCGGGAAGATGAGGATGATGTTATACCCGAGGAAGAGGAACAAGACGAGGATGCGGAAGCAGAGGCCCTGGAGGCCAGAGGTGGTGATCAGCTAGGCGAAGGAATGGCGGATTACGGTCAACGCAGACGCAACATGGCTGCCCTGAAGGTCCAGCCAGCGACGACCCAGCAACAGCAGCCGCAGAAGGAGCCAAATCAACCGGCAAATCTACAACAGCGACCCTCCAACGACTCCCTGGAGCACTCGAACAGCTCCACCAACTCCCTAGACAGCCCATCGCAGGGAGGAGCCAGTACTCACCACCGCTACTATCATGTGTTCCGCGAGGGAGAGCTGGATGCACTGATCAATCACCATGTGGCCAGCCTGCACATCGTTAGCTCCTACTACGAGCGGGCCAGCTGGTGTGTGGTGGCCGAAAAGGTTCAGGTGTGGACCATCTAAGCAACCAACTCTCATACAGGGATTCAAAATGAAACTTAGGTCTTGACTATTGAACCTGACTCCAGGATCAAAGCTGATTCCTTCGGATCTTTATTTAATTTAAAACTTACAACCAATATTTTGATCGAGTAAGTTGACCCATTTGAATCCCTGCACCATTCCCTAGCTGTAGTCTCTAATCTGATGCCCCCAAAGGAATTGTTAAATTTAGTCTATTACTCTAGTCGGCTGGCGAATCGGGGCGGGGAAGGCCCGTCCTGGGATCCAGCACTAATTTATTGTTAGCAGGCCTGCTCAAGGACGCGAACGCAGGATGGCACTGCATTGAAATCCAATTTCAAAGGACAACCTAGCTATAAGATCGTCGAAAAAATCGAATCGAATGCGATAACGAAACAACGCAAGCTAAATACAAATCTTACTAGTTATACGAGCATAATCTATTTACAACGAGCATCAGTTTGTATCTTGCGCTTTTTTCATACTAAGTTTCAAGCACTTTAAGCTATCATTTCGAAGCGAATAATCATCAAACGTCCATTAAAGAACAAAACAAATATACCAACTTATACATGAGTAAATAAGGAAATACAATATATAGAAAAAAGTAATATAGCGAATTCATATATACACTTCTTAACGCCGCAAAGTTAAAAAATAGAACCCTCTAACTAACGAATATCAATAACTGCATTTAAATCTATGAGAGAACCGTATATCTATCAAATGCAAAATAAATCAAAAAAATATACAGAAACCAAGTTTAAGAAGCTCACAAACAACTTTTCAACTATTTACTTATATTTTCCACCTGTTTAAGAGCACCTCTTAATTTTTTTTGATTAGATAATGAAACCAACTCACTTCCCAAAAACGGCCAATAATCACGATTGTAACATAAGCCTATGCCTAAACTTAAATTTTTTGTCAGCTTAAGAAAGGTTATTTGAAAAATAACGCAAACATTTTCAATAAAATAATATATATACAAATATATATATATAAATCTATATGCGACTGTACATGTGTTTTTTAGCTAGCTAAACTAACTTTATACCGTAAAATAATAGAACAATTGAATAAATATTAACTAAAGTTGGACGCAACACTAAATCACAACAGATAGAACTCGATTTAAAACCTACTACTGCTCGAAATGCTGAAACATTATAAATATTAAGTATTGCTGGATATGTATAATTTGCACAGAGACCACCAAGCACACAGAAGACACGTCAACCCAAGCTAAAACAAAGAAAAACCATCTGGAATATTCAATATTGATAATTTGTAATGCATTAACAACAACATTAAATAAACTAACAATAATTACTGAACAGAAATTGTGTTTTTAGGGGTTATTTAATACAACTTTCAAATTTTCTAGAAAGTGTTTTTCATCGGGTTTTAAGTTTTAGACTTTCAAAGGAAGACAATATCATAAATTTGAATTTTCAACAGTTTTATAAAATTCCGCCAACCTCTTTTCTTTGATGGTCACCCTAAGCGATAGTATCGCGAGTAATTGACGAATTGCCATCTCTAGCCGGCAACTTATTATTGTAGTGATACAACTTTGGTTAATGTTTATCTCAGAGCAAACAGAAAACAATTTAACTCGTTTACCCATTTTACATGAATTTTTTATCGTTCACCCTTTAAAAACATTTTTATTTGTGAAGTTCGCGAGTCGAAACGAAAGACGCGGTTCGCGGATAATTGGTGTGACCAGCTAACTGAGCGTGAAAAATGTCGGTGCTTTTTAGCTACTTCTTAAAGGCGTTTCGGTATTATGGGCGGGAAGGAAGGCTCTTATATACTTATACTTGTTAGAATAAACATTTAAAGACCAGCCTGTAAATCCTTTAAAAAATATAGAGCTCGAAGGTTGCTAACTAACGTGAAAAGAAGAAAGTGAACACCTCAGGAACACAAAAAACACCTAGGATAAGAAGCAAAGATGGAAATCTCACCCTTGCCCCACGAACTAATGCTGAACCTTTTAAGCACAAAAATGCAGTAAAAAGCGGATAAACAATAGTTAAAAGACGACAACAAGATGACCCAAAAGCCAGGCGAGTGGGCTAGTGCCCTTTTGGCTCGTTTCGAGGATCAGGCAAGTGTTTTTCAACGACTTTTCGGTAGCTGCGTTTCCTAAGGGAAAAAATGTACCTGCTGCTCTGCCTCTTGCTCCCCCACACATGCTCACACCATCCGTCTGACTGCTTGTGTGTGTATCTCACCCGTTCTATGTGTGTTAGCTCTCAATCAAATGCGTGGGTGAGCGAGACAGAGACAATAACAATAACATAGACGGTCCGCATGAATGAAATGGAATTTAATCAATCAATCGTTGGTATTTGTAGCTGCCGAACAGAATTGGGGCCTATGGCACGCAAGCCAGGATGAGCCAGGACCAACTCGTAGCCTGTCTGATCCACATATCCCGCTACCGTTTCTCCCTGGTAATTTCTGGGTTGACTAAGATGCTGCAAAGGGTTAATGAGGCGGTGAGTACTCCAAAACACTTCCGAACAACTTATTAAAAATATATTGCCTATCTTAAGGCGCTAGGGGATAAGGATAAGAGCTTTTTTAATTCGTACTAATAAAAATCTTTCCCATTGTAGGCCCTTCAAAACCGCCATGAGCCGGAGCGCTGCTACTTCGAATCGCTGGTTATCATACTGACCACCCTGGAACGGTGTCTGACCAACCAGACCAAGGACACAGCACGCTTCGAGGAGGCAATGAATGTGAAGCTCCTGCTGCGCGAAATTTCCCAGTTTGTCGACGTTCAGAGCGACAACAATCCGAATGCTGCCCAGCTCAAGGCTCTGGCATCCAAAGTGCTCTTTGCCCTGTCGCAGAATCACTTCTCGGCGGTGTTTAATCGCATCTCGGCGAGGATTCAGGAGCTGACATCCTGCTCTGAGGAGAATCCAGACTATAATGACATCGAATTGATTCAACACATCGACATGGACATGATAAAGCTTACCAAGTTGCTGCAAGGTAGATGTTTTAAATCAATTTAAAACAAAATAATCTTTAAATACTGCAATTTGCAGAAACCATCACAAAGTTTCGATCGAAACGTGCTCCTCCCTTGATTTTACTTTACTCACTGGAGAAGGCTATTTGGAACTGGATTGAGTACCATCCACAGGAGTTTCAAGACTTGCAACGAGGAACCAATCGAGATATATCCACGTATGACTTTAATATAAATTCTTAAAGATCGAATAATATTAATTAACATATCTTAGCTGCTGGGAACCCCTCATGGACTTTGTGGAGTATTTTAAAACTGAAAATAAAAAGAGCAAAACACTTGTGTGGCCACTCCAAATGCTTTTGCTGATACTGAATCCCTCCTGTCTAGAAGCCGTCGTCAACGAACTGCAACAGTCAGAGAAGGAGAAAGAAAAGGAGAAGGAAAAGGTGGCCTCAAAATCGGGCCAATCCACTTCCAGGGACAAAGATTTTTCTGCTAAACAGTTCATTGAGAGCATCAAGCGGGGACTAGGTCAGCACTCGCCATCGAAGCAAGTCACCGAATCCGCGGCCATTGCCTGTGTAAAGCTGTGCAAGGCGTCAACTTACATCAACAATACCGACTCCAACAATGTGGTCTTTAAGCTGGTGCAGTTTTTCATTAACGATCTCAAGGCTCTGCTCTTCAATCCGGCCAAGCCCTTTTCCCGCGGCCAGGGTTATAACTTTGCGGACATCGAGCTAATGATTGACTGCTGGGTTTCGTGTTTCCGGATAAATCCCCACAATATCGAAGCGCTTAAAGTTTGCCTAAATTTGTCCTCGCCGCAGGCCTATCATTTTGTCATTGTTTGTTCCCTGCTAAGGTAATTATTTTGATTACTTATTTACTACATCTTTTTTACTTACATTTGTATGCTTTAAGGTTGGCACACATATACGTGGACTTTCGCTTGCAGAACAAGAATCCCTTTAGGATTGTCAACCAACCCAGATTGTCTTGGTGGCCACAAACTGATGTGGTTCATTATCGCTCCGCTGAGTTGAGGGCTCTCTTCACGGATACTCTTAATAAGGCCACCCAGGGTTATATAGCCCATACACCACTGCGATACATTACCTCTTTGACGCTCAAATCGAAAGATACCCAGAAGGGTTTGACCCGTGCTGAAGAGGGTCCCGCGCACAAAATGTTATTGTTGCTACTCGTGCGACTTATTCATGCAGATCCCACACTTTTGTTGAATGTAAGTGCTTGAGTAATCAAATAGATATTAGTATTTATCTTCTAACTGTATATGTTATATTTCAGACACAAGGAAAGGTTGCGCATGAAGTACAGAGCTCCACCTTAGAGCTTATTAATGGCTTAGTTAGCTTAGTGCATCAAACCACCATGCCCGACGTGGCACAGGAGGCTATGGAGGCGCTACTCGCTCTGCACGCCCCAGAAAAAATAGAAGTTTGGAATCCAGAGGCTCCCATCAACACGTTCTGGGACGTCAGCTCTCAGGTCTTGTTCTCTATTTCTCAAAAGCTCATCCAGCACCAAATTGCCAACTACACGGATGTCTTAAAGTGGCTGCGCGAGATCCTTATCTGCCGAAATACTTTCCTTCAGCGACACAAGGATTATGCACATGTGGGGAGTCAGATTGCCATATGCAAACAAGCTCACATCAAGATGGAAGTGGTTTTCTTTATGTACCTGTGGAGTGTTGATTTAGATGCGGTGTTGACATCGTTGTCTTGTTTTGGATTGTTGTGCGAGGAGGCCGAGATATGCTGTAGTTCCGATGAGTTGACAGTGGGCTTCATTATGCCGAATTATCACATATACCAAGAGTTGGCTCAGTTGTCCACATGTGAGTTATATAAAATAATCCTATTTATTCTATAATTATTTGTTATATCTACATTTTAGCTGCAACTGACTCTCGGATTTGTTTCTTCGACAACACTCATGGAAATGTGCTTAGCCGCCTTACACTCCAAAAGCGTATCATGACCCTGTTACGCAAGATCGAGCACTGTGTGCATGGTGTGCAGCCAGCCTGGGAGGAAACCTTTCGTAACTGGGAAGTGTCCAGCAAGGTCTTGCAAACTTATCCCAAATGTAAAGGCGAAGATGGCCAAGCGGAGGTGTTTCATCGTGGCATGGGCAAGAGGAGAGCGAGTCACCAGAGCTCAGAGCACGATCTGGAGGAGCAGATCAACGAGTGGGCCAACATGACATGGTTCCTATTGGCCCTGGGTGGAGTCTGTCTTCATAAACGCAGCAGTAGCCGGCAAATGTTGCTACAGCAATCGCAGAACAATGCCTCCTTAGGATCTCTGGCTCAAAATTCTCTTTACTCAAGCTCAACAAGTTCCGGACATGGTTCTCTGCATCCTAGTACGGTTTCACTATCCACACTCCCACCAGCACCACCACAAGATGTCAGCTATTGCCCTGTAACACAGTAAGATCAATATTCATACTTTGTATTTAACACTTTTAATCTGTAATTTTGTATGCTAGATTCGTCGGCCAACTACTGCGTCTATTGGTTTGCAGCAACGAAAAAATTGGCCTTAATATCCAGAAGAACGTGAAGGAACTTGTGGGCGAGGAAATGTCCACCCAGCTGTACCCCATACTGTTCGACCAAGTTAGAGCCATCGTTGAGAAATTCTTCGATCAGCAGGGACAAGTGAACGTTAATGTAACCGACATCAATACGCAGTTCATCGAACACACCATTTATATTATGAAATCCATCCTGGATCCCAAAGCCAGCAAAGATCCCAACAATGATCAACCCTCGCCATCAGAACATTTAGGAGTTACAAGCATCGAGGGCATGATGCTTGGAATTGTGCGCTATGTTCGCCACTTGGATATGACTGTGTATGCCATTCGAATCAAGACCAAACTGTGCCAGCTAGTGGAGGTAATGATGAAGCGACGTGACGATCTCGCCTTTCGCCAGGAGATGAAGTTTCGGAACAAGCTGGTAGAATACTTAACCGACTGGGTAATGGGCACCTCTCATCAAATTGCGCCGCCCAGCTCAGCGGATGCAGCTATTCTCACCAATACATCACTTATCTTTCGTGACCTGGACCAAGCCTGCATGGAGGCAGTTGCAGCTCTGTTACGTGGCCTACCCCTTCAGCCGGAAGAATCGGATAGAGGCGATTTAATGGATGCGAAGAGTGCCCTCTTTTTGAAGTATTTTACTCTGTTTATGAACCTGTTGAATGATTGTATCGACAGCTCGGAAGCGGAAAAGGAGATGAACAATACTCCACTACTGCCTCCACGTCCTCGAATGGCAGCTGGAAAGCTTACTGCACTGCGTAATGCCACCATCCTGGCCATGTCCAATTTACTAGGTGCCAACATCGACTCGGGCTTAATGCACTCCATCGATCTGGGTTATAATCCGGATTTGCAAACCCGTGCCGCTTTTATGGAAGTTCTAACACAAATCCTTCAACAAGGCACTGAATTCGATACCCTGGCTGAAACGGTCCTAGCAGATCGCTTTGAGCAACTTGTTCAACTGGTAACAATGATAAGTGACAAGGGTGAGCTCCCCATAGCCATGGCATTGGCCAATGTGGTGACCACTTCCCAAATGGACGAGCTGGCCAGAGTCCTAGTCACCTTGTTCGATGCCAAACACCTGCTTTCTCCTCTTTTGTGGAACATGTTTTACCGGGAAGTGGAGGTCTCTGACTGCATGCAGACGCTCTTCCGTGGAAATTCGCTGGGCAGTAAAATCATGGCCTTCTGTTTTAAAATCTACGGTGCGAGCTATCTACAAATGCTGCTAGAGCCGTTGATTCGACCGTTGCTGGATGAGGAGGAGGAAACCTGCTTTGAAGTAGATCCAGCTCGCTTAGATCCGACGGAGGATATTGAGCATCATAGGAACAACCTGATTGCGTTGACCCAGAAGGTCTTTGACGCCATCATCAATTCGTCGGATCGGTTTCCACCGCAACTACGCTCAATGTGCCATTGCCTCTACCAAGTGCTAAGCAAACGCTTTCCAAACCTTCTCCAGAACAACATCGGTGCAGTAGGCACGGTAATTTTCCTGCGCTTCATCAATCCAGCCATAGGTGAGATATTCAACCATTTTTTTTTACAAGCTTACTTCTTTTTAACATGTCTTTCGCTTTCAGTGTCGCCTCAGGAACTCGGAATTGTGGACAAGCAGGTGCACAGCTCGGCGAAACGAGGACTGATGCTTATGTCAAAGATCCTTCAGAATATTGCTAACCACGTGGAGTTCTCTAAGGAACAGCACATGTTGTGCTTCAACGATTTCCTGCGTGATCACTTCGAAGCCGGTCGACGGTTCTTTATACAGATTGCATCCGACTGCGAGACGGTGGATCAGACTTCGCACAGTATGAGTTTTATTTCGGATGCGAACGTACTAGCCCTGCATCGCTTACTGTGGACACACCAGGAGAAGATCGGGGACTACCTATCCAGCAGTCGAGATCACAAGGCGGTTGGAAGGCGGCCGTTCGACAAGATGGCCACTTTGCTAGCCTATTTGGGTCCACCGGAACATAAGCCTGTGGACTCGCACATGATGTTCAGTTCGTATGCACGCTGGAGCTCCATTGACATGTCGTCGACCAACTTCGAGGAGATTATGGTCAAGCACCAGATGCATGAGAAGGAGGAGTTCAAGACCCTAAAGTCGATGAACATATTTTATCAGGCAGGGACAAGCAAATCTGGGTATCCTGTCTTTTACTACATAGCGAGAAGATATAAGTAAGTGGATCAGTTAATTTAAAAGGATTTCTTTAACTATATTTGTCTTTTAGGATTGGAGAAACCAACGGGGATCTGCTGATCTACCACGTCATACTCACGCTGAAACCCTTCTGCCATTCACCATTCGAGGTGGTCATCGATTTTACGCATACTTGCTCCGACAATCGATTCCGCACCGAGTTCCTACAAAAGTGGTTCTATGTCCTGCCCACAGTAGCCTATGAAAATGTTCACGCAGTTTACATATATAACTGCAACTCGTGGGTGCGTGAGTATACAAAATTCCACGATCGCATCCTGGCACCGTTGAAGGGAAATCGCAAGCTTCTCTTCCTGGAATCGCCAAACAAACTTTCTGATTTCATCGACGCGGAACAGCAAAAATTGCCGGGTGCGACTCTTTCGTTGGACGAAGATCTAAAGGTGTTTAGCAACGCCCTGAAACTTAGCCATAAAGATACAAAAGTAGCCATCAAAGTAGGACCTACTGCACTACAAATTACTTCTGCAGAAAAGACAAAGGTACTGGCTCACTCGGTGCTCCTAAATGATGTATACTACGCCTCCGAAATTGAGGAAGTATGTTTGGTGGACGACAACCAGTTTACCTTGTCGATAACCAACGAAAGTGGCCAGCTTAGCTTTATTCACAACGATTGCGATAACATTGTCCAGGCCATTATACACATTCGGAATCGCTGGGAGCTTAGCCAGCCGGATTCGGTGACAGTTCACCAAAAGATCCGACCAAAGGATGTGCCTGGAACATTGCTGAACATGGCGCTACTCAATCTGGGATCATGTGACCCCAATCTAAGGACTGCTGCTTACAATTTGCTTTGTGCTCTGACCGCCACATTTGACCTGAAGATTGAGGGACAGCTCCTCGAAACTCAAGGTCTTTGTATACCCTCCAATAATACCATATTTATCAAGTCCGTGAGCGAGAAATTGGCAACCAATGAACCGCACCTAACCCTGGAATTCCTGGAAGAGTCCATACAGGGCTTCCAACGCAGCACTATTGAGCTAAAGCATTTGTGCTTGGAGTACATGACGCCATGGTTAAAAAATCTTGTCAAGTTCTGCAAGTCCAATGATGATTCCAAGAAACTAAAGGTCTCTCAAATTTTAGACAAGCTCATCAATTTAACCATTGACCAGAAAGAAATGTATCCCTCAGTCCAGGCAAAAATATGGGGTTCGATTGGACAGATACCCGAGCTCATCGACATGGTTTTAGATAACTTCCTGCACAAATCGATCACATATGGCCTGGGATCTCCGCAGGTGGAGATTATGGCGGACACGGCGGTGGCTCTCGCTTCAGCGAACGTCCAATTGGTGTCCAAAAAGGTCATAACCCGTATTTGCCGGGTCATGGATAAATCTTGCACGAATCCCACGCAGTATCTGGAGCAGCACATGATGTGGGACGATATTGCAATACTCGGTCGGTACCTGCTCATGTTGTCCTTCAACAACTGTTTGGATGTGGCCACTTCGGTGCCGTATCTATTCCACACCATCACGTTTTTGGTCTGTTCGGGATCACTGTCGATGCGAGCCTCAACCCATGGCCTGGTAATTAACATCATCCACTCGCTGTGTACCTGCACGAATCCTTCCTTTTCGGAGGAGGCTCAGCGTGTCCTTCGACTATCCCTGGATGAGTTCTCACTCCCCAAGTTCTATCTGCTCTTCGGCATCAGCAAGGTCAAGTCAGCAGCAGTGACTGCATTCCGTTCCAGCTGTCGTCATCCCACGGATAAGTGGCTTGGAAATGAGAGAGTTACGCAACCTCTGCCTGCAGATCGGGAGCGTTTATCCCTTCCATCCCTAGAGGTCATTACGGATGCCTTACTTGAAATTATGGAAGCTTGCATGCGAGATGTTCCGGACTGCGAATGGCTTAACACCTGGACCTCCTTAGCCCGCAGTTTTGCCTTCTGCTATAATCCAGCTCTCCAGCCAAGAGCGCTAATAGTTTACGGATGCATTAGCAAAAGTGTAACCGACCACGAAGTGAAGCAGTTGCTCCGCATCCTGGTCAAAGCCTTGGAATCATTCAATGATCTCATCCTGATCGAAGCGCTAGTGATGTGTTTGACTCGCATTCAACCGTTACTGCGACCAGAGTCGCCTATTCATCGAGCCCTCTTTTGGGTTGCCATTTCGGTACTGCAGCTGGACGAGATTACCCTCTATGGAGCTGGTCTTGCCCTGCTTGAGCAGAATTTGCACACGCTCAAGTCACAAGGCTGCTTTGACAAGAAGGAGACCATAGCCGAGGTAATGATGAAGACAAGGGAAAAACTGGAGTGGCACTTTAAGCAACTGGATCATGCCGTGGGTCTTTCATTCCGCAGTAATTTCCACTTCGCCCTGGTGGGGCATTTGATAAAGGTAAGTTTTAGTTTTATATCTTATATATTCCGAATTTATTATATACCTTTATCATCTTTATCAGGGCTTCCGTCATCCTACACCCACTACAGTTTCTCGCACTTCTCGAGTGTTAACCATGCTGCTGGGTATCATAGCCAAGCCGCTGCATCGGGACAAGTTCGAGGTGACGCCTGATAGTGTGGCCTATTTGACTGCTCTGGTGGCTGTCTCGGAGGAAGTCCGTTCAAGGTGTCATGTGAAGCACGCCTTGCCCCGCTGGCCCGCCGATCTGAGTAGCAGTGTGGAAAATGGCGAAGCATCAGGAGGAGTACAAGCCGTAAGATTAGAAGTGATTGATCCGTGCAGGTTATGCTTATATTTTGCAATCCACCTTAGATTGGCCTGCCCCTGTCTCGTCGACAAAAAAGTTGGGACATTTTAGATCAGTCCGCCTTGCAGTTTGCCCGCCAACACAAGGTTCCCACTCTTCAGGTAAGCTCATAAGATTGATATAGTCGAGCTGTATTCCCCACTTGTTCGAAATTTGCTGTACAAAAGTTGTTATAACCATCTGCTATAGTAACTTTTGGCTATCTACTTGAGTTTATATATTCAATCCTAAATATTCTATATATATATATATATCCCACCTACTATGTATTATCAACTATCTATCGAGATCAGCCGTTGCATAACTAATAATCGTTCAATGATTTTTTCTTTTCTCTTTTTATGTTTGATTTGAATATAAAAAAAACGTTACATATAAATCACAATGTATACTCGTTAATACCGTATTTATGCCATAATCTGCCTGCCGAATCTTACATCTAATTGGTGCTTGTAACTCATCAATTTCGATATTACTATATGTCTTATATAAAATATAAACTATAAACTGCCACCTGCCACTTCTACTACTACTACTACTACTACGCATGAACATTGTCATTTGATTTACGTTTGATTTGGTTACCGAAACCCGCTAAAACTACAACTCCAACATCAACACTGTGCCAAAAAACAACAACATTAAAATAAACATCCGTAGAACGCGCGGGTTTTGTTCAAAACTCAACGCTCATTCTCGGTGCCGACAACCAAAGATCCAAATAATGCAACCGGCATCGAAGAACGTCAGGTATTGCTCAACAAAACTTATCTCTTAGCTAAACTAACTTACTACCCCACTAAATCCTATATTTATAAGCTCGCTACTAATCCCCACTCTAAAATTTACATTGATGTTTCGCTGTAATGTCATTTAGTTTTGTTATCCTTGCATGGCACTGAATGAAGGCAGAAAAATGCCACCAACTTCACTCCATGGCCAACTGCACATCTCGAATTAATCGTAGATTTTTCATCTTCACTATTTTCTTTCAATTCATATCTGTGTGTAATTGGATTGCTCTTCTATAGACAACATTGTTAATAACTTTCATTATATTATTAAACAGGAACGCGGCTCGCGTTCTTCGGTATCTAATGAGTCGAATGTCCTGCTCGATCCCGAAGTCTTGCCTGATTTGTCCATACAAGCCCTGGTGTTGACTGTCTTGGCCACTTTGGTCAAGTATTCTTCGGATGAGGGCGAAACGCGTGTTTTATATCAGTATTTGGCCGAAGGATCGGTGGTCTTTCCAAAGGTGTTCCCAGTTATGTGAGTAAATGCATTTATATTCTTTTTGAAAAATATTAATATGGTCTTTAATTTTCTAGTCATTCACTGCTGGATCAAAAGATTAACAATATTTTGTCAGTGTCACACGATCAAGTAGTGCTAAACTCTGTACAGAACATCATACAAAATATGTTGGCCAGCGAAGATCCCTCACAGCAGCAGCTTCACTTCCTACAAAGCTGTGGATTTGGAGGACTCTGGAGGTTTGCGGGACCTTTCACCAAGGTAAGATAATAAATCTACATAAGAAGACATAATATACAAACCGAAATATATTTTTAGTACAATATGATGGGAGAATCTTCTGAGCTGTTTGTCAACTGTTTGGAGGCCATGGTTGAGACCTGTTTGCCAGGTGATGAATCCGCCCCGGTGCCACCATCCCCGCGTCCCTATAACCTTAGCTCCAGTCTAAGTAGCCTAACCCTGGGTTCCCCCACGGACAAAGGTTAGTATCCGTTAGAGATTTCCCTTTAGCTTTTGCCCAGCTATACCGTAATGCATTGCTTTAACCTATAGAGCGTTTACTTTTCAATAGCAAGCTCCATTGAATGAACACAGAATTTTACAAACAGTATTTACTCAAACTTAACCTTTTCTTTATATCACACCAATTGCGATATATAGCATTCTCATCGGAATCATTAGATTTTTATGACAATTGCCCAGGCAGCGTCAGCAGCCTGCGCCGCGCCTCACACAGCAAATCACGCGCCAAACATCGAATTAACGACAGCCCATCACATTAAACGTTCAACAAGTAAAATACAAAAAATAAATTAAAATATAAAAACTGCAACTAAAGACAAACTAAGAATAGCTGAAAACTATGCCACAAAATAACACCACGATTGGTAACAAATATGTATTTCGTAGTTATATAAGCTTTGCCAAATGGAATTATAGTCCCAACACTCGAAACTATTCATTTTTGTAATTTTATGGACACCATATTTAATATGCAAATTGTTAAACACAAAACCAACAAAAACCCCAAAAGGGAATCTCACAAAGATAATGCACTTAATCGTACACGCATTAGCAAATTGATGTTGAAGATTTGAGAATATATATTGATGATAAATCTGGTACCTTGAAGCATTTACAAAATATTTTCGAAATCATTTGGGTGATTTAAATGCACCTTATGTAGCTCAGTAGTGTAGTGTTGTCATAAATATTTGTTGTTCCAAAAAATCTAAAAAAGTAAAAAAATGTAATTCACGATAGCTAAATTGTAACAGAGACCGAAAATATATTTCTGATATTTGCATGCCAAGAGCCTGTAAGAGATTCAGTTTCCAGTAGCTAATAATAACTAAACACAGAAAATACATCAAGATCAAGATTTTTATATATATTTTCATTGGAAATTATATTTTTTACGAGCGAATAGATAATTAAAGTAAATTATAAGTATTTTTAATAATCTTCACCGCTTTTTTGCCCAGATTTTCATTTCACCACCCAACTATTCCCTTCCTCGATATGTTTATGCAACTTTTATCTTACTTTCAGCTGCATGAATAACAACTACAAACCCGCGCACTAGACGTACCACACTAATCGCAAAAGTAATGCGTTTCCTAAATCTGTTTAAAAAGTGCTTTTAGAGAACGTGAAAACCCCCACAGAATGTCGTACAAAAAGATAGAATATTTATATATATTGGTATACGTATGTATAGAATGTCCAGAACCGATGGCCACTAAATGCGAAAGGAGGAAATGAACACGTTACTTGATATGTGTAAAAATGAATGTATATAAAAGTGTATGTGTAGAAAAGAGAGAATAGTGGATCGAGGATATTGTAAGCCCCATATAGAACAAGATATCGAACGGAAATATTTTTAAACATTTACCGATTGTACATTTACAAGTTTGCAATCCGCAACAGCAACTAGGCACACGAAGTCCACCAGTTCCTGAGAAGATGACCACGACCAGGCGAAACGGAGTTAACCAAGAAAGCGATTAAAGGCAAAATCAAACGAAACAAACAAAAGAATAACTTAAAGCTTTAAGAAAACGACATGTCCCCCCACATGTCGTTTGCATTGTTTTGTATTATAAAAAGAATCTCCCCGCAGCAAATGTATCAGATGGCATTTATTTTTTTGTAATCTAATTATTTCTAATTTTTTTTTTTTGTGTGAAACCAAGTTTATCCTACATTAGTCTTTACTAATTTATTTCATCAGCATATTTTCCAAGAAAATTCGAAAACACCAAAAACTAAACGAGAATAAGCTTAAAAGAAACGACCCAGTCCGCTTTAAATATAATTTAGTTTTTAAGCACAAACCAAGATTTTAATCGAAATAGATTTAATAAGCGAAAAGAATCGAACCAAAATAAAACCTTACGAACGTTACACATTTGTACCTCTTATTAAACAATAAACGAAACAAATTAGTCGGTTATACTAAATTTCTAGCACATGGATTTTAAACTGTATTTGGCGTTACCCGCATATTAAACATGAACAATTTTTTAACTAAATGAGCGAATTATGGAACAGGATTCTATACAATATTATTAATCTAAATGTATATGTGTGTGTTGCTATATGTGTATTAAACGAATATGTATCTTTGTATATTAAAGCCACTTGAAGATATTTATGAAATGTTAATGTCCCCAAAACTATCACTGTACAAGAATATCGAACAAATTTAAATACTTTCAATTAAAATGTTTAATGATTATAAGAATGTTTGTTTTATTGGGAATTTTTAAACCCTTAGACCAATATTTTACGGAATTACTTTACAATATTTTACTTAAAATCCTTGATCACTTCCCTGCCAGCAGATTTCCAACTTCAGATGTAAAAACCCACCCCACATAAGAAGAATGATTCATCATTGTCAGAAGCTTATCCCTCTTCTTAAATCTCGCATCCATGCAAATTGCCGCAATTGAATTCTTTGTTTTTGCATATGGCTGTCTTCCTTCAGTCATCCCAAAACCCATATCAAAACATTGCAACTCTGATGATCTCAGAAACCTCCCCCACGAAGAATACTGGAAATGTACGAAATCAGTGCCATCAGATGTCAGCGATGTCACTGGTGCCGTTTTCTGTTTGTTAACTTCTCGATTTCATGAACGCGATTGCAGCGACCCCTTGGTCTTGAATTTGAACTGAAACTCACCCTCGGGCAGGTGGATTTCGTCAATGGCCCAATCCGAAATGCCCAATCTCGCAAAATGCGCCAAACAAGTGTCACAGCTGACCGAAGCCGAGGCCGAGGTTGAGAAACCGGGAGCAGGAGTGCGGCACAATCCCAATACTTGTGGGAATGTCTCCAGTTAACTTTCTCACGATGCACATGCACCGACACCGACCGACCCATCCGAGCACCGGCTGTTTGCCGCTTGTCTGCTTGCCTGGGTGGTGCTATGCCGTTCCGTTGGTGGTGGTTGCTTCAGTGGTTGCTGCTGCTTCTGGTGCTCCGTGCCCGTAAGTGTAACGCAATGTCGCGCCAAAGAGGAAATGAGGTCTGTGTGACTGTGCGCCAAAAGGAAAGAATCAACAGTGAGAGAAAGTTATGTTACTTGCGATATAAAGAACATACGAAAATAATAGCAGTCATGATCAGGCCTTCATCTAAACAAACCACAGATAATGGTTAAGAAGATACTGATCGGATTTATAATATTAATAATACCTAAAACTTCTCAGAAATTTATATGTATTCAAATTAAAATGTAAACTCAAAACCAATTTTCTCTCAGTGTCCCTACACGCACACTAAAAACAGCCCTCACCCATGTGCAACAATGGCATTGCCTCGACGAGATTGGCTCTTTGGCTTAAGTGAGGACGGCACGCATGGGGCACGACTCTCTTTTCTCGAGAGGAATGGGAACAAGGGAGCAATGAGCGGGAAGAGTGGCACGGATGGCTGGCAGGCAGGTCGAGGTCATGTCGATGCCGATGCCGATGTCGTGTGTGCGTGTGGTGCGCTGCTGGTGGTGGTGGTTGATTGCTCTGGCTCTCGTCTTTCCTTGTCTCTTCTTCTACTTGCCCCTCACCTAAGACCCTTTTTGTGGCTGTTGCGCCGGCGCACGGTAACAGCACGAGGAAGAGAGACGCCCAAAGAGAGTGAGCTACTCGGCGTGGCGAAGATATGAAGAACGTGTTACTGGGCCCTAGTCAATGCACTGGAAATAACTTTTACTTCAAGACATAAAATTAAGAAAAAAATACTTAATAGTGTGATCATGCACTGTTCTGATAAGTTAAGAATTATATTACATATTTAGTAATAATGACTAAATTATTTACTATTTTGTAAAGAGAAAGCAATAAAAGCAATAAAATCTAAGAAAACTTTTGGCTAATTTTAATTAAACTAACTTTTTTATTTTAGTAACATATCCAAGGTATATCACCTATAGATTAAGATAAGTGCACACAGAGAGAGAGAGAGAGAGAGCTACAGCGGCTTCCGCCCGATCCAATTTTTTTTGATGTTGCACACGTGCAGCGCCGAGGGAATCTTGCCACAAGCAGAGAGTGACCCGATTGATGCTTCGTGGTGATCGTCGGTGTGGAGGAGCATTGTGATCGCAGTGCGTAGTGGCAGTTAGGGGAGGATTTCGATTTCGCAAGTGTACGGCACCGGCAGCTACGACGCTGTGTGGCAGCTACAAAAAGGATCAGTTTACCTTGCGGCAAGATCATTCCTCAAGTGACTACCGTGCAGTGCACAACGGCAGCAGCAACATCGCAACTTTATTTACAAACAATCACAACACCAAAGCCAAACATACATTATACACAATGGCCGTGCAGGGTCAGAGATTTATGACCAAGACTCAGCATTACCGAAAGGTAACCAAACCTCTGCTGGAGCGCAAAAGACGCGCACGGATGAACTTGTATCTGGATGAGCTCAAAGATCTTATAGTGGACACAATGGATGCGCAGGGCGAACAAGTCAGCAAGTTGGAAAAGGCGGACATTCTGGAGCTTACCGTCAACTATCTGAAGGCACAGCAGCAGCAGCGAGTGGCCAATCCGCAATCTCCACCAGCCATACAGGTTAATTTGGACAAATTCCGTGCCGGATACACCCAGGCTGCCTACGAGGTCTCACACATATTCTCCACCGTTCCCGGTTTGGATCTCAAGTTCGGCACTCATCTGATGAAGCAGTTGGGACACCAGTTGAAGGATATGAAACAGGAAGAAGATTACTCCGAAATGGCTGAAGAGCCAGTAAATCTATCCGATCAAAAACGCTCCAAGTCCAAGGAAGAGGATATACCCCATGGCGAAGATGTCTGGCGTCCCTGGTGAAGAACATCCCAAATACACGCAACCAATTATACATTGATAGCTTTACTACTCGGTTTCATGAAGAAACAATCCAAGTTTTCCAAGGTCTAGTGTAAACATTTGCCTCAGAATCGTATTTAGTTGGTAGTTGATTTGATATGATGTGATGTTCCTGTGATAGTTCTTAAGTTCGTATTTTGTATTTGATCTCCCATAGGCTTAACGATTCATGTATTTAATTGATTGTAATTTATTTTATCAACGTAACAAAGAGCTTCCCCACCGAGCTTCCACTTAGTTTCATTAAGGAAATATACTCTTGAATGCTTTAAATTTACATTTTTGCTTTACAACTTTTAATGTAAGCTATGAACACTGGAATAATAAAAAGAAAATAAACCAAAACATAAAGAGCGTTATATATAATATATTCGGGTCATTATTGGCTTAGTTATAGTCAAAACTCTGGTTAACATAATTTCCCACTTTTCATCAGCCTCATTTAAAAAAAAGCAAAAATTTTACTTTTCCGACCTTAACTGCAGAAATGTAAAGAATTAGAAAACAAGCTCAACAAGGTATTACATTACATATTGTCCATTATTGGCTTAGTTCTAATAAAAATACTGTCATTTGAGGGGGAAATCGGGGAAATCCAAAATTACCATTTTTATAAGGCGTTACATGTTTTTGTGAAAAATGGCACCAATTGGAAATTTTAAACTGTGAATGCAGTTCGACTAGTAATTAGAAAACAAGCTCAACGAGGTATTACATTCTATATTTGGAACATTATTGGCTAAGATATGGGAACAATACTGTAATTTTGGGGAAACAAAGGTAACCCGAATTTCGCATTTTTCATAAGGGGTAACATCATCAAAATTTGTGGAAAATGGCAAAAATTGGACATTTTAAACTGTGAATGCGATTGGACTAGGAATTTGAAAATAAGCTCAAGGAGGTGTGACACTCAATATTTGGACCATTATTGGCTATGTAATGGGAACAATTCTACGCCTTTTTGGGGAAAATCGGTATAAACTAAATTTCGGGTCATCATCAAATTCAAATTCATAATCATCAAAATTTTCGAAAAATGGAAAAAATTTTGGTTTGAAAATGTCATGAATTAGAAAACAAGTTAAACGGGGTATTACATATCATATTCGAAACATTATTGTCTTAGTTAGGGACATAATACTAGGGGTATCATAATTTTTTGCGAAAAATGGTCAACTCGATTTCGAATTTGATTTAAATAAATACCTATTAAATACCTATATTAATTATAGTTTTATACTGATTAAATCTGACCCACCTCAGAAGGTCGAAATGAAGCCACCCCGTTTGAGACCCCACTCTTGTCACAAATCCATGTCATGACCCACCCATCCATCGATTACAAAGGTCCTGGAACGCGAGCAACTTACAGCCGAAAGTGTGTCCACCGCGAGACACACGCGAGCAGCGCTCCAGGATCAACAGCGCTTGCCCGTTTTACATCTTGAATGGAGGGAGTCGGAGAGGTCCTGCCGGGTCAGGGGGATCGGGGAAGTCGAACACACATTAAGCACACTCGACGCACACGAGCAATGTTCCCACAGGATCATAACAGCCGACCAACAAGTGCAGGATGCCGATGCCGTTGACGATGCCCCTGTCCTTGTCCCTTCCTCTGCCGCTAAATACGAACCCGATCCGATTTGGAATGCCAACGGTAAACAGGAAGTCGTCGAGGAATCGCAACGCCTTGTCCTTATCCTTGCCCCCATCCCCCGGCGGAGGTCCTAGCTATCGTGGGAAACCCAGAGGACCCCGATGAGATGGCATAAAGCAGGCAGTTCATTATCCTTATTCCCCTCACCATAGTCAAATCATAACACACAAATCTAGAAACGGCAGCTGTTCGCTCTGCAAATTCCCATGCCCATGTCCATAGCCATAGCCATGCTTGGCTGCTTTTTGCGGGCAGGTGAGCGAGTCGATGTGAGAAACTGAGTAGGAAAGTGTTTCCCACGATCCTGGCAGCGATCCTGCTCCCTGGCTCGGTTGATAAGGGTGCCGGGGTAACAATAAGAAATCGCCTGAACAATAAGGAGCGGTCTCAAGAAGCGGAAGGGTCTATACCGGAGCAACCCTCATGCCAGCACACGAAGCGTGTCGCCGTCCCTTTTGCTCCTCAAATGCCAGCACACACGACGATCTCATTCCTTTGGCCCATTTTGGGGGTTGTTTTCTGGCCGGCTATATAAGGCCAGGCTTCGAAGGTCTCTCAACACACAACGTCTTCGACCGTCAGAGCAACCACAGCTCAAAGAACTCACATTACACCAAGAAATTCGAAAAGGAAAAATAAATACACACAAAATGTCGTCGCTACAAATGTCCGAGATGTCCAAGACCTATCAGTACCGCAAGGTGATGAAGCCTATGCTGGAGAGGAAACGTCGTGCCAGGATCAACAAGTGCCTGGACGAGCTGAAGGATTTAATGGTTGCCACTTTGGAGTCTGAGGGCGAGCATGTCACCCGATTGGAAAAAGCCGATATCCTGGAGCTGACCGTCACACATTTGCAAAAGATGAAGCAACAGCGTCAGCACAAGCGCGCTTCCGGCGATGAGAGCTTGACCCCGGCAGAGGGATTCCGTTCCGGTTACATTCATGCCGTGAATGAAGTCTCCCGTTCTCTGTCCCAACTGCCAGGCATGAATGTCAGCCTGGGCACTCAATTGATGACCCACTTGGGACAACGTCTTAACCAGATCCAGCCAGCCGAAAAGGAGCCTTTGCCAGTGACCGCTCCACTCTCCGTGCAGATTGCCAGTCGGGATGCCTACTCCGTGCCCATTTCTCCAGTCTCCAGCTACGCCGGCAGCCCCAACTCGAATGCCAGTTCAGCCAGCCATTCGCTTTTGACCACCATCGATGTTACCAAGATGGAGGACGACAGCGAGGATGAGGAGAACGTCTGGCGTCCCTGGTAGAAGGGAATAACTTTTCCCACATCAATGAAAAGAACGAAGGAGAGATCATAGAAAGTAAAAGTCTTCCGAGTCAATGGAATTCCCCATCCGACTCCCAACCTAGTTTTAAGTTAACACCGTACACACACAAAGCTTTAGATGAGGACGCGCAGTTCATGTGATAACTAAATAAATAATAAATTATATAGATAAAATTGAAAGATCACGACTTTTTTCTGCCACTATTAAGTGAATCACTTTGAGGTGATCATGCAAATTGCTGAGACACTCCCATAGCCAAACAGTTCTCAATAATTTTGCGGTCTAGAACGGAAACGCAATAGCACCTCTGTTTGTCCACTAAAACTATTCGATCGCCCCACGATTGCACACAATTACACACTCACACACACACAATCGAATAGACAAAAGAAAGCGAAAACAATGCCAAGGCCGAAACAAGAAGAATTAAGCAGAAGTAGGAGAAAGAAGCTACCGCTGGACCATGGCCTATGGGTCTCTTTTTTTGGTTGTTGAATTTCGAACACGTGTGCGGACAATAAGCGAAGGTAACACAGAAAATTAGAGTCTTATCTCGGCGTGTCTATTCGAGTTACGACAATGTCGCTCAGACTTAGAGGAAAATAAGAAAACGGGCATAAAGCCTAAGGGAGGAACCCGAAATAGGGATCGAGTCATCATTCATCCCGCATCCATCCTGATTTCGCTTTGTTCTCCTCCTGTTTTTCTTCCCCCGTGATTCTCTTTGGCCACTCGGCTAGAAAATCGTGTGCACAATGGTCAAGGTAAGCTATGGGCACATAATTGCTTCGGATCAGGTAAATGAGTGCCTTGCCCTAGGGCAACTTTAAGATGGAGGAGCCCCAGCCGGGGACAGGATATCGTTTTTTTTATTCTTATTTGGTTCTTTTTTATGGTCTCTGCTTCGGGTCTTTTGGGTTTTTTTTGGTTTCGTTTTTTTTTTTTTTTTTTGATTTGACTGACCCAGCATCATTTGGTTATCTCTGGGCCAAGACCAGTAGCCGATCCCCAGACGCCTCTGTCTTTAAAATCGATGGCAGGGCACAACCAGGGAATAGTCAACGAGATTGGTATCGGGACTGTCTTGGGACTAGCGATGGCCTGGTCTGTTAGGGTGTAATAAATTCAAAGGAACTAAATTTATAGAGATTTTTCAGCTGATTAAAAATCTGTTAACTTGTTAAGACCGAATGTAGATTATCTTTTGAAGATCACCTTCACAACAGGCTCTCTTAAGTGTTTAAACTTAATTTTACATTTCCGTCCTTTTCTCTGGTGCCAGCAATTATTTATGGAAATGTTTAAGAATTGGTGATTAAGAATTTATAAATCCAATTAAATGTATTATAAATAAAAAATCCTACTGAGGAGTTTTATATAGTAACTATCATAAAACATTTATAACATTTTATTGGTATGATCCAGCATTTTTCTCTCTTTTACTTCGTACAGTTCCTGATTAAAATTGAGAGACTTTAATACAATACTATCAATACTAATTCCTCCCATTATAGACTCATTACAAACACTTCCAAACCAAACATAATTAACAAGGTCACCCCACAAAATGGTTTACTATCCCTTCCACCCCAAGATAACTTTATAGCCTTGAAATTAAGGACACTCCTTAAGAGGCATGCAAAATCTTAACTCACGTTCGAACCTTGTCCATCCTTAGATGATCCGATCAGGCGACATAACTGTCGAGCTGACAATAAGAGGACCAACACCAACCAACCCGATCAGACCCAGTTTTCTGTACTATACCCGTACAATGGGCAATAAGAAAAACACAGAACCACAGGGGTATGCAGAGGAATCGCACCCAAAATGCCAAAAAGGAAATGCAGGCACAAAAGATACTTAATCTTATAGGTAAACCCGATGAATGATGAACGAATGGCGGCGACGTAACCGAACCCCCGATACAGCAATCCGGCAATCCGGCGATCGAGCTCGAACGCAAGCCCAAGTCATTAAAAACTACAATACACAAACTGCATACGAATCACTCGAAGACCGAGGCCCAAAGAAAGGGTCTCTTGGAGGTGGTAGGGGAAGGGTCTCATGAAGACAGAAGACCGGGGATTGTAGCCAGAAAAAAAAACTAAATATCAGAAGCGAAGATCGTGAGAAAATGGTTTGGAACGTGGTTCTCACACGATCGACACACCTGCCCTTTTTATGTGTGTGTGTGTATGTGTGTCTGGCTGGGCTAGCTCTGTGTGTGTGTACTTTTACGAATTCAAGATACAAGACCACTTACGGACAAGATCACGACCGACTCGAGCTGCGGCTATATGGCTATAGATCGACATGAAAGAGAAAAGCAGCGTGCGGTAAGTGTGTCTCAGTCGAAGGCTCAGCTTCAGCTTCAACTTTTGTGCATTGGCCAACATTGTAATGACTGTGGACACACGATCGTTAAGAGCGCGCCGTGTGATCTGGTCGAGAAAGGGGTATGAGGTAAGGGGCAACCATACCGACTATGAGCTCGGGATCGGCGCATGCGTCGCTGTTTTGTTGAACGAACTCAATTTAGTTGGTTTATGACCAAAAAGCGAGAGCAAGCGGGATGCAAGAGGAGGAGATCGGTTATGGTGATCGGAGTGGGAGATGGGAGATGGTCGTTGGTCGCTGGGGAGTTTGTAGCAGTGGAGAGGCACCCAACCACACTTATATGGTGTGCTATTGACTCTGTAATATCTTTAATATGGGATGTTGTTACACTACATTGGCACACGCTCTTGCTGCCACTGGACAAGCTGCCCACAGGTTGTGTTTGTATGGGGATTGTAGTATGGGCATGGGCATGGGAATGGGAATCGGAATGGATGAGGTGGCGGCTGCTGGCGGCGACCGAAGATCGAGGCACGAGTGCCGACTCCATCCCAATCCCATCCTCATACACAACCCATTGCCAGGCCGGTTTGCCGCCGCCTCTCCTTTATTAAGTGGTGGTCTTGCGCTTACTTTAATATGGCTGCATTAAACCTTAGCGGCGTGCGGAGTATTATGACTGAAGTAGGTGGCCGGACCCGCGGTGCATTCGATGGGGGCCCACCGACACACAGAGGTCACGTGATGGATGACGTGTGGGCTCTACTGTACCTCCTGTCACAAGATTTCAAATGGGTTGGGTTAGGTCCATAAAACGGAAAAGGATTATTAAATATTTAACAGCTAAAAAAAATTGTTTTATTTAATTTTCAAATATGTTTTTCAAATTAAATTTTACTTTCTTTACTTTACTTTCTTTCCTTTAATTTTTGTAAAAGAAATTGATGTGATTAAAAGGAAAGGCACAGTAACAGTAAGGCAGTCATCTAATAGTTCTGTAGTATATATGGTTATAGTTTTGAGTCAGCATTGGGATTTCTTTCAGAGATAATCAAGCATGAGGTATATTCAGCTATGGATACTCTGAAGTCATCAAAAATCAAATTCATTAAGCTCTTGGAAATGACGCACGTTTCGGCAAAAAATAAAAATCAAAGCCGACAGGTTTAATGGGAACCCCTCTAGATCAGTTTCACAAACGAAGCCATCCAATTGGCCCCTGGCTATGGCCTAGACTGCCCCTCTTTGTCAATCCCGAAGTGAACCGATCGCCTTTCAACTGGTCCATCGCAAAATAGATCACCCATTTCAACGGACTACCGTTGAGCCCTATAAATAGCCGTTTTGTACCCCAAAAAAAAAGGTAAAATAAATAACAGAGAAGCGCTAAAAAAGCTCAACGAGTCTCGAGACTTGGCCGTCTCCATGCCAAAGTTACGTGACTAATCACATTTTCTGAAGATTAACAGCAATCAGCGGAGACTTGAACGGTCCCAGACTCAAGACGACCTGGTAAGTAGTCATCATCATAGTTGTCCACCAGACAAAGGCGCTGAATCCGAGGTTCCGTAATCGAACCGCACTTCGAAACCCATACCCATACAGAGTTGGAGGGTTTAAGTCTTAAGTGCCGAGACGGTCGCGGTCGCGGGCTTAATTTGCAATGTCTGACCGCCGGTCCGCGCATGTGCCAAGCGGTCAAGCGCAGTTAAAGCTGTCAAAGCCTGGAAAAAAAACTAAACTAAGAAATAAAAATAAGCGAAACACAATGACCACAATGCTGAGCCATTGACAGCGGAGCCGCGGTTCTCACACTCGGCGGGCCTCATAATAAATGACGTTTCCTAGAACTGACTTTTTGCTTTATTTTATTATTTAATTGCGACAGCGCCGGCGCAAAAGTTCCCGCAGATATACTCGTATGTCCGTACATATATATACCCCTTGAAAGCCCCGCATACCCTCGGAATCGGAATTCTCGGGGCATAATGAGGCCAACCCAGAGAGCCCCAGACGATAGTCCGAGTGTGGGAAAATATTCAGCGACTTCCGGCTGTGGGCTCTGCGATTCGGTTCGCCATGGAGTTTATCTCTAATTCGTTTCTTGTTTTAAGGGGTTTCTTTTTATAGTGACTTAGTTTTGCGGTTGGACGCCTACTAAATGTCTGGGAAGTTTGAGTAATCAGTGCCGGACCCTAGTTCTATGGGAAATAAGTAAATACAAAGGTTCTTAAGTTGGAAATTCATTTATTTTCTTTTCAAATTCTTCTTCTCTTTCTTTTTTTTTAGAAAAGTAAGCAGCAATCTCTATAGCCGGAATGACTCTGCTAGAGATTGGGGCGTCTGCTGGGCTGCTGGGAGTAGCTAATCCTGGGCAGCAAGTGATGGACTCCAAGGAGCTCGGTGCGGTTTCGATTCCAGCACCTTTTAGGGGCGATGATTTGTAGAAGCCTTCCGTTTGAAGGCGATCCAGGTGAAGATCAACCAAAGTCCAGTGCTCACCAGGGCCTCCACATGGGACCGGAGGTGGAGCTGGCTTCACTGGGCGCCGGGCTGCAGGCTCCGCTTTCCAAGCTGCCGCATTCCGATGGTGGTGGCGTGACCATAACCTGATCTTCCACTGGAGCTTGAAGGGGAACTCCAATTGGCAGCGAAGGAACCACCACTTGCAGGTAGTTGAGACGATGACCCAGGTGACTCATAAGCTGGGTTCCGAGATCCACACTCACTCCGGGAACGGCAGCCAAAGTTTTGGACACTTCATTGGCAGCATGGACGTAACCCGCACGGAAACTTTCGGCAATGCTGAGCTTGGGATCGGCGCTTGAGGATCCACCGGAGACACTGGACAGACGCAGTTGCTTCTGGGCGCGCAGCTTCTTCATGTGCTCTACGGTAAGTTCCAGGATGTCGGCCTTCTCCAGCCGGGTGATATGCTCGCCCTCTTGAGTAAGGCACTCCACCATAATGTCCTTCAGCTCGTCCAGGCATTTGTTGATCCTGGCACGACGCTTCCTCTCCAGCATGGGCTTCATCACCTTGCGGTACTGATAGGTCTTGGACATCTCCATCTCCAGAACCATTTTGTTTATAGTGATTCTTTGTTGAGGTTTTATAAGTGACAGTTAAGTAAACTCGCGTAATCCACAGTCGCAACGTTCCACTAGACCAAGACAGAGACTCTGTGTGCACGCAACGAAGTCGGAGCTTTGAATGAGTCGGCTGGCTGTGGGATCGGCTTTATATAGCCTCTGCCGCCCTGGGATATCGCCAGTGAGTGCGAGCGGGAGACTCATTTTGCCTCGTGCGCGGCCTGCTGCTGTTGCCAGCGGTGGTTTCTGATGGTTTTGGTGGTGCTAGTGTTGGTAGTGGTAGTGGTGGTGGCTTCTGTATTTTTTTTTTGTATACTTTTGCCTGTTGTATATGTGAGGGCAATAAAATGACTTGAGCGAGCTGCGCCTTGTCCCTCTCTCTCTCTCTCTCTTTCTCTCTCTATCACTCCTTATGTATGTGTTGTGATTGTTATACCGTGGGAAACTGTTTCGCAGCCGATTTCCACGACGACGACGATGACGACGACGGCTGGCCTGACTTCTTCTGATTGTGCATGCTTGGGGTCTTGTACGATCCCTCGTCTGTCTTTCAGTCTTTCTTGGACAGAAATACAGTGGGACAGACGGACGGACAGACAGACGGACCGCCTTTAAGAGGTCTGTGCGACTTGGGATCCCAGATACGATGCGAGGCGAGCACATGCCTTCCATCCATAACAAGATGTTTGCATTTCAATTCATTTGTATGGTCGGCTTTAGTCCGGGGTCCGGTCTTTTGGGCTTCAATTCGGTGCGGTTCGGCTGAGGTCTCAAGTCTTGCCATGTGCCTTCACCCTTTTGCAGTAGCTTATGGCACGCTGATAATTGTGGAATCGTCATCGGTCCGGGCCAGGCCGGGCCAGCATTTCTTGGTTTTTTTGTTAGCGCTTTATGGATCATTGATTGGATCGTGGTAGTCGTGGGTTTCGTGGGACGAGCATTACGCTTTTCGTTTACATGATTATTCTTGATTGTCGGTTGGGGATCGGTTGGGATTCGGTTGGGGGGATCGGTTCAAGGAGGGGATCTTGGGTCGTCGCTCGCTTCTATTTGTAGACAATTACCATCTCCACTGCTGCCTGGGAACCGATCGAAATCGACGTGTGCGCGAAAGTCGGTTACAATCGTTATGGTTGTTGCCAGCACACGCTATAAATGTTATGGCTCGTGGGGTATATTTATATATATTTAACACATTCGCTTTTTTTTTTGTTGTATTTTTAGCACTATATCTTTATGATTCATCAGCTTGAAACGCTAGATCTCCATCCGCCGGCATCTGATACATCTGACACATCTCCGGGCCAAAGCTCAGATTTCACAATATTTAATTAGAAGTGCCGGGCGACGATGACGCTTGCTTGCTTGGCGTCCATTGAAAATGACACGAGCCCGGCTCATTGGCACACAAATGAGAAATAACAAAAGGCCAGAAACGACAGCTACTCACTATATAAATACAAGCTCAAATAAGACAAATTAAGATTGCCCCTCGACGCATTCGAAATGAGCTACAGTTAGCCGAAACAAAACAGCAAACGGCAATAAACGGGCCAACACAATCGGTTAACAACTTATCTAACCGAAACGCTTTGTCCGCTGGACCGGGACAGTTAAACTGTGGTTGTCAAAAAGCTGAATGCTCCGGAAATGGCTAATTGGACTATATGGGTCAGGAGTGTTGCAGAAGTCCTTAGGGGAGGGTGGTATGTGCACTTTTGGGGTGGGTTTAACTGGAATATTTCCAATTTGCAATTTGAGATAATTTATTATAAAAATATTTTAGAAAATACTGAAAATACCTCAAATTGATATGTAATCTTTAATTTACTAGGATTATTGCAAAAACAGAAATTAATTTAGTTTAGTTACAAAATGTATATACCACATTAATTTAGATATTAACAGAATTGATTGGACAATTTGAATAGAGAATAGAGAAACATCGTCTACATTTTATTTTAGACTTGCAAGTGCAAAGTGTCAAATAAATTTTTTATATAAATAATGTTTACCCTTAATGTTTAAAATCATTAAAAAATTCATAAAACAACCAATTGACTGTATATAAAATAAATATTCCAAAAAGTCTGTGAACAAAATTTCTAATAATTAAGATTTTTGGATGTTCTGATATCCGTGTAATCCCTGTAAAAAATACCCATACTTTCCCGAATGATTTTCAGAGCCTAACAAGTTCTGAATCACTGCCATAATTCCAATCATTAATACCAATTGCAGCAATTAAGGTACTCAGTGGACGAGCACGTGCCCTTAATAGATTAAATCAAGTGTGGGCTTATAACTTAAAGTGCATAAAAACCAATCAGCTGGCTTATAATACACTCATTTCAAGAATATTATCAGAATTAATAAGGAAGTCAAACCTAATCATGAGTCATGAATGAAATTTCATCAGATTAGGCAATGCTCGATGATGGGGTGTAGCGCATATGACCAAGTCGCTTAAGACCAACTGGCCTTTATACACCCAATCATCCGAAGATATAAGCACACCAGCATACACACACACACACATACATATACATCTCAAAAGACCTCATTTCTCTCGCTTTATTATTTCTCTTGGTTGCTTTTTTGTTAAACAATTTTTTTTTATTTTATCGATGGCATACGCACGCGCGAATTTCAGTGCCCCCGCGGAGTCGGAGCGATCGCCAAAGGGGGCGGTGTGGCCAGGGGCGGGGCACGAGAGCGTGCAAAACTCGGAGACCAGAGACCCAGAGCAACAGCAACACACTCTTTGTGTTAGTGTGTGTGTGTATGGGCATAGCGTGTTGTTGAATTAATTTATATCCAACAGTGCGCTTTCAACTTTATTGCGCCGCGAAAAGCAACCAGCCAAGTCAGCAGTCGTCGGTGTGTTCCCCCATATCCCCCTTAAAACCGCCTCTTGAAAAGCCCCTCCAAATAACCCCTCCGAAAACCCCCGCAAACCCACAGATACACAAGCTCACAGATACAACGCACACCAAGGCAACGCCAGACCGTGGGAAACAAACTCGTGCCAGTCGTTTCATTGCTGTCAAATAATATCTTGATGGGGATCAACTTGAAAAGATTGGTTGGGGCTTGGGCTCGAGCTCGGTCCACCGCTCCGGGTCTCCGTGTCCGTCTCTTTGGCCCTCCTCTGGCGGTTGCCGCTGTTTAGGATGCGGTCGACGCTTTTGTTTTTTTCTCATTTTTTTTTCGTATTTTTTAGATCTCTTTTTTAATGCTTTACACATTTGTTCGTCATAGCCGAGCGTTAAGTATGTGTGTCCATGTGTACACTGCGAAAAAAGGGGTGAGGATGGGTAAACTAATAATATTCAGTCTTGTTATATTTATGTATAAGTATATAAGTATTACCTCTGCTAAGAGTTTCTCAATGCTGATACGTAATGAGACAGCAATTTATAGCTATAATTTTAAAATAAATATTAATAACAAGTTTCTTACATAAACAACGTTTTCCTGTTAAATATGATTAGATATTGTTTGGAATAGTAAATATAATATTATTTACTTAGTATATGATATTAAGAGGATATAATTTATTGGCCTATGATATTTTTTTAAGTGTACCCGTTGCTGGCATTGGCATCTCTCGTGGTGTATGTAAAGATCCAAAAAGCCAAAAACCAGTTTGCCATCCGCCAAAGCCAGTGGACTCTGCTCTGTGGCTGCTGGGATGCCGACACATACTCCGCTCGGAGATCACATAAAAGACCCGGCACACCTCCTACTGCAACCTCGCCCCCTCCACACTATCCCCCCCTTTTAACCAACGGCTTGTGAATGGCTCCTCCGCCTGCTTTTATGCACTGTTTGTTGTGTATACACGGTCGGGCACTTGGCACGTTGCCCATTATCTCTCGGCGACTCCAACTCAAACTGGAACTGAGGCTGAGACTGAGACTGAGGCTGTGGCTTTTATTTTTTGTAAAGATTTCAAGTGCATATATCATATTACCACCACCAGCAGGCAGAGATGCATCATCATTCTCGGCCTCCGCCAAGTGTAAACTGTCAATGGCCCCTTGACAGGAGGCCCCCAGATAGTGTGATCTCTCCCCCAAAAGACTCCCACTTTGGAATTTGGATCTTGAATCTTGAATTTTCCCCTATTGTTCCCAGCTAGTCTTGGCAGGGGGTGCAATCTGTACGATCCATTAGTGGCACTGATAAAAAAGAAGCCATTAAATAGGATCCCCTAGCCAAACAACAAGTCATTAAAAAGTATCTTCAAGTACGCGTTCGTATCTCGCCCTCAGCTCGCTTTGCACACACTTTCTCCCTGCGCCTTATCGGGTAATCCCTCTGGCTTGAAATTGTATATATATTTTGAGAAACCCTCCCTATCGCTCCACACTTTCAGCACACTTGGGCCGCAAGAAAGGGAATTAATTAAAATATCTATAAGATTCCCAGCTCACCCCTGGGGAGTGTTTTCAAAATTGAAGACAAGACAAGTGGCAAGTCCGTATTTTATTGGTGGTGGTTTCAGTGGTGGTGGCAAATGGATGCATCGAGCCCTGTGGGAAAGTTGGAAATCAAAACACCATAACAAGTGATTCGAGATGCCTATACAAATAGTAGATCCAACCCCAAGTTCCCTGATGCCCTTTTATATTCGAAACCAGAGCCAGGACGAAATGTGTGGGAATGCGTGGGAATGGTCCTGGGATTTCGAAAACTGAGAAACTCGGTCCCCTATCCGTAGCCTTTATGTTGATTGCCCATTAGGAATACAATTTGCAACTCCTTTTCCATGACGTGATCCCCTTGTTGATCCTGGGCTTCCTTCGGTGTCGTGAGAAATTTTACCAAGGAACACCTGCCCCGTATCGGTGTGTCCTGGATTGTCCATGTGTTGGTGATTTTTTCTGCCACTCTGGGGATTTCTCGGGGCACTTGAATACGTTTCCGAAAATTTTGAGGCCAACGAAAAATTGTTTCCCACACTCGTCGGACAGTTGCAGTTTTTGTAGGGGTTTGTTTCCTTCGACGATGCACTCATCTCTCGTCTCATCCCGTCTCGTCTTTACCTGCTCCTGAAACTTCCCCCCCAGCTCCTGGTGAGCGTCGTATTTCAGGTTCTCCGCCCCGATAATCTTTGAGTCTTTGAGGGCGAGGGTCTCTGGTTTTTGGTCTCTGTTTGTATTCCCCGTCCCTCTCTGCTGTGCGTGCCGTTGGTAGGGGTCCGTTCTCGCCCTCTCTGTCGCTCGAGCGCACAGGAAATGCACTTCGAGCCGGGTCGGCTATAAAAGCCGTCCGTTTGCCGGTTGGGAAATCATTCTGACATCGTCAGCCTTTCAAGCAACACGCACTCAAACAAATACATATTCTCAACTAAAAATGTGCCAACAAGTCGTTGTCGTCGCTACCACCAACAACAAAATGAAGACCAGCTACAGCATCAAGCAGGTCCTGAAGACGCTTTTCAAGAAGCAACAGAAGCAGCAGCAGAAGCCTCAGGGCTCTCTGGAATCCCTTGAATCCGTCGATAATCTACGCAACACCGAAGCTGAGGAGGCCTACTATGCCGAGATCGATGAGAACGCCGCTAACGAGAAACTGGCCCAATTGGCCCACTCTCAGGAGTTCGAGATTGCTGAGGAGCAGGAAGATGAGGAGGACGTCTATGTCCCAGTTCGCTTCGCTCGCACCACCGCCGGCACCTTCTTCTGGACCACCAACCTTCAGCCAGTCGCCAGCGTTGAGCCTGCCATGTGCTACTCCATGCAGTTCCAGGATCGTTGGGCTCAGGCTTAAGAAACGAAAAAACTCAATGCCTCACCCATCAATCTTCAAGCTTTAAGAACTCTACAAACATTGTGATAGCACCAGCGGCTTTAACTCATCAACAATCTCGGCGATCCAGCGCTTCCATTAGTTAATAAGATATTGTGATAGAACAAAAAACAAGCTTTAAAATAAACGTACAAAATACAAAACAAGATATATCAAAATCAAATTCATTCATCTTATAATTGGGCCTGGGGTTTTCAGTTTCAGCGTTGAAAGACAACACCGAAGTAATCTTCTGGAAGATTGTTATGATTCGCTTGGCATTCCATATGAATGAATCGCTTGTTGTCCTACTATAAATATTATTCTGGAAGTCAACGTGCCAGATAAGAACCACAACTTGTACAGATATTTCGAGTTATTTCCAGCGTATGATAAAAGATGAGAAAACACTGGAATTACTTCCCATAAAGTTCCTTTGTTAAGATTTCGGAGAAGTTTGCTGAGTAAGAGTTGATTGTTAGAATGAAAATAGAAAAATATACTGAAAATATAAGAATTATTAGAAGGGCGTATACATAGTTTGGGAAAAATAAGCAGACATTAAGTAAATAATAATCCAAGTAACGACATAGTGTTATGAAATTACCAAGGAGTTTAAGCAACAAATATGCAAGTTAAGAGAATATTGAAATTTGAACTTTTACGATTTGAATTAAGAGGAACTTATACAATATCATATGATTAGGGATCTCTTATTAAAAAGATTCTTTTGGAATCTTAAAAATATGTTATAATTGACTTGGGCTATATAAAGATACTCCTGTAACTGGGTCAGTTGGAGGAATGTTGTTACTCCAGCGCATCCTGCTTGAAATCCAGCGCACACTCCACACGAAAGTCAATTCTTTGGATAGCTCTGTCCCAAAATGGACAACCTTGCGGCCAGCCTTGTCTTGTGGCCAGAAGGTGTAATGTGCTCACACTTCGGAGAGATGGCTGAGAGCCAAGTTGGCCAAGAGCCAAGTGTTATGGCTATCACCTTGGCTAAGGCCACCATCGCCACTTGTGTGCTACCAAATATGGATGTCGTGCGCATAACTTCACGGCAGCTCCTGGCAAACAGCAAACGGCAAACGGCTTGTCGTACAACTTATTTATGAGTCGGCGAGGGAGTGGAGAAAGGCCCAAAGGCGGTGGAAAAACCCCCAAGAACCAGGTGAAAGATCCCAGAACCAGGGAAGCAAACACCAAAAACCACAATTAAAATGCAACATGTAGACGTCAACACCTCAAGACATCGAATCACATGCCAAGGCGTCTCGAGGCGGACGTTGAAATTGGGCATAAAAACAGTTGCCGCAAAAGATAATCGCCTTGGCTAGGGAATCATCAATCCGACGCAGGTCCCGCACACGAATCTCACTCTTTCACACACTCTGTCCGTCCCCCTCTATCAATCTCAAACGCATTTCTCCTACACTAAAAATGCAAATTGATGTCGACAGCCGGGAAGGAGGCAAACGAAGGAGTTGGAAAATAAGAAAATAAAATAACAACATGAATAACCAGATAAATCGAGAACAAATCGTATATACCCGAAACTAAAGATACTCTATTACCATAGATAATATACTTTATTAAATTCTTAACTAAATATTTTTTAAATGTTATCTGATATTTAACTTATATAATGAACTAAATAAAGTAATAGTTACTAAATGTAAGTATATCTTATTTATATTTTACATATTTTTTGATTAATTTTTTCCTTGAACAATTTCAAGAAAATTCTAATTAAATAAAAATCAAGCAAGCTTATCAAGTTTCTAGTCAATAACATAACACCCTCTCGGAAGTGAAGGAGTTCTGGTAGCGCCGTGACGTAAATTAAGTAGCAATATAAGATTCTGTTAAATTGCCTTTGACATCACATAATTAATTTCGTATGCAAAGCGAGGCTTGTCTGCACGAAAGAATTGAAAATTGGAAGAAAGAAGCCATCATGGAATGCCGTTGATAATGCTGATGACACTGTTCATGTGACGATGGGCGATGATGATACGGGGGGAATTGGTGCCTGCGATGGCTATCTAGATGGGCCGTGGCTCATTTGCATACCTGTGCACCGAGACAACCTGATCCTGCGTCGAGCTGTCTTCGCCGTGTTTCTTTATGCCTAACATTGGTTGTGGGATTGGGATTTTGATTGGGCTGTGGCTGGTTTGTCTTCAGCGATGGGTTTAATGTACGCGTGTGTACCCAATTCCAGTGATGACCAGCGGAGCGGCCTTCGCGTGCGTGACGAGCATTCGCTTAGCGGTCATTGATTGGCCTGGCCTGTTGGTTTTGGCCAGGTCTATGGAGGGCGCCGTCAGCAACAAGTGTGTGAACACCATTAAACGGTGATTAGGCCCGGCCACCACCACGCTCCCTTGGCCACCACCGCCGGGACTTGGGATTCTCCTCCTCCTCATCGCTTGTGTGTGTTGTTGCGTCGAGAGGCCTCAATTACCCTTATGCCCCATGGAGATCGACAGTTGTGATGAACTGTGCAACAATGTGGGCGGTCAGAATGTTGTAACCGAATTAGATCGAAATGTTTGAGGAGATCCAAGATCGTTTGTCAAAACGTAGGGAACTGAAGTTAATGGGGGATTTTGTATACGATTTTATAATGAGCTTATTATACCCTATTGAAGTCTCACAAAGACATTTAAGCTATTTAACATCAATTTAATAATAATTTTATTAGCGCTTGTAAAAATGTACTATTAGTAAAAATTAGCATTTAATTCCGTTATAAATTAGTTTAAAGTTTAAAGAAAAACCAATTAATAATTTATTATTGTAAGTACTTTGTTTATGACACCTGTTTAGGTGTTTTGTTTATGTCTAAATAAACTTCCAAAAATTCCATATAAAGTAAGCAATCAAAACATCCGTTAATTTGATAAACAATTAAAAAACATCACGCAGTTCCAAAAAAAATACTCAGTCATCTCCCAAAAAAAAGTTACCTCAACTTGGATATCCGTAAACAAAGTTATCACCAACTGAAGAAAAACAGCAACATCCGAAAAAATACTTCATCGATATTATCAATATTTTCAGACAGAAAATGTGATAAACAAGATAATAAGTCGAACTTTGATGATGTCTTTGGAACAAGCCAATAGAAAAATCTAGAAGGGTACTAGCTTCAGTAAACCAAAGTTTTAATGCCCTCACAATAATATTTAAGGAAACAGTTTTAAATTGTTTAAGAAAAATCAAAACTTTTATCGAAGATAATATATATTTTCATTGCCTTTTTTAGTTAGTTTACATAAGTTTGGATAAATTTATATATGGTAAAGTCCATCGAATCATGTTAAAGTTGTGCCATCGGAATCAGGAATGAATCATCTATTCGAAGCGCTTTTCGGTGCGGTCCTCATGGGTAATGGTAATGTCCACAGTATGCATGTTCGGCAAAAGGAAATCTTTCAGGACAACAGCATTTAGCTGAGGCATACGGTCGAAAGGATAACCCATCGACCTGCGATCCGGATATTTGCGATCGCGGATTCCGCAATACGATCCGGCATCGTTGCAACCACCCACAGTGTCCTGGTCAATCTGGAGAAGATTATAGGTTAAGAGTCAAAATAAGTCTATCAATCCCTCTCATAAGACTTACCCTATCATTATCATAGTTAGAAATCATGACGAACAATTCAAAGGGTAGACCCTCGGGACGACCCTTCGGCACTAGCATGTGATTAGGCCAGCCGCAACCGCAGAAGAAGCTCTCCTGTTCCTCCGGAGAATTTTTAGCCGGAGTGTTTTCATCCAGATTGCGGAAAGTGCGCTCATACGGAATGGTCACACTCGATTCAGTAGATCTGCGTACAAATGTATTAAGTCCTGGATTCAGCTGCACCACAAACTTGTCCAGCTCAATCATCGCAAGACGCTGCTCCGCCAGAAATGAGGAAACATTACGACCATTAGGCTTGGGCGCCATGAAGATGCGAACGTAACCAAATCGAGCGGCATTTGCGGAGTTGACCGCATTGATGGTGTAAGTGAACGGAACATGCTGCAGATGAGTGATTTGAGCCAAAACATTGCTACGGGGTAAGAAATCGAAACCACGGGACATGTTCACTTGAGATTGCTGCCAGAATGTGGTCAGCTTGTTTGTCTGATTTTTGGAATTAACTTCAACTTTCAGCACTTGGATGCCCGGATAGTTTAGTTCTTCCACCTCATAGGGTCGAAGGAGCCGCTTGTGCTCCTGGAAAACGTTGTCGATGAATGCGTGCCACCTGTAGAAGACTGGGTCACGCATGGCTGTGGTCGAATCGCCCATAACACCATGAGCCTCTAGATGTCTGTGGTCCGGATCGTGGGAGTAGGCAAGCAGAATGTGACCCATATTGTGCATGTCACCGTACTGCATATTTATATGGATAATGTGAGTGGCTTAAATAAGTTCCTAATGCAATTACTATATTACAAAATCTTACCAGAGCCATGTTGGGCGATAGAGCGCTGGCCTCAACAATGTTACCCAGGATGTCGATGCCCTTTACTTCATCCAAGGCAATCTTATCATTTTTCACCTGATATATCAATTAAAACACTTTAATGAAGATGATCAAAACAGCCTAATCCAGTAACTTACGTCCACAACGAAGCCCTGATGAATGGCCTGGTAGATGCGGTCGCGCCAACGCTTTACATCATCGACACTAACTTTCAATTGGTTGACGGGCCGGTCAACACTGGTCAGTCGGGTGTTATTGAAGCGAGGAGGATAGGCCCTACTTGCCATCAGGGAATTCATCTTGGGAAAGTATCCCTCAGCGATGGGTTCGTCCAAATCCTCCAATGCCTTTACCTTTCCCATATAGTTGCTCAAACGCTCCGCATTGTAGCGGGCAATGACTTGCTGGTGCATATAGTAGAACAACTCGCCACGGCGATCCTTATCCACGATACTCTTATCGGCACCGGGAGTAACCTCGATGGGATACACTAGATGCCAGTGCCAGTGGTGCAAGTTGATTCCGAGATCCTCGCGGAAGTACCACAAGCTGTGCTCGGGGTCCATATCGGAGGCAGTGTAGTTGACAGGAATGATGATGGGATCTGGGCTCGGGGTACCCTCCAATACGAACAATTGCTCGCTCACCGTGCGAATCACCTGCGAATCAATGAACCGATCTGGAAAGAGTTCCGAGACGGTGGGCAAACGTAGATTCTTGGTATCCCCACGATGGGCAAGGGCCACCGACAGAGCGTAGTTAAACAATGCCGGATTAATCCGATCCTTGGCATATACGGCCACGCTGATCAGTTCTTCAAAAGAAGGCAGTTTCGTAAAAATTTCGATCAAATTGCCCGCCTGCCAGCGATGAGATTTCAGGAACACCGAAAACTGATCGGTTCGGCCCAATGTCATTGGGATACTGAGATCGGGTACTGGGAGCTCTTTTATAAATATAACTCTATTTTTATCCCCACCCACACGATTTTGGACGTTCTTGGAAACCTTTTTGTAATTATCGGTCTCGTAGGAGTCAGGTATTTCGAAGAAAGCTTGTTCTTTACCCTTGTCCATGAACACGGGCTCCGTGGGATGATCGAATAGCAGGAGAAGGTCCGTCTTGTTCGCCATTTCGTATGGATTAAACTTTTGCAGGAACTTTTAGGAGAATTGATCAAAGGAATGTCACTTGAAGTGCTGAAACTTCAGAACTGTGATTATCCACCGAACACGACGAACTTTTTATACCCAAATTTTCAAGCGTTATCATATTCTGCGGTTGTCAAAAAAAACCTGGGTACTAAATAGGATATTTTTAAAAAAAAATATAGTGTTTGCGGTTAACATAGAGCATGTAGAAAATAAACTTCTAGCTGAAACAAATATGCTCTTTGCAAGGGTATGCACACAGTTAGTCACCCAGACATCACCGTCACTTTTGTAGAACTTTGTAGACCGCACAAACGTGTTATTGTTTGGCCCAATGATAAGAAGAACGGTATCAGTACTCAATAACTGATATACTATCTACTAGTAGCTATAGAGAGTCATAAAAATATATAAAAATCAATGAAACTTCAGACAGTCACGGCAATCGATATCAATAGCTACTACAGAGAGAACGCATTCGGCGGTAAAAACCCAAGAAAACTAAAATAGAACAACATTAAAATGTTGAGTCAAACTTTCACTATTTGCTTCCTGGCTCTGGTGGCACCCTCCGTATACGGGAATACAGTATCCACAAACGATACTGCCTGTCCCGCATTTTGTGCCGCCATCTACAATCCAGTGTGCGCAACTGATGGCCAGAACTTCAAGGAGTTTGCCAGCGCCTGCAACCTTTTGTCCCACAATTGTCGCCGCGAAAGGGATAGCCTTCAGGGTAAGTGAAATAATAACACACGAAGTTACGAGTTCGATTTTAAACTATTTAATATTCCCAAAGCCTATGCCGCCACCGATGCCGCTTGGTGCAGCTCCGAGTTCGTCGAGAATCTGCACGAAAAGTTGGGCAACTTCAAGCTAGATGTCAAGGAGTGCTTCAAGCCCTGCTCGATGATCTACCAGCCGGTGTGCATTACCAATGGCAAGTATCGTGCCGAGTTGGCCAACTCTTGTCTGCTGGAGACCTTCAATTGCGCCCTGCAGGTCTCTGGCGCCCAACCCGCTGAGTCCTTCCGCCTTTTGCGCGAACAAAAATGCTAGACGGGATCGGTCGTTAAATCGGAACAATACATTGGCCCATCTTTTGTTTAACATAGTCTTCTTATTGTTTTGAACTAAAATACAATCCTACGAATTTATGAGACTCGAGTAAACGACTTGTTAATTGGTGTGTTCACAGTGGGAGAGTCCAGAAAGTGAAAAGCATTTCTTTGGCTCAAACAGTTGGTTTCACATGGTTGGCAATTCAATTTTTAGCCAAAAATATTTTTGAAATGGGCCATACTTGTCATAGTAATTATAGTATACAGAATATTAACTATTTTATTATTATTTCTTTAAAATTTAAAATATGTTTTTATCAAGTCTGTACGATTTCCGAGAAATGGTTTATCACGTTAGGTAGGATGCGGTTAAGTACAGCTTGTACTCTAGTTATAGAGTTTACTTTCCCAAAAATGCTTCCGCGGTTTTCGAAACGCGTTTTGCGGTTTTTCTGATAAGGTTGGATTGTACCTTCCGGATTGGATATTCGACGCACCAGTCCGTTCCTTATCTTGTGGTTAAAACAGTTCCGTTGATAATGGTTGGGTTTTTACTTTCGTAATTGAGGTTAAAAACCTCTGATAATCTAAGGCTAACAAGTACCATGTCCATTTACAACCCATTGACTTTATCTCCTAACGGAGTTAATTAACACAGGATGTTAAGTGTTCAGGTTAACCCTTTTACAATTACCCTTAACTCTTTTATATACAGCCTGTGAGCATCGACCCGACATATAGTGGAAGATGATACCAGTTTGCACACAGTCCTCCCCTTTCATCTTCTTTCGATCATTTTAGCAACCCATCTTGGCAGACTTCTCATCTGTCAGGCCTCATTAGGTTCCACTCATAACATTGCTTCCGTTATCCTTTGCTCCGATCTTCGTTCTTCCGTTATGCCAGTGCTCCAAGAGATCGGGTTCTCCCCTCAGATCCCCCTTCCTCAGATAAGGCAGAATAGGTCTCATGATTAACTTATTGATGTTCAAGCATCTCATTAAAGATATCTAACTTCCCATGATAATATTCGAGTACATTTTTTGATAACAGTCATTAGTTAAAAGGTCCAAATTAACAATTGCACTGATCGAAAAAAACCCTTAATCAAAGATTTTTTGCTTATCAGTTTCTTCTCCCATTCCCCCAATCAATTATAAATCGTTATCGTTTCTTCTTTTTTCCATTTGTATGTTACAAAATGAGCGTTTATATTTTATTTTATATGCAAATTAGTATCACATTAACAACGTAAATATTGCGAAGGGTATAAATAAATGAAATTACAATAATTAGGGGTATAACCCCTATGAGCTTGAGATCTGTTTAGTGATTGGGTGAGGTTATTGTGGGTGTGGAGTACAACTAACAGAGTGTTCCAGGGAGCTGACTGAAGCTCTGGCAGAGCAAAGCATGCAGAAGATCATCATCAACTCGATCCTGTGTGTTGGCCCAAAAGAAGGTGCCATTATCCGTGCTAATGTACTGGAGGGGCAACTGCAGATCCCAGAGATTGCTGGGCAACTGTGTTGCATTGCTGCTGTTGATGTTGCTACTGTTCATGTTGCTGCTGCTGTTGATGTTGCTGCTGCTACTGTGATGTCTGTGCTGGCAATTGCGTCCGTGCTGGCAGTTTCCGCAGCTTGTGGCGCTGACCTTGTCCACATAAACGCTACTAATTAAGGTGGGCGTGTTGGGCGGCTGGGTGAGGGAAACCTCCTCTTCCTCCGGCAATTGTCTCAGCTCCAATCCGTACTTGTGAATAGACTCCTCTGGCGTTGACTTGGTGTCATCGTCAATGAGCAACTCAAGTTGCTGTTGCTGTTGCTGTGTGTTATTGAGATCCACGTTGTTGGGATGGGCCAAGGTCAGCTGAGCGGTGCGACCTTTGCCGCCCACTTTTAGCAGGCGACGCAACGGCTGCCAAACTTTGCGCATGCGCCCAGCGGACTTTGGGTTCGTAGGCGTACCCGCTGTCAAAGCTGAAGTGCTGATGGCTGTCAAGTTTTTTGTATCCAGATACATGTTGCTGCTGCTGTGGTGTGTTGTCGATGGAGCTTTTTCTTTTATTTTCTGTTATTTTATGGACAGCGAGCGTTGCGTGTGCGCACCTCGCGAGAGTTGGTCGTTTACTGATGCTGCTGCGCCGGCGTCGCTCATATTTATATATGAGGCGAAGTTGCTGCGCTGCCGATGGCCAGTCAAGAGTGAAATCGTACGCCGGCTGATCTCACGAGCAGCTATAGCCCAAGCACCGTACGAAATTTGAGTGCACTCTCACACACAGGAAAAACAGAAACACACGGTAAACCCTGGGTGAGAGGTGAACCGAATGAAGGAGGAGGGGTTATACTCAAGTAAAGGCCTTTTTATGTGCGCGTATTTCCCAAATAAATTCCAACAGGAATCCACAAGCTCCAGTCTTCTGTGTGTGTACTTTTCCCATGCACGTACAATCGACAAGGGCCGCTTGATGAGTTTTGGCTGCAGGTAGATGAAGACTGCGCCGATGCACAGTGGTTGTATTCTTATTGTTAATTGTTACTAAATTGAAATAGTTATCTAATTCATTTATTTAATTTATTTTTACAGATAACAATCTTCATATTTGCTGTTCAATAATTTCAAAGTATAATTTATTATTTAAATTATTTAACATAAATTCTAGCAGTATACCTATAAGATCAAGTCTAATAGCTAATACTTAAGGATTGTTAGTTTATAAATGAATATTATATAAATGTATAAAATTATTTATTAAACAAAATGTTTATGTGTTTAAAACTCAGGATTTTTCTTAAATTAACATTCATATTTCCTAATGAACATAAAGCCATAATTTTCTTCATCTAATCCAATTCCATTATGCTTCAAACCACTGTCCGCATCGCCTGTTCGTCATTTATGCACGACTGACTTTGTTTTCACATTCACACGGTACCCAGAGCCCGGAGCCCAGTAGTACATGGGTTGTTGTCCGGTCTTCAGGCTACAGGGTTCGGGATTTTGGGAGACATGGTAGGGGGAGCGGAGGGTTAGGGCTCGTCACAGGGCCGTAGTCGAAGGGGCATCGAACAGCACCTGTTCCCTTCTGAGAGCGTGGGACTAAGACGCTGGGCATTTCCGTCCTGGGGAACTGGCAATGGCAAAGGCAAAAGGCGCAGGCGTCGCCGTTGTTCGATGTCGATGTCTTCGAGTGTGGGAAAGGGCTTATAAGAATTTCACTTGGGTTTTCGGCTTTTTTCGGGGCACTATTATTGTTGTTGCTGTTGCTGACGCTGTTATTTCTGTTTCCTTTCGATGTGATTTTTGTTTCGGGCTGAGCAGCTGTTATTGCTACTTGTTGGCCTGTTTGTTGTCATTTATAATCAAGGCTCGCAGAGCCCGGCGCTGATAAGTTCATTTTAAAAGGGACTAGTCGCAACGAGGGGATTATGACATGTTGTGGTTCACACGCTCCGAACTGGGAACGGAAAACGGGATGGGAATTGGTTGGGCATAAGTATGGGTATGCTATGGTTATGGCTTTGGGTATGGGTATGGGGGATCTAATGAGGCCGTGACCTCATTCAGGCAGCAAGTCCTTGCCGGATCGCAGGTTCCCACAGTGCACAACAATCGGAGTTAGCTGCCATAACTAGTTAGGCCAGCTCAGCTACGAATCGGGTTTTTACTTTTTTTTTTGTTGGTGGAAACTCGTGCCAATCGCGTGTGCACCGCACGCTTGCGCACCAGAGATCTCTCGACGCGACTTTGCTCTCTTGCCTTTGGCCGCTATTAATCTTGGCTGAAACACCACCGCCTGCACCACCATCATCCTCAACCCACCGCGCACTTTTGCCCCCAATCAGCGTCTAGGCTTTGAACTGCACGTTTGCCAAATTGAAAGCGACTGACTTGGCAACACGGACACCGGCTAAAAACTCCAACTCGCAGCTCGACTTCCAAGCCAACTCAGACTGCGATTGCGATTGCAGCTCCAACAGAGGCCAGCTTGTGCCTGGGCTTGTGCCTTTCAGAGTTAGACTCAAGCAGTCGTTAGGCGGGTTATACTCTACCTTAGTCGACACTTAAGGATACAGTATGCGGCTTACACTGAAGATATATATCATATATTGATAATATCTACTTTACAAAAAGCTAAATTCTGTTAGCATTACCCTGAAGAATAATATGCCTTTGAATTAATTTAAAAAAGAAGACTAACAACTAATTTCTTGCCAAATTTGATTTTTTCTAGAGCATTAACCATTCGCTACTCATTAACCCCTTAACGTTGTCTTTACCCATCAGCAACTATTTGGCTTTTAAGCTTTTGGTTCACACGACTTGGCGATGGCTACAAGTTTTGTGCAAAACTATATACACACATCGGCTTACAGACGGACGGGCATATATGACAAGCAATTAGTGTGCATTGAGGTTAGTCGAAAATGGTTTTGCGGTCTTTCTGTCTGTCCATCGGTGTCTGCTTGATTATTTTGCATATTCGCATTACTCATACGCCACGTGTGCCGGCCAAGTTGAAAGTTGAGGCATCTTGAAAGGCGAACCATCGAAATGCCTTGAGAGGCTTAATTGTTATGGCTCCAGTCAGCAGAAAGCCAAGTCAAGCCAAACGGCTAACGGAAGTCATGGCCAGAAGACAAACAAACAAACAACCAGAGCGATTCTGCAGCATCATGGGAAATGCTTAGCCAGGCAAAAAGCACGGCCACAAAAAAAAAAAAAATAACTCCGAGGCGTTCAACCACAAGTGTCATATTGCCGCGATGGTGATAAAGTCGGCCCAACAGCAGCTGTGCTGAGTAAAGGGGCATAAAAAACGGACAACATTTTATACACTCTGTGCTGACCAGTAGCCCTGAGATCAGCGAATTAAAAAAATTTATGGAGGACGGGCGTAAAGCGAATCTTAGAACGACAACCGGATGTTAAAGTTTATTACGAAAGGCGACAAATGCCGAAGGGTTGGCAATCGGACTATGCAAAAACATTTTTTATTTTTGTTTTATTTTGGAACCCCCAATGCGCCGAGATAGCGAAACTGTTACACTTAATCGATACGCTTCAACGAAAAGTCAACCCAAAGCCAAAGCCATCATAGTGGTCGTGCACTGAGAGAAAAGCTGGGCATCACATATACTTTAAGTCGTATTTGTATTATTTACAAGACAGTTAAAGTCTTAACTAGGATACCAATAAAAGAATCACTTTTGATATGAGATTAACATGAATTATTCAAATTTCTGCTAATTATAAACAGTCAGTTAAAAAACTTAAGTCCTGCTAATATAATACCATTATCATTAGTTTTATTAAAATATTTACCTATAACTATTATATATAATTATATTGATCCTAATTTGAATATATTTAAATAAAATATGCATCAAATGTACTTTATCATCCCCCAAAAAAACCAAACCCTTAATTTTCTCGGTGCACTTGTCGCAGTCATCATCATCAGCCAAGCATGCGACATAATTGCGCGAGTTAAGTCAGCCCCTCTGCCTCCCCTGCCTTTCCCCCCTTCCATTTCGCCCACTGCCCCCCATAGGCGGCTGACAGTCAACCCGCTTGAAATCAACCAGCAGCAACAGCAACAACATTTCAGCAATCCATCGGATCGCATCACAATCCAGCCATCCGTCCAACGTGTGGGAAACACACGACAAATCTGTTTCCCACGGTCTCGTAAAGTAGGCACACTACACTCACACAGCCATATAGCCATGGGTCCCACAATCACATAGGCTACTGGCTCGTAGGCTCCCTCGTGTCTCATTCTCATTGTTGGTGTGAGCGGTACAGAGCAGCGGTCTTCGACAGCGAATGGGAGCCGAGCGCTGTCATCATTGACAATAAGTATGACATGGATGAGGGGCTGGAAGAGAGAGAGCGATGGAGCTGGCTGAGAGACACGCGCAGTCGCTGAGAATGAGATCCAATCCAAATCCGAAAGCCAACTGCCGACTGCTCAGTTTCCCTCTGGCCATGCAATCAATTGAAGACGACGCGCGCCAGAGCACCAAAGTTACAGATACAGATACATTTGTATCTGCGGCGGGGCACGCTCTCACTCGCTCCCATTGCAGGCACCTTGGTTCAAAAGCAATTTATTTTAGTTGAAAATATTAATTTTTCAGTTCATAGCGTTACTTTCCTTGGCGATAACCTAAAAAGAAATTTTTGTGGCATACTTATTGGAGTTACTAGGACTTCGTATTAAACTTCCTTAGTATTTTATTTGCATTCTAAAATTGTTTGAGCTTTGCAAAGCTTTGATAATACCAATTTATCAGACATTTTTTAAGACAAAAAAATATTACATTGGCTTTAACTGATCTTCAGTCAGGAAATAACACTTTATAAAGCCTTTTGAACGTCCTTAAGGCCTTACCGTTTTTATAGCATACTTTTTTGAGAACATTTAAAATGGCCCTAAAAATGGGAATTTTAAAGAAACAGGTCATTGGTCAACAGGAAAGATGTAAGAAAATAATGTTTTCAATAATATGATTAGAATTTTTGAATTTCTCACGAGATTATGAGTTAATTATCAATATAGTTTTCAAAGTTTCAGCCTCATATTCATGTACTTTGTAATATTTATTTTATTTTTTTTTTTGCTAATTTTATCGTTGAAAATATCATATATTTATATATATATATGATATATTGTTATATATGTAGTGTAGAGGCCCACTGTGCCTCTGCAAATGGTCCAACCCCCATCGATGGCCTACAGTAGCCTCTCTTTGTGCCGCTGCCGAGCGCCGCTACCGATCCACGACCGAAAAGAGCCGAAGTGGAACTCGATCTTGGGCCCGAGTGCCTGGGAGCGTGTGTGAGTGATCATGCGGGAGCTTTGTAGCTGGGAGAGCTCGAGCCCCGATCTCCCAGAGAGCCCGGCTGTCATATAAAAGTAGGGCTGGGAACTAGTTTGCCACTCATTTCATAAAAGTGCCGCCAGTCGAACGTACCGCAATCGGTGGAACGCGCAACACACGCGCAACAAATTCGTAAAAACTACCAAAATCAGAAGTGATAATGTGCCGTTGAGAGACTGAATGCAAAAGAACAATCCTTAAAATACACATTTAAAAAACCAAAACGATCATGGTCATGGAGATGTCCAAGACGTATCAGTACCGCAAGGTGATGAAGCCGCTGCTGGAGCGCAAGCGTCGTGCCAGGATCAACAAGTGTTTGGACGATCTCAAGGATTTGATGGTGGAGTGCCTGCAGCAGGAGGGCGAGCATGTCACCAGGCTAGAGAAGGCGGATATTCTGGAGCTGACTGTGGATCATATGAGAAAACTTAAGCAGCGAGGTGGCCTTTCGCTGCAGGGTGTCGTTTCGGGCGGTAGCAGCCCACCCACCTCTACCAGTACCGCCCACGTGGAGTCCTTTCGCTCTGGCTATGTCCACGCTGCCGATCAGATTACACAGGTCCTGCTGCAGACCCAGCAAACCGATGAGATTGGCCGCAAGATAATGAAATTCCTATCGACGCGACTAATTGAGCTGCAGACGCAGTTGATCCAGCAGCAACAACAACAACAGCAGCATCAGCAACAACAATTACCGCAATCATCGGCACGCTTAGCCTTCCCGCTGCTGGGAGGATATGGACCGGCGGCCGCCGCTGCCGCCATTAGTTACAGCTCCTTTCTAAACAGCAAGGACGAACTGATCGATGTGACATCCGTCGATGGCAACGCGTTATCCGAGACGGCGTCAGTTAGCTCGCAGGAGTCCGGCGCCTCGGAGCCCGTCTGGAGGCCCTGGTAATTGGGCCTTACCAATCTAGATCTTATCCCTAACATAATAATCGCAAACCCAAAAAATGGCTAATGACCGTTCTGCAACAAGATCCGTTGTCTTCCAAAGTAAATCATAACAACCTAAGTTAATTGTCATCGATTTGCTAATCGATTTCCAAATGGTTTTGAAATACTTTTAGTTTTAGTTCCGCTAATGGTAGTTTGTAAATTGATTGTTTAATTTCAACTGTGATATAACTAAAGTACGATGATCAATCAATCAATGAATATATATTCGAGTGCGCTATTATCCTACTGCAAACGCTTCCTAAGTTTATTAGTTCGTTGCGCTCTTTTCATTGTTTAGATTTATAAATTTTAAGCTTTAAATAATTTATAAATGTTAATTTATGGTTAGTTGCGAATGAGAAATCAAAAATGGACTACCCCAATAAGAAATAAATCTGACAAAAAATCAAAAACACTGAGTAATTTTTGTATTGTTTGGGGATGGGATTTTCTTTATATTTCAGAGTTCCTGAAAAGTCTGTACTTTTCCAATACTTTTTACAACGCCATTTAAAAAATATAAAAGATTTAGGTACTAAACTGAGCAAGGATTTTGTAATTTTTATTTTAAACTATTTTAAAATATTTTTAATTTCACAAACTACAAATTTTTACACTTTCCATTAAAAAATCTATTGGAATAAACTATATTCAGCTGTGAGTTAACCTTTAACACACACATTATTTTAATTCTTATATAAAAAAATATAAATAAAATTTAAATAATATATAACAATAAACAAGCGGGCATGTTTATTAACACAGACATCTATTTTGTTTACTGTCCCCAATAAATAACATTTAATTAGCATGAAGATGCGGCACCCTTGATGTATGCAATACTTTTTCGACTTGGCTCTGATTCATTCACATAAGCAGATCATCTAATTGGAGCCCGTTCTTACCACCAATCTGATGGGCAATCAACAGATCCTCTCTACCTGCCTGATAAAACTGGTTGGAATTGCAGCCAAATCAACAGGCCAAACAACCCCCGACTATCTTGACTACCTGCCAGCAGGTAAATTGATCAACAATAAGACCAAAAAAGGTTCAGGATCGAATCGGATTAGGGTCCGCTCGTTTTTCAAATGAGTCATGCCAATTAACAAAGGATTTCGCTCCCTATTTATTTTCTGTGTTGATTTGTAAACGGAAAATTGTCGGAACAAAGAGGTCCAAAAAGGTAATTTCGATTCCTATTCAATTTTTTTGGGTTAAATGTTACCAAATTTTGTTGGTAAGGATGACCAATTTGATGTGTTTAATTTTCAAATCAAGAGGATCCCCATTTCCGTACCAAATTGTTAAGTTAAGAATTGAAGTAAAAACAAGAAAGGTTTTTCTTTTAAATTGTAAATATATTTTTGATTTTTTTTTTGTAAATGTTAAGTAAAATGTATCACAATTTTTGTAAAGCTCTTCAGTTGAGTTGATCGGCTTGCGTGTTAATTTTTGTGGAATGTTGTCAAAAATTAACGGAAGACGTTGATTAAAGCTGGAGATCCAATGGAAGACATGGTTGCTGGATGATGGTTGCAGGATAGGATGATATTTCTTAGGCCTGAACCCAACGATCCTGAGGGATGGCGATCTCGTTGCCGGTGCTGCAGTAGAGGGGCTCGATGAGGTCGTTATCGGCTGGCAGATCGGAGACGGCAGTCCAGAAGAAGGTGCCATGGGCAGTGCGGACGAAGTGAACGGGCACGGTGGGCAGTTGCTCGAATTCGTAGTCCTCGATTTCGCAGGACTGGGAAAGACGCTCGTTGGCCTCGTTCTCGCAGGACTCCAGAGATGCACAGATGGAGGCGGACTCCAGATCGGCGTTGCGGCTGTTCTCCATGGATTCGAGAGACTCCAAGGAGTTGGCCTTGAGGGCGTTCTTCAGATTTTGCTCCTCCTCGACGCGCTGCTGCTGCTTGAAGATCTTTTGCAGCAATTTCTTGACGCTGTAGGACAGCTTCTTGTTCGACTTGATGGTCATGGTGTTGGTGTTGCTCTTGTTCTGGCACATGATGATGTGTGTTTGAGTTTGTAGCTGTGTTGTAGCTGAGATGTGTACTGTACGAAGCGTTGAGCTCGAATGATGTCTGATCCTCGGAGCCAGGGGCCTTTTATACCCATCCTGGCCGTGGAGAAACCCAAAGCCGAGCAGGTCACAAAACACCGAGTGTGGGAAACTACAAGGATACGTGTCCCGAAAAATCCTATACACAGTGCGGACACAAGGCGAGGCAACAACAAAAACGGCAGGTGTGTTTTTTGAAAAGGGACTGCATCGGCATTAACCTGCGTGCGTCGGAGTGTGACGGCATGTAGTGCCGCACCGCTCGCACCTGTTGGAGGTTCGGGCAATTTTATCCTGCTACAGGATCGTGAGAAACGAGACTTTCTACCAGTTCCCACAGTTTCGGTTCGAAAGGATCCTTTTTGAAAAGGAGATTCGTTTTTTCCCTTTTTCTGCCGATCACTTTTGGTTTTTATGTGCACTTATCTTATTATGTAGGCAGTGCGAGCGGGACGGGAGATGATGGAGCAGAGGGGCGGGGGAAATCCCTTTTCCATTTCTCGAACACGTGTGCAGCTCGAGAACGTGGGAGAATATTTTCAATTTTCAACGCTCGAACGAAGGCGAACAATTAATGCCCAAAAACCAGAGGATCACATAGCTCAATAGGCAAACAATCCAGAGAATCTGAAGGAGTAGGGGGTAGCTCTTGATGATAAGGGACCAAGGATCCTCTGAGCTGTGAGCATTTAATGCGCTGTAATTTGAAATTTATCAAATTGTATGTGGAGGCGAGGCGTTGCCCGAAGGAGCGAGATGGAGATGGAGGACAAGGATCGTCGTTGTGGAAGGAGTTGCTTTTAATTTCTGTTGCTGATGGCACACAATTAGCAGGGGACCGATTCTTATTATGATGGGTAAAAAAAATGAAATGTAAGAGCAGGAGGAGCAGGCGGACCACGAGGACATCGTTGGAGGAGCACACGCACAGCGAGCGCCTGTCCCTTTTTTGTGCGGTTCCTTGTTTTTTTGTTTTTTATTTTTGTGGATCATTGATGGCGCGTGAGGCGCTGAAGCCAAGGATTCCCAGGATTTCTTTCTGCTTTCTTGTTCCTCAGCTCCCTTTTTGGATATCTCTGGCGTACTTAATGGATTGTCCCTTGACTTAACCATAAATATTTGGAACCCAGTGTGTGAGTTGGGACAAATTAAGCAGGACTCCTTGGTGAGAAGTTGTAGGCTGGCGTTAACAGTTCGTCCTCGGGATCTGAGATCTATTGAACTTGTGTGAAGGCGATGATGATTATATGGTTGGATTTGTTGGCTGGGTGGGTGTGGTTACAGATCGATGAGTTTAGCGAAAAAGATGTGGTAATTACTGGTATTTTGGAATACTTTTTAAGTCATTTATTTTGAAGAATTTTGAGCCCCAAAAGTCAAACTTCTTTCGAACATATTTCTCTATTACATAGAGATAAATATATAATAAATATTTATAACAAATACTATCAGTGAAAGTTATATTCTTTGTAGAATATGTATTAAAAACTTTTCAAGACGAAACTTTTAAAAGGACTTTTTAATTTTACAAACTTGTATTAATCACTTAAAAGTGATAAAAGTATGATTTAATCTTACTTAAATGAATTTTAAATAACTTTCTAGATTTTTATCATACCCGATTCCCAAATTAAGTCATTTATAAGAGACAATATTCTGGCAAACCCAAATGAAGAACTGCAGCATTTTTGTGATTAAGAGCTAAAGCCATTTTCATAAGGTCCCTTCTTTTATTAAGCTACAAAGTATCTTTGATAGAGAGGTAGAATATTTCTATAAAATCCCCAGTGTTTTATCTCAACAAGAGCTGCCTTCAATCTTTTCAATATCCTTTGCTGGATCAACAGACCCAAATTATTGAATTACTTCTAGGAAACTGACCTTTATAGCCTTGGACGATTCACCCAGTTCCTCGTATCGTTTTTGGTTGACTCATGCTACCGCATTATTCGGCCTTATTATGCACGGATTGTGTCGTTCTAATTGTGTCTTTGGTCCTTTTTCTATTTTTTTTGGTCAACTCATTGCCCCCAGATTTTCCTTCTGATCTTATGTGTTTTTTTTTTTGGGTTGCTTGTTTTTTCTGCATTTTATTGTGTGCCCACGTGCAAGGGGCAAAACAAATAAAAATACATAGTTAACCATTTCGATGGGAAACCAAAGCCCCGCTGGGGGTCTTATATTTTGGCTGCCCCTGCAGTGGTTTTTCGTCTGGGTTTTTGGTGACTACTGTGCCTTCTTTTTTTTTCTCCATCACTTTTCTATCTTCCAGGGAAATCTTTTTGGACGAACACGTGCACTGATTTCTTATCGCACCCGATCATTTAAGGTACCAAAAACTGTAGATTAGCCAGACGCACACAAAAGAGTAGAAAGAGAAAAAAATACTACAAAATAAAAATAAAATCAACCTGACCCTGGCAGTCCATTGTCTCCCGACCAAGTGTTCAAAGGGGGGTGGGAACGATCGTGTTTGTACACGTGACGACCTCGTTTCGCTCGCAGCAGGGTGTTACGGTCGAAACTGCGGCCCCGTCACGTCCCTCTACCCACCTAGCCATCTAACCATCCACCTAAACACCTAAATACCCATATATACATAGATATACATTATCACAACGTGAGCAACTTGCAAACGTGAAAATTTCACACATGTGCCTTCGATTGGCAGCGGGAAAAGCCCACCGATCATTGAGGCCTTCCCTCCCAACGGTTTCCGCAGGTCCAGTTACACCGGACAGGACCTTTCACACCCGCAGTACGGTCCGGAGGATGTGCTAACTGCCCGAATCTGTTACGGTATTTCCGTTTACATTTTCCGTGGTCAGCAGCGTGAACATCAAACGAGGCGTGCGAAAAATTCCGTTGAACGTAAGATGATCTGCACTTGAGCTGGTCGGACGGGATAAGCTATAGGGATATATAGCCAGTACCATGTGTACAACAGTTAGCATAACAATAACAAGGAATTGGTAAATATATTCTAGGGAACATAACCAATACGAATTTTGGATGATCTATGAAATAACATTATTTAAATTAGCAGTAAAAATATATATTTGTGTTTTACTTTTTTGATAACGAAAGTTATTGAAGTTCAAATACAAAAAAAATTTAAAATTGGTCTTAAATAGTTTTTAAACATCTATATAGTTTGAAGATATTATAACTTCCTAGCAATATGTTAAGTAAATGTTACCCTAATTTGTAATAATTAGAATGCAGATTAAGCTGCAAACTGTCGACTACTTCCACCCGTACTAGAGGGTACCATCCGTACTTAAATATAAATATGATATGACGGACCTACATGGCGGTTTCTTTGGTTTCGTAATGATAAAATAACAAAGACCCAGTAATCAGCATGGTGATGCACAACACATGTGGGGTCCTTTCGATCATCGCATTACACAGAGACATTGCACTTGACACGAGACAGCGCGACATGTCTTTTATATACGAGTATTTGGTTTTATTTTTTAGTTTACAAATTAGTATGTGCGATGGTGTATCGCATATGCGGGAGGCAAGTTCCAGGAATACTGTAGCCATTGTTGGTTTAGGATATCAACGGAGCCACAAGGAGTCCCGTTCGACGATCCCCGCCCATCACTCAGCACGCACGTGCAGGACACAAAAGGGGTCGTAATTGACGGTTTAACTCGATGGTCCCGGAACCTCCCCTGGCTCTCTCCAAAAAAGAAAGAAAAACGTTAACGATATCTGAGCCCTGTCCAGGGGTTCAAGGGATATGCAGATTCGATAACACCCAGCAACACGTGCAACACCACAGTGTTAAGCTGTTGATCGAGGCGTAGACAGGTCTCTGTCTCTTTTTTGTCTCTGCCCATCGAGGGCGTCGCTTGGCCAGGGATTTGTCTGGGTTTACTACCCGAGGACCTCCTACTTGGACTCGGGGGACTTCAACACTCCGTCGAGGAGGTCCCAGCTGGGGTGTTATGCTCGGATCTTGTTTAGATCGTTCATCAGGTGGGGGAGGGAATGCATAATGTGTTTCTTTTACACGTAAACTGAGAAATTATTCTAATGAATTGATCTGTTAAACAAAAGGGGGCATTTTCTTCAAATTTTTTGAAAGAATTAAAAAAAATACATCAATTACTTTGTCATTGTTACCCTGAAATTCATAAAGCAATAATTATAATTGAACTCCCTGTAGATATGGACATAATTTTCTATAGCTTATATAATATATGTAATATATTAAACTTAATCTCATTATCTAATAAAAGCAACTGCTCTTCATATATTCATTATACTTAAGATGCTTCAAAAATAAATATTTTGTAAAGTGAAATTTTTAAAATCAAAAATCAAATCAAAATCAAAAAATCAAACACAGTAATAGAATCTCAGTTCTTAGATTTAAACTAAACGTTAGATTTAGATAAATAAATAAATAAAAATATATAGAATATAATAGCGTAATGTATTACCATGTTATTCAAGTAACTATTTATTACTATTTTTCGCATCTACTTATAGTGCTTTGTATTAACATTTTCTTCTGCTTCAGCAACGGCAATAAGATTGTTTTTTTCTACCAATAAATATATATCCGTAATCATTATTTATTCCCATGTGAAAATATTTTTTAAATATCAAAAAATAAGACTAATGAATTTAGTTTTTTATGTTTTTTATTTTAAAACTATTAAAGCTGTTGTGTTGTTTTCTTATAACCTAAATCTTAATAAACTAGTAAAGCTTGAGGTTGGCTTAAAATCTAGGTAAAGCTGTTATCACAGTGTTAACGATTCAATTGGAAGACATGATTCGTTTTAGCAGGAGTTGCTAATGGAAGACGGGATTCGATGTCGATGCAAATGATGATTTTGCAGATGGAAGACAGGATTCGATATCGATGCTGGCGGTGATGATGATGATTTACCAAGGACGCCACATGGTCTCTTGAGCTGGCTTGGGGCTGGCGGCAGATTCGGAGTCCTCAGCATCGCTGTGATATCCAGAAGAGGCGGGGCTAAGTGGGCGTGGGGTGGAAGACTGGACTGGTGTCTGGACCTGATCGGCCTGCAGCATGCGCTGGAACTCAACGCCCAAATGTGTCATCACTGTCTTGCCCACATCCACACTCATAGCCGGGGTGCAGGCCATAACTCGGGAGATCTCGCTGACGGCGTTCATGTAGCCATTCTTGAAACTATCCATGGGAAGCGGTGAGACTGGCGCCTGTTGCTTGACGACCTGTTTGCGCATGAAGACAAGTGCTGCCTCCAGCATCTCGGCCTTGTCCATTCGCAGGATGGAATCATCGCCCTGGAACTCGGCCACCAGAGTCTTTAGTGTATCCAAGCACTTGTTCATGCGGGCACGACGCTGGCGCTCCAAAAGGGGCTTCTTCACCTTCAAATAGTGCTGGGTCTTCGAGACGAAAGCGGTGGAGTTGTTGGTCTGTGGTGCCATTTTGAAGTTTATAGTTTGTAGTGGTTTTTCGTAGGAAAGAGCTGAGCTGTTCTGTACTGTTTGCAGGATGCTGCTCGAATGATGCTGGATTCCTCGACTGCACTGGCTTTTATACCCGCAGTCGTAGCAGCAGCAGCAGAGAGGAGAAGGTCCTTTCTGGAGGACCTGCTACCTGCGAACCGTAGAGATCTGGAAATCTTATTGCTGAGCTGTGCGTGCGTGGGAAAGGAAACTGAAATCGTTGTGCAAAGAATGAGTTTTCAGGCTGCTTTCCTTGGCTCCCTTTGTGTGTTTTATTCCTTTCAATTGTCTAGCCAAGGAGTGTGGGTCCTGGCGACGTATTGTAACTGCAATTAAACCGTAAAATGCTGGCAAAGACGTGGGAACGTGGTACACGGAATTGGGCCCAATTGTCTGCGACAAACTGATTCGGTTTGGGCCAGCAAATGAAAATCAAACTCGGTAAAATTGTAATTGTCTTGTTGTGGCTTACTGATCTTTGAGAACCTCTCGTTGAGAGGAAAGGAGGAGGATCGTTTAGATCCTTCACGAGATCATCATTGCCAGCTATATAATAACCCATGAGATTTTATCGGTTGGCACATTATTGGGTCCCCAATTCTCATACATAAAATCCTTTTAAAATTTTAAGGACTTTTCGTCTGCTATATATAAAACTTTGATATCCAATTTATTACAAACAAGCACTTAAATACATTATCTAGTTTCGGTTTTTTTTGGGACCCCTTAGCCATACGCTTCCCCATAAATCCTGAACCAATGCTAGGTCGGATCCCTTACCCACTCCCAGCAACCCTTAATGCCATAACCCCAATCCCTATACCAGATCCAATTCGAATCCCGAGAAAGTGGCAGTCACCGTTTCGGAGGTCTTGAGGGGTCTTTCGGTTTGTTTTGCTCGATTTTCATATCGTGAGAACCGCTCGAGACGCGTCGTGTGTTTCCCACGCGATGTGCACACCTGCCATTTAAGACGCTTATATGGTTACGATTACAGGCACGGATACACACGGAAAGAAACCGAGACACAGATACACCATACAGACACTTGGCCGTAAATACACAGAAGCAACAACCAGATGAGGGCACACATTTATCTGTCGGCACACATTTATTGCGCCGGCGCGACGCTTATTATCAGCCCAAGTAGCAATCCGTCGTGTGACTGACTGACTGATGGACTGACGGATTGACTAACTGTCTGACTGACTGACAAACCGACTGATTACTGCCTGCTTTACTTTAGTTTTTCACTCTTGTCGCCGTCATTGACGATTGTTTAATTTAAATTGCCGGCTACCAGTCGGCGGGCTTAATGATTATGGCCGGGCCCAGAGTTGCCATCCAAGTTCCGAGGAACTTGTACGCAATAGTTATTTGTACTTTACGACATGGGCTAATTGAACGAACGCACCCGCAGAAGAAGTTTAACGAGCCGTCTGTCATTGATTGAAGTGGTGATTGGGGGTACACGGGGATTTGACTTGTCAATGGGCAATCAGATCATTAATGTCTCCAAGGTGAGTGAGAATCCCCAGTAGCAGCTAACTGACAGCTACTGGATGGATTTCAATGATCCAACGATCCACTGACTTGACTTTACCCATTCCTAGGCCAATCCTTTGAGGGATTTATGCCGGACCACCAGTTTGTTTGTCAGGTAAATGTCTCTGGCAAATGTTTGCCAAGCCATAAATTAGCCAGACGATAAGTGGACAATTGTTGGCTGACATTAGCTCAGAGTCCACAATCCGTGGGATGCTTAGAATAACTCAAAGTTAGCTTCGAGAAGAATGGTCACTTCCTGGTGTTAATGCGATTGTTCTGGACTTAAATACATCATGGGAGAAACACCCAAGATGATAATGAGAGAGGGTTCATCTTTTACTCTCTTACTCGTTTTTAAAAAAAGTACTGATGTCATTTTTTGTTAATTTTATACGAATTAAAAATAAATTACCCAGTAAAATTATAAACCTATTTATCTTGTAGTCTATATGTAAATTGTAAGTAATATTAGCAATTATTATATGATTTATTGGAAAAAATCTGTTATAGTTAAATGTGTTTTTATCAAGCTGTCAAAATAAATCATTTTACTATAGGTTTTAAATGGCAAGATTAATAGCCCAATATACCTGTATACCTTTGCTCCTATAGTCTATGAACAAACCATTTTTATGGAAATATAACCCTTTCCTATCTGCATATCTATCTCTTACAATATAATTCACTTAACAGACCTAACCATTTACCATTCAAACATCATTGACTCCTCGAAAGCAATCAACCTCAAACCCACTTTATTGGCAGCTCGTGCCAAAAAACAACCCTCGTCCGAGCAAAACCCACCTCCCAAACTCTGGCCCACAGACAACAACCCACATAAGTTGAATTTAAATGCTATTAAAAAGGCCACCACAATTGAATGCACCTTGCTCTGGCAAGGATTAAATTTGCGGCGGTGTTCCAAGCACGCGACTGACCCACGTCCAATCAGTGGAGCAGCACTTGTACTCCGCCACGCGCATGGCCAACCGCTGAGCTTTCCAGGCCCAAAAGCAAACATCAATCAGGTGGAAAGCGTCTGGGAAGCAAACGCGTGACCCAACGGCGGGCGAAGCAATTAACCAAAGTTGAACCAACTCGGCAGCAGCAGCAGCAGCAGCAAGCAGAAGTAGCAAGTGCAATATGTGTCAAAAGGGGCAACAGCAACAGCAACAACAACGGCAACAAGGAACAACCACCACCAAGGCAATGAAATGAGCGGGGCTGTGGCCTAAATTGCAAACAGCTGCCACTCGAACCGTGGGATACTTTTTCCCCTAGTCTCAAAAAATCGAGATATACGCTAAGGATAGGGGAAGGCCCTTTGCTGTCGAACCTTATCCATGGGAACCACAACTGCTCAACGCTCTCAATATTTATTCTGTATTGAAACGGAAAAAAATGAGGATGGCTCGAAAAAAATGGAAGGGACGACAATCAGTGGAGTGGGGGAAAAACGAGATTATCCTGCACGTGTTGAGCTTGCTGCGGGGTTTCTTGTGCTAAAAGCGTGGCTGGCGAACGTTGGGTTGATACTTGGGTTGATGATGTTGCGCCTGCTGCTGCTTCTGCGCGGAGTTTGCACATGTGGCCGGCACATGTGGCACTTGTTGTTTTGGGTGGTTGGACTTTTGGGTGGTGGTTATCTGTCTGCCTATAAAAGCGCGACACTTGCCATCAGCCCACAACAGTTGCAATTTGAAAGCCAACGCGTTAACAACTCTAATCTGTAAAGTGAATCTTACTCATCCGCCTACAATCATGTCGAAAGTCAAGAACTTATTGGCCAAAATGCTGCAGCGATTTGGCAAGAGCAGCTCAAATACCGACAGTCAACGGTATGATAGCCTGGAGGAGATTGCCCAGAACCAGGCCAACGAGAGGATGCTGAGAGAAACGCAAGGAGGAATGGAGGAGCACCTGGTCATCTGCTTGGAGACAGCGGCCGGCAGTTTCTATTGGCATTCGCAGTAGCAGAAACCGGGGGAGCAGCAGCAACATCACCAATCTAAAAGCAATAATTGCTGAGAACCAAATTATCAGCTAGAGCAAGTGCAACTGCAATTATAGCAAGAAGGCACATCAGCAGAAACTCTAGTTAGAGTCGGAGCTACACTGCCACAGAACTTAAGCTGCAATTATTATTCGCTCTTAGTAGAACACCAAAAAAACCAGCAGCCACCAAATCTTGTACTATAATAGCAACAATAAGGAACGCTTGAGATGCAACAACAGTAGCAAGATCACATAGAAGAATACAGTAGCAGCCACACAAACTGCAATTATTATTGCAATGTCAACCAGCAGCGACACCTCAAAAAGCAAACCCTGAAGCAACCGCAAAAACAACTTGGCCAACAAAATCTACAATAACTTGTCAAAAAGCGAGAACATTAACAGCCAAAACAGTAGCAGCCACATAAACTATAACAATTGCAGCAATGTCACCAGTAGGAACAACTTAAGAAATCCAACGACTGCGGAGACACCACAACAATCTAAAAAAAAAACAACAGCGACAACATCATCCATGGAGCAAAAACCGGTAGTTAGATGGGACTAAACCGACTGAATGGATGAATGAATAATACAATACATATCATTCGGTGAATGAATGGAGCTGTCGAGCGATCGTGCGAATCGAGTTGCGTGCCAGCAACAAGTATCCAACTAGTCTGAAGGATGCAACTCAGACATCCTCTCCAGTTGGAGACCCTCGATGGGTGTCAATGATAAACATAAAATATATTTGTGATATGAACTCAAGCTAGTTAGTGTAGTATAAATGTTATTAGCTTATAAGAAATTCAAATATAAAGAGAAAATTAATTGAAATTAACGCTGTACCTTAATTGGGTAGTTTGTTTTCAAAAGAAAAGTCTAGCCAATTGGATTCTGATTAAACGGAAAAGACAAATCTTTTAGGCGGCTTATAAAATAACCCTTAGGGCACTAAACAAAATGTAATTACACCTATTGTTGTCTTTTTAAAAGCAGCTTCGACAATCAAATGGGTATTGTTAGTTAAAGGTTGCGTCATATCTTTAAAATTGAGTAAAGTCCTATTATAAGAGCAACTTTGATAACTTAACTAAATCTACAATTTGACATAAATTATATTCAGTTTTCCAGCTCATAAAAATTAAAGTCAAAGTAAGTATAAAATGCTCTCTAAAAAAGTCAATTATCCCTATTAAAAGTCTTACAACACCAAATGCAAATCAGAGTTAAGCACTTTTAAGCTGACAATATCCCGCATATCCGGGCATCAAAGCTAATCGCAGCAAATGATAATCACCGCCCTGTCATTCCGCACAAAATGATAATTTCCTGTTGCAAATTCTCAGGCCTGAAAAAATTAAACTCTTTTTTTTTTTTTTTTGCATTTCATTCAATTTTATTGCGCATGCGTGGCGCGCAGCAAACTTCTGTTGGAGCCCTTTAGCTTTTGTTTTTAGCTACTCGCGTCAGTCGCGCGTTTGGCGTGCCAAGCATGCGCACACATATTCAATTACACGGCAGCAACATCAGCAGCAGGAGCAGCAGCACAGCAGCAACATCAGCGATTATAGCGATGCATTGACAATAAGCCAACCCCGTTGCGTGCCCAAATGGTTGCCCCTATTTAATAAAAAGAGGAAAAAACAACAAGACCCCGAGAGCTGGCCATGTGCAGCTCGAAAAATTTTCTCACAGTCGCCAGAAAATTGTAACGGCTTGTTGTTCAGCACACTCTCAGCACGCAGCGTACACACACTTCCTGCCACAGCCACACAGCCACAGCCACAGCGTTCTTCAAACCGGCCACGTATATTGTTTATATAGTTAACGAATGCGATACATTTAATCTTTAGTGTGTGTCAATTTGCCGTACAGTCATTTAGTTTGCATGTCCCTCGTCGATCCATCGAATAACCATCCCTTTTCAGAGCCTGGCTCTGGGTCTGGGTCCCACGATGATGATGTCCCGACGTGAGCAGGAATACCATACGCGTATATGTATGCCACTTAGCGAACCGAACCCAGGGCCCAAGTGTTCAACAGAAGCTACAATTCAGCATTCATAATTGACAACAGCAGGAGCGAGGGAGAGGGCAGATCTAGGGCCCACGATGGACAAGAAAAAATTAAATAAAATAAAGGGCAGGTGGTAGTTTTTTCAGTACTACCCGTGACTCGCACTCGCAGCTCGGACAGATTTACAGTGGTTCAAGTAGAGCTAGAAATTGGTTTAAAATGGTTGAGGGTTGGATTCTTTTAAAAATATATATATTTTTTTAAACTTTTGAATCCTTAAAAAGTCATTCCTAATGGAATTAGAATTACGTACAATATCATGCCTCAGAATAAATCTGCCTAAAGCACATTCCACAAAAGTTGGGTTAAGAAAGGCCATCAAATAGTGATCCAGTCATCACAGGACCTTCAAGGACCTAACATTTTTCCAAGATTCAGGTTCCCACACACACAAAACAGGCACCGAAAATACGTAAATTGCTAACTACCAAACCTGCACGGAACACCTTCCACAAAAGTCCCTACAGATGGGACATAACCTCCTAGAAAAACCCTCGGTCAATTTTAAAAGTCCCATAAAGTCTTATTCCCACGCAGATTGTGTATAAAATAAACCGTAGCAAGTAGGAAACAGACATTCAAAAATCCTTAAGCACTGAGTTCGAAACCTGCAAGGATACCTTTTACAAAAGTCCTAAAATTGTACACATTTACGGTTGGAAAAACCCAAAAACCACACCCCAAAATTCGTATTCCCACGATCTGTAGAAGACATTTTAAAATTAACCGTAGCAAGTTAAAAACAGGCAGTGAAAAATCCGTAAGATACCAAGTTCAAAACCTGCCAGAAATACCTTAAACAAAAATCATAAAATTGCACACATCTTCGATGTGGAAAACCCCAATACCGGCCCGAACCCAAAACTCACATTCCCACGATCCCTACGAGATTTTCAAAAACTATCCCTAGCAAGTAGACAACATTATGCGTAAAATCCGTAGTCCTTATTTTCACCTAGCTGGAAAAGCCTAGTTGAAAATTTCATTCCGACGAGGCACCTTCAAATTTCCCGCATGTGTTTCAGAGGTTTGACCCACTGTGCCATGTGCATAAGGGCTCGTAACTCGGAGCTCGGACTCGGGACTCGCACACGGACTACCTCCGATTATAACTTATAACACCAACGAGCGAGAAAAATCTTGTGGGAAACTTGAGGGCAAAGTGTTTCCCACGATTCGAATGTCAGTGGAAAGGAAAACAGAGAAGCAGCATGTGCAACCACCGTCGCACCACCACCAATGCACCATCGCATCTTCATCCCCTGCCGAGACTCACTTACACCAGAAACACTTGGGGTCAGCATAATAGTGCTATGAATGGTTTTTAGTAGCACCAAATTATGTGAATTTTAGATTGAATTTCAATTGTTTATTATACGTTTTTAATATGTTACAGTAAATACTATAGCTAGCCAGTTATTTATTTTAAAATATAAGTTATTGATAATGAATGAATTTGAATGATAAGTTATTGTCAAATATTTATAGCCAATTCTTTTAAATAAAAACATATCCACATTAAAAATTACGTATACGTATTACGTATGATTATTATTAATAGAGATTAATTAAACTATTAAAGAGTTATCCTATATAATAGTTAGCAAAATAATTCAAGATCTTCTAAGTATGAAAATCACATTTTTCTGCCAATCGGTGTGTTCCAAACTTGTTTGTGGAGAAAAACCCACCACCGAAAATGCAGGCGAGAGGATCGTGTCCCAGTGACTGAGTAAGAGTAATTTGCTCCGCAGGTGGTGGTTCTCTGCTACTCTCTATTCTCTCTCTCTATCCAAGTAGCGTGCGCTGAGCACGAGACGCTCTCGCAACGGCACGTGCAGCTATAAAAGCAGCGGTAACCGGAGACGAAGACAACATTTCCAACGCAATCTTCGTGCAGTCAACATCTTAGGATACATTCCTCCAAAATATCGAAGAACTTCTTCAACAAGTCAGTCTTCAAGTTCACGAAACCAACATTACAAAATCAAACACAATGGCCACCAAATACGAGATGTCCAAGACCTATCAGTACCGCAAGGTGATGAAGCCTTTGCTGGAGCGCAAGCGTCGTGCCAGGATCAACAAGTGCCTGGACGAACTCAAGGACCTGATGGCTGAGTGTGTTTCCCAGACTGGCGATGCCAAGTTCGAGAAGGCCGACATTCTGGAAGTCACCGTGCAGCATCTGCGCAAACTGAAGGAATCCAAGAAGCAGGTTCAAGCCAATCCCGAGCAGAGTTTCCGTGCTGGATACATCCGGGCAGCCAATGAAGTGTCCCGCGCTTTGGCCTCCCTTCCCCGAGTGGATGTTGCCTTTGGAACCACTCTAATGACCCACCTGGGCATGCGTCTTAACCAATTGGAACAGCCCATGGAGCAAACTCAAGCTGTCAACACACCATTGAGCATCGTCTGCGGATCCAGCTCTAACGCCAGCTCCTACTCCAGTGCCAGTTCCTGCTCGTCCATCAGCCCAGTTTCCAGTGGCTATGCCAGCGACAACGAGTCTCTGCTCCAGATCAGCAGCCCCGGACAGGTGTGGCGTCCCTGGTAAATTCCAGAAGAACTTCAAAAGACTAAACCCCCGACGGGCAATCACGCAATTGGAACTCCAGCTTTAGAAAATGCTTTACTATGATCCTCATTTATTTGTTACGTTACCAAGTTTTAGGTTTCTAAGTTAAGTCTGTGATAGGGCACGCTTTATTAACTTTTGTCTTAACTCAATCGAGCAGAAGTCTGTTTTTTACTCTACATATATACAAATGTTTACCAGCTAAGAGATCTCAAAAAATAACAAGAAAAATGATACGAAATGAAAATATTTTAAATACAAATCAAAATATGAAACGAAATTTAACAAATATCTTATTATTTGGGAAATATTGATTTTACAGCTCTTCCAATAGGTTACCTTGATCTTGAACTATATTGGTTTTCCAATAGGAAGTATTCCCCTAGGCTATTAAAAATGGAGTATCTCATAAATATCTTAAGCATCCGTTTAAAGTATGCATGTACATGGATCCAATAAAATATAAATATAGAGTGTGGTCAATGGGCTACATATAAATTATGTTCATTATCCTATAACCCGTAATTATTTTAAACGAGATAAATTAATAATATGTTCGTATACAAGTATAATAAGCAAAACATTTTTCACTGATGAGCACTTAGTTATAAAAAACCAATACCTTCTTGTCATTTTTATGTTTAATTAATCTTTAAAATTAAATGTATCCTAAAATCGTTTGAGAATCGGTCAATTAAAAATATATTCATACTAAAAGAAAATTAAACACTTGTAAATTTTGACTTATGCATAAAAAAATGAAAAGATTATTTTTTTCTGAAATGAGCTGATCGAATTTTATTATTTTTATTTAAATAAATAATTTTATTATATTGATAAACTGATTATCAAGAATGAGCAACCAAATTAAATTCTTTGACTTACAAAATAAACATTCATTAAACATTCATGAAACCATTCAATATTTCAAGCCAATTAGGAGATCTTAGAAAGTTTATGAACCTTAACACATGTAAACATTTCACCACAATCCTTACCTACTTTCAACTACCTATACCTTCAGCGGAAGATCTGCACCCTCTTAATATTTTCTTGTACAACCAATAAGTCAATTATAATCATTTATGGGATGTTGTAAGGGAGGTACATCTATACCTTTGGTGGGCATAAATACAGTAATAAGAAATGCCTAGAGATTCCTACCTATTATAATAATCAACGAAATGTAACTTTTCTACCTTTAAAATGTTTTTCCTAAGGAGCCTTAAATATTATGATGTTTAGGGGGTTGTTAGGGAGGATCATAGGTCCCATAGGTAGGTAAATATTCTATATCCCGTTGAAGTTTACTTATTAACCTTTCACTCTTTAAGAACTCTCCGCAGGGTATAAATCTTTACGATGAGATCTTAAGAAATTATTAGTTGATAATCTATTAGTCTCTATTTTAGAGAATTATTGGAATTAAATACAGTATACACAAACGCATTATAGTATAAGGCTAAGCATCCCATCTCATTGGTGTTATTTAAGAAGGCATAAGATGCCTAAACTTTATTCAAATACCTATTAAAATATCTATCTCAACGCACACTTGAATCCTTTGTCCATTTAAATAATCAATCAATTATTCAGACCTATACGATGAGAGACAACTTATCCTGATTCCCTATACTCGATTTCCATATTACCATAAGTGTGAACATCAATTAATCAATGACCCATTACCTTCTTTCCTATTAAATGCCAATTGCTGGAAGTCAAATACATCCCATAGGTAGGCATTCCGGCACAAAGCCCACCTAACCCTGGACAATAAGTACTCAACCTCAGCCACGAGCATGGCACGCGGAGCACACTTTCTGCGCCCGTTTGACCCACGTCCCCCTGCCAACCACCCAACCCGAGATCAGGCAACCCAAACCCAACAAACAACGATCGAACAACCAAGGCGACCCGGCACGAAGCCAATATGCCACATCCACTAATTGTGTCCAATAAACACTCGTCGACGGGACACTGTGGGAACGGAAAGAGGAGATCTTTCAGTTTGAGGATCCGATCGGAGCAGGAGTAGGGGCTTATACCATCATCGTCTGCTGGCATTGATGAAACAATAAGCGAGTGGATGGCACGGCAGGATAACAATGCAAGAGCAGCCCACGCACAACCAGATCCCCTACTCCTCAATCTCCTCAGTCTCCGATCCCATGTACCCATATATGAACATTCCCATTCCAAACACGACAGGATGAGGCAGTGAAGTATGCATTAAGGATAATAACACCGGCCCAGAAAGCAATGCGAACAGCCAAAAACAGCGACAGCTGCAAAAATGTGCCCTGATCCTTAAACTCGAAAAAAAAAATGAGAAGCGGAGCGGAGCGAAGCATGTGGCCAAAAGGGAAAACAAACGAGAAAAAATTGTGTGAGAAACTTACTTTCAGCTCGGTTCCCACGCCACGAGCCACAAGGATTGTCCTCCGTCCTACGAAGTTGCAGCTGTTCCTTGTGAAAGGGACAGCACGAAGAGGGTTCCGCGATAAGAGCGAAAGAGAGGGTCGAAAAGGTGCGTACCAGAGGGTGGATTTTAGGGCACAGGGAGCGGTATAAAAGGCCTGGCCTCCGCAGAGCCGAATATCACTCACGATTCCGCCATCGAGCAGGCAACAACTAGCCGAAAAAGAAAGAAATTTGTTAAATATTTTTTAAAAATACGTAATATAACCACATCAAAAATGGAATACACCAGCAAGACCCAGATCTACCAGAAGGTTAAGAAGCCTCTGCTGGAACGCCAGCGACGTGCCCGCATGAACAAGTGCCTGGACAACCTGAAAACACTTGTCGCCGAACTCCGAGGTGATGATGGCATCCTGCGAATGGACAAGGCCGAGATGCTCGAATCAGCGGTGATCTTCATGCGCCAGCAGAAAACCCAAAAGAAAGTGGTTCAGGAAGAGCGATCCCTCCCCTTGGACAGCTTCAAGAATGGCTACATGAACGCCGTTAACGAGGTGTCACGTGTCATGGCCTCCACACCTGGCATGAGCGTCGACCTGGGAAAATCGGTGATGACTCACCTCGGTCGCATCTACAAGAACCTGCAGCAATTCCACGAAGCCCAGACCGCCAACGAGTCCCTCCAGATCTCGATGGACTGCTCTTCAATGGACAAGGCACCCCTCAGCCCCGCCTCCTCTGGATATCACAGCGACTGCGACAGCCCCGCCCCCTCACCACAGCCTATGCAACAGCCCCTGTGGCGCCCCTGGTAAAATGGGGTTAGTAGTGGTAGGAAGGTGATAGTGGACTGGGAGTACCAACCAACAACGCATCTGTGATAGCCCAACTGTGATGGCAACAAAATAGCAAAATGAAAAACAATTAGCAAAGCAATAAAAACAAATATAAACCAATTTAAAACGAAAATCAAAACAGCATACTTTTTGGGTTTTTGGGAGTTTTACTTTTCTGCATTTTTTAGTTCAGCACTGCAGTTGGAGATCCGTGGGTTAATAATAATTAGAAAATGTCAAAAGGGGAATAGACACTTGTTTAAAATACTATTCATATTGGTTTTATCATACCAGATGGCCAACTTTATATATCTGAATCAATATATTAAAATATTATAAACAAATGTAAAACTCAAATATGTTTTTGTTCTATTATTTTATATATATGAAAATTTATATTAATTTACACAACGGCATATTAATATATAAATTAATTAAAATTGATTTGCGCCTTTAAAGTATACTGGTATTCAAAATTAAAGCAATGACATGGTTTTCATTAAAAATGGTTCAGCTTTTTGAAAATGCGCGCCCAAAACACTGAAAAAGATATACTCGATGCTCAGATTTAACAAACTTGTTTTTTATATTTTGTACAGCAATCTGTTTATAAATATTGATGAAGAAAAATTAAACATTATTATATAGATAGTTATATATTTACGTTAACATATGAGTTAAGGTTTTATTATTATTATATACTTTTGTCTTGAGGACATAATTTTGTCTAGTGTAACTAGTTCGATTACACGTGCAACGCCGACACCTACCAACACTGGTGCATGCAACCCTGAGCCGCCGAAGCGAGTGGCCAGCGACAACAAGCCCTATGCTTATCGATAGGCGATAGCACAAATTGCATACCTGAGACCGACGCGGTCTGTGTGTCGCGGATAGGAAAATAGGAAATTATAAATAGAAACGGGCAGTGCCGATGCCCCAAAAGCCCCCCAATTGCCAGCTGCCACAAACGGCGAGGATACCAAGTGCTACCAAGGTGAAAATCGGCGTGCGAAAATTATTGCAAAAATATTTGAGGCGAGAACGCCATTTACAAGCCGCGTTTGTACAGCGAGTGCGCGTGTAGTAGAGCCGGAGAGAGCCGCTTCGTGTATATGTACGTGAGTGTGTTTGTGTGCGGGAGAGCGAAAGAGCGCCGCCGCCAAAGCTGCCCAACACATACACGAATGTCAGACACTTCGCGGTCGGTCGGCAGAAACATTTATACGGGCGAAAAGTTACAAAAAATAATTTACCCACTTTCCAATGGCAAAAACGACGAAACTGTAAAAAATCGGTCCAGCGATTTGTGTGCAGAATATAGGAATAACCAGCGATAAAACGTGCTAATCCGGGGCATAAAACTGGTACTGCCATTATCTCGCTTTTTTTAATTGCTTTTGTTTATTTTTTGTATAGGACACAGTATAATTTTTCTTTTGCGCTGCGCGCGTGTGTGTGTTTGTGTGATTTGGCCACTCGCTGGTTTCTATGTATGTGCCCGTATCGCCAAACAGAGTTGCCGCTTCCCGTGTTAATCATAAAAAACACATTGCTAAAACATTTAAACAAATCTCTTAAAATGGGTTAAAGTATTGCAAGATAACGGTAGAAAGCAAAAAGATACTGTAAACAATTAAATAAACAGAATATTCCGATAGTGCGTGAACTTTTGTGTGTGTTTTAACCATCATGGCAACCCTGTTTAATTGCAGTCTGTCTGTATATGTTCGCATGTTGTTTGTGCGAAGTGTGCTGTCTTTACGAAAGAAAAGTGCTATATTTTCATTGGATTAATCCATTCTCGTAAAACTGAACAATCAGAATACTTACTACAACGGACCCCGAAAATCGAACAGTGATTTTGCGTAACAATTTCAGGGGCCACATGCAACTGTGCGCTTGATTTTTCGGCGGTAAACACTCACACTCGTACCCTCGCTCCCGTTTCCTGCGCCAGTGTGCGTGTGTCTCGCTGGCTCCGCGTGCCTGTGTGTGTGTATGTACGTGCGTGCGAACGTATCGAAAAAAATGGTGCAAAAATATGAAAAAGCATAACTAAGCAAATATGTTGTTGTAAAATTCCATTCGCAGGATATGCAAAATGCGAAGTAGTCCGGACGTGGAGTGCCACTGAGTGCCGGTTCCGTCTGCGGGAAAGTTAATAAAACGGATCAACTGCCATCGAAAAATTTATAGGAAGAGAAGAAGAAAAGAAAAGAACAGAACTGAAAAAAAACAAGAACCATAAAACACTGGCAAAAAGTATTTTAGTCAACGTCGTTGTGAGAGGAGTTTCTTTGAGGGAGTGGAGTGCCCGTGGATAACCGGAAGGAAGCGGTGAACACAGGAGGAGGAGCAGCAGGACTTCCGCTCCGAGAAATTGGTGTCCACCTCGGAACTATCGCTATTGTTCTAGCCGGCAACATACCAGCCTAACAACAACATGTATCCCTCACCGGTGCGCCACCCTGCCGCCGGGGTAAGTTCACCCGCGATGGGGACCAACCTCTGACCCTTAAATCCGTGCTAATTGTGTTTCTGTCTCTCTCTCCCCATTACGCGCCATGTACCACCCACTCATCATCTATTGAACACGCGCCCACTCACTTACATCCGAATAGGGACCACCACCTCAGGGTCCAATTAAATTCACCATCGCCGACACATTGGAGCGTATCAAGGAGGAGTTTAACTTCCTGCAGGCGCAGTACCACAGGCAAGTATCTCCACAGAAGACTCCACAGTGAAGGCTGACTAAGAGAAAAAAGCCTTCGCATTATTATTATATTGTAATTTAATATGATTTATTTGATTATCATGATGAATCCAAAAATCCCCGCAACCTACATAGTCAGCATAGATAAATAATTTTAAAATGATACAGAGTCTTCCTTACTATAATTATATGGATATCGAAATCAGTATTAAAACATTATAGATTCAATTAAATGAGGTCGCTTATAAATCCCAAACAAATTTAACTCCAGTGGCAATATAATATATATTTTATTTTTATGTCGGATTAGTTAATTATCAAACCGCGTTTAAATTATTTATGCCCAAAATTGTATTAGTACTTTAGAATTAGGCAAATTTTTTGAACACAGGTATTTGTTATTTTTCTGAACGACTGTTTTAATGGAATAACAAATGCCATTAAGAGTTATTTCGTAGAATTTGAAGACTAATCAAGTTGAGGTTAAATGAAACCTATTAGAACCTTCTACAATAACATGCCCTAAAGAAATCACATTTTAAAGCCTTCGCTGTACCGCCATCGTATGGGAATGTGTGCATGTGTGAGTGTGGATGCTGCGTCTGCGTTTTGCGAAAAGTAAAACAAAAAGCTGAGCAAACCGGTTTGGCGCGCCATATGCGCCACTGTCATAGGATTAACCTGCGCCGCCGCCACCGTCGCCTCAGCCGCAACTTCACGCTCCACAATCGCCGCTTCCTTGCGTTCTCAAATTCAGTTCGCTTCCGTCGCCCAACTAATTTGCCCGTTGATCACTTTTCCTGTGAATTCCAGCATCAAATTGGAGTGCGAGAAGCTGTCGAACGAGAAGACGGAGATGCAGCGCCATTATGTTATGGTAAGTCGTCATGATCTGCAAATTATCGAGAACCCTCAACTAATGCCTTGCCTTGGTATGCTCCTGATTTATCCACAGTACTATGAGATGTCCTATGGCCTTAACGTGGAGATGCACAAACAGACGGAGATCGCCAAACGGCTGAACACACTGATCAACCAGCTACTTCCATTCCTTCAGGCCGACCACCAGCAGCAAGTGCTGCAAGCGGTGGAGCGGGCGAAGCAAGTGACCATGCAGGAGCTCAACCTGATCATTGGGGTAAGTGGATCGAGGACGGATATTGGATCCCGCGGCAACAGCAGCAGCAAAACGGTTGAATCATTCTCAGCTAGAGTCGAGTAGGAACGCAGAGGATTGGGAACGCAGTTGCCACTTTGAGAAGGCCTTAAAACTCTCCTTACTAGGGTTCCTATGTCTGGAATTCTTTTATCTACAAAGTGGCAACCGCGTATTGGGGATATCGTTTTAGTTTAGTTTATTCTTTGGAATTTGATTTGAGTTTGTTCTTCTACTTCCTAATTTGTTATGATTTTGCATTCGACCAATCCAATCTAAACATCATTGTGCAGCATCAGCAGCAACATGGAATTCAGCAACTTTTAGTAAGTTTGTTTCGTTGCAAGTTATTTTTCTTATTGTTTGTTTACTGTTGCCGTCTGCCGCTGCATCCGCCGAATGTGCCACTGCCACAACTACTACAGCTACAGTACCTCACTCCCTATTGTTACTTCTCTGATTGTCCATATTTATATATTGTTTTTTAATATCGCTTAAAAATGCCGCCACATTGTTGTTGCTGTTCTTATTAACCCCATATGGTCTTTGCTTAAGAAGCTTTAGATATGGAAATGGTGTTTTAAAATTTCTGAAAATTATTATTAGACAAGTCGAACCCTTTCCACACTGACTTCGGATTATACCTATTGTTTTGAATCTTAAAATCATAAAAACATTTTTAGATTAAACTAGATGACTGGAAATGTCAAACTTCTCAGAAATTCTAATTAGCAAAAGCCAAATCTAAATTAAATTGTTTTTGCTTAGATAAAATATAATTTACAATAATTTTTAGATATTTGTTTAATGATTATTGGCAAGTGATAACTAGCCAAAAAAAAATACGCGTCAGGGCAAACACCATTTAGTGTTGATATTGTTGTTGTGTTTACACACATACACACATTCCAAAGCTTTCATTTTCTCACTAAGCACGATGTTCATTTTGAGAACCTACGACGTCCACACCCGATTTCATACGATCTCATGGTTCCATTGCAGCAACAGATCCACGCCCAGCAGGTGCCTGGCGGACCACCACAGCCGATGGGTGCACTGAATCCATTTGGCGCCCTGGGCGCCAGCATGGGCCTGCCACACGGACCGCAGGGTCTGCTGAACAAACCGCCCGAACACCACAGGCCGGATATCAAACCCACGGGTCTAGAGGGGCCAGCCGCCGCCGAGGAGCGATTGGTGAGTAGCCACCAGTGGTAGATCATATATATTCTGCATATTTCGAGCTCATTTTTTATGCTGATTTTGCAGCGCAATTCGGTTTCTCCGGCTGATCGTGAGAAGTACCGCACACGCTCGCCGCTGGACATCGAGAACGACTCGAAGCGTCGAAAAGATGAGAAACTGCAAGTGAGTATCGAGCTTCTTTTGGTGTTAGCATTATACACTGGTAGTATCATCCATCATCGCGTTGCCATAACCGATAACTGTCATCACATCTGAGCTGTTGCTGTCTCTCAACTCACCAAAAAAAAAATATTAATAATAATACCTCGTAGACTATCTATCCATTGTTGTTGTCTAATTCTGCTAACACTCTCCCCAAAATCATGCTAAACAATAAACATATTGCTAATATCTAAGACAAAAACAATACCTAACATACCTGTGCCTTTTCCGGTTTTCACTTTCTAATTAGTTAGGTTTGGATAAAAAAGTTTCTAACATTTTAGTTATTAGCTTAAAACCATGTATTATGATCTGAAAAACACTAGAAATAACCAAATTCTTTCAATACAATTTTTTATAAAACAACTTTTTGCCGGTTGAAGTAATTAGAAGTAACTTCAAAATAAGTAACTAACATGATTGACTTGAATTTGTAGCATTGTTATACATTATTTGCTTGAAATGAGAAAAACATTTAAACTTTGCTTTGTACAACATTAAATACTTTTCTTATAAAAGATTTCTAAAGTTTAGTTTTTTATTTTTCCACAATTAGATTAAGTGAAAACCAGAACTCCTGAATAATTAGTTACTAACTTTTGCTATTGTGGTTGTGTAATTGTTGTTGTTCGTTGTGGGTTTTTGTATGAATTTTGATTTATATTGTTTTTGTATTTTTTTCAAAATTATTTTCAGGAGGATGAAGGCGAGAAAAGCGATCAAGATTTAGTCGTAGATGTTGCAAATGAAATGGTGAGTTGAGTGTCGGCCCAGATTCAATGCAACCATCCCAAAATCTCCCAAAAACCAAAACCACACCTTGCTATTTTTATTGCCCGTTTTAAAATTAATACTAAATGTATGTGTGTGCTTTACAGGAATCCCACTCACCGCGCCCCAATGGCGAGCACGTATCAATGGAGGTGCGTGATCGAGAAAGTTTGAATGGCGAGCGCCTGGAGAAACCCAGTAGTAGTGGCATCAAGCAGGAACGACCGCCCTCACGCTCCGGCTCCAGTTCGTCACGTTCCACACCCAGCCTCAAGACAAAAGATGTAAGCGTAGTTTATATTTGCACCTAGAAGTATCAAACCTAATTGAATTTTGACCATTTAGATGGAAAAGCCGGGTACACCGGGCGCCAAGGCACGCACACCAACACCGAACGCCGCTGCTCCGGCGCCAGGTGTTAATCCTAAACAAATGATGCCGCAGGGACCACCGCCAGCCGGATATCCGGGTGCACCGTATCAGCGACCGGCCGATCCCTACCAGCGTCCACCGTCGGATCCAGGCTATGGACGACCGCCACCAATGCCGTATGATCCGCATACGCATGTGCGAACCAATGGCATTCCACATCCCTCGGCCCTGACGGGTGGAAAGCCGTAAGTTTTATTGTTTTATCAAGAAACATCTCTTATCACTTTAGAACAATTAGGAAATTTTTAAGGCTTAAGACTTTTATTTTCATGAGAAGTAGAGCTCTCAGATTCTAAAAACCTAGACAATTAACTAGCCGCATCACTGAACTTAAAAGAAAAGTAAAGTTAATCTTATCAGTTGCCTAAGAGAATTTGCAAAATGTCATGTAAATAAAACCGGATGTAAAATGTATGAAGATTATCACAGTCAAGCACAGTTTCTTAATATGACTCTTTCAACATACGTGGCAAGCTTAGCTCAATTTAATTCAGAATTTGCTTAACTCTTTGCTCAAAATGTAAAGAAAATTATATAATTTACATAAAGATCCACCATCGAAAAAAAAAGTAAATATAAAAAAAAATTGAAAATTCAAATCACTATGTCGAACATAGCAATGCGGTTCTCACTAGCCAAGCTATAAAATCAAAAAAATATAGATTTCTCTAAAAAAATATCTGTATTACCTGAGTGAGAAGTAACTGAATTAATACCTCTTACCCGTTGCAGTGCATACTCTTTCCATATGAACGGCGAGGGTAGCCTACAACCGGTGCCGTTCCCGCCGGATGCGCTGGTGGGCGTTGGAATTCCTCGACACGCCCGTCAGATCAACACACTGTCGCACGGAGAGGTCGTCTGCGCGGTAACCATCTCCAATCCCACAAAATACGTTTACACGGGCGGCAAGGGCTGCGTCAAAGTGTGGGACATCTCGCAACCGGGCAACAAAAATCCTGTCAGCCAGCTGGATTGCCTGCAGCGCGACAACTACATCCGTTCGGTGAAGCTACTACCCGACGGACGTACGCTGATCGTTGGTGGTGAGGCGTCTAACCTGTCTATCTGGGACTTGGCCAGTCCGACGCCTCGCATCAAAGCGGAACTAACCTCAGCGGCGCCTGCATGCTATGCCCTGGCAATTAGCCCCGATTCGAAGGTGTGCTTCTCGTGCTGCAGTGACGGCAACATCGCCGTGTGGGACCTGCACAACGAGATCCTGGTACGTCAGTTCCAGGGGCACACGGACGGCGCCTCATGCATCGACATTAGTCCGGACGGCTCAAGGCTGTGGACGGGCGGTTTAGACAACACGGTACGCTCCTGGGATCTGCGCGAGGGTCGCCAGCTGCAACAGCACGACTTCAGCTCTCAAATATTCTCGCTCGGCTACTGCCCCACAGGTATAGAGTAAATAATATTGAATATTTTAAACAATTATAACAATATTAATATCTATTAGGCGACTGGCTGGCTGTGGGAATGGAGAACTCGCATGTAGAGGTGTTGCACGCATCGAAACCGGACAAGTATCAACTGCATCTGCACGAGAGCTGCGTTCTGTCGCTGCGCTTTGCCGCTTGCGGCAAATGGTTCGTTTCCACCGGCAAAGACAACCTGCTTAACGCATGGCGAACACCCTACGGTGCCAGCATATTCCAGGTGAGTTGTGTTTATCTTAAATCAAATGAGTTCGAAATTCCAATGGTTCATATATTTCAGTCGAAGGAAACATCATCCGTACTTAGCTGCGACATATCAACTGACGACAAGTATATTGTGACGGGTTCGGGCGATAAGAAGGCTACTGTCTACGAAGTTATTTATTAAATCCACACAAACCAAGCAGTTTTTCATTTTGTAATAAGCTCGTATAGTTTTTATTACAACAAAAACAATTAACTACAACAAACAAAATGTTCGAAATCATGCAAGTAACAACAGAAAAGAAAACAACCAGCAGCATCAGCAGTTAAAACAACAGCAACACCAACAACAAGAAAAGGCGGCAGTAGCAACGCATCAAAAAGCGAAGCAAAAAATGAAAATTCTATAATATATATACAAAAAAGGAAAAACTAAAATTTTAAGCGTACTTGTAGCTACTAAGCCTAAGCTAAGTCCAATAAATAAAAACAAACCAAGTTGAACACACACAAATTGCAAGTAAAAAGTAAAAAAGTAAAAAATGAGAACCAGAGCGAAATAAAATGATAATGATAATGCATGCGAGCAACAGAACCGAGTATGTTGTAAAATTGAAATGAAACCAGAAAACCAGAAACAGTCGGCGATACCTACCTACGTTCATCTTAACATAACAAATAGAAGAATAAGTGGAATAGTCATTGCAATTGCAGGAGCGTTGAGATTATGATTACCAGCTGAGCAAAAAGAGTTAAAACGATGCGAGTGCTTTTAGTTGTTTTATGTGTGAACGGTTTTTGTAATTTTGCTGATTGGCCGACCATTCAGTCAGCCAGCGAATGCAACAACAAATATAATTTTAAGTTGTCAGTTTCCTTACCTCCCAACACACCCGCTTACACACACACATACAAAAAACACATTTGCATAAAAGAAGGTATATATATATATATATACATATATATATATAACTATAAATGAATATACTTAGTAAGCATTTTAGTTAAGAGAGTTTTACATTATAAATTAAACACGGAAACTTTTGAAACACTCACTCGCATTGGGGGTCAGATAGCGCGCAGAGCATTCGGCTTTTGCTTTTTGTATGTAATTTGAAAATATGTAATGAGAAATGAGTAATTAATTGTGTGAATCAAACTCAACTCTTCAGAACCAACTGTAAAATCCTATATTTTGAGCAGCTAAGCCCAACAAAAGCCGCATCAACAACAAAAACCGAACAGTAGAACACAGCTAAATTGTTTAGTGTTTAGAGTATATATGAAAACGAATCGATTTATATATATTTACAATTATATATATAATGCGACCGGCGAAATTGTAATAAGCAAGAGATAGAGTGCAGCACACGCTTCGATTTTTAATTTTACAAATATTATTATTATTGTGGTTATATATGTATATAATTATATTATAAATAATTGAAGCAAAACGAAAAAATAAAAAATTATATGTAATCGAAAGTAAATCTTCACCGTAGTCTATTAAAACACATCTGTGGTATAGACGCTTCGCTGACGCGGCAACGGCGCACCTTGCTGGCGGGACATTTTCGAGTGCAACTCCCGTAATCCCTCGCATTGGCGTCCAGAAATCTGCCGGAACTTGTCGATGGCAATAGGCAGCAAGTTGTCCACCAGGAAAATCTTGTTCTTCATCACAAAGTTGGGCTACAAAGAGATACGTTTAAATTGTATAAAATCCAATATTTCATTTTATTTTTAACTTACATCCACGGCCATATCGCTGGGCGGCTTCAGCGAATGCTGGGCAATAAATAGTTCTTTTAGCAAAAGTTCGAGACTCTGCAGCAAGGTTTCGCATTTCGCTAGGCAGCCACAGTACTCAGTGAGCTGTAGGAAATGCCTGATAAAAACCACCGTCGACTGGGTGAGATTTATCCAGGTGTCGCCCGTGGCCTGAGACCGTACATCGATGCCCAAGGCATCCAGCTCCAGGAGTAGGCGTTTCAGATTCGATTTCGTTTGCAGGTTGTACGGCTGCCAGCTCTCCTCAGTTCGTCCTACGGAGTCCAGCAGCCTCTCCTTCGACTGATCGATCAAAGACTCAAGCGTAGTGCGTAGGAGTCCTTCTAAATGATAACTAATATCCAGTCCAATCTCTGTAAGTTTCGTCGATGGCTTTCGGACTTTTTCCACACATTTGGCGACCGACTCTAGGGAGGTTCCCTTGGTTAGATAGTGTTTAATCAGTTGGCTTGCGAAGTATTGCAGCTCAGCATTGCACCACACCACGAGAGCTTAAAGAATAATTTATTAACATACCAGCTTCTTTCTAGCCCGAAAAATGAGTGTAGCTCACCACTAACGCACGCTGGTTGCTTCTCAAAAGCCGTAAGGAAATCGCAGGCCACCTGTGTGAGATCACAAAAGAATAACTCCGAAATATCGGCATTATTCCTGCGCGCTTCCCTTTGCGCAACCCGCAAACTGACGGCGCAAACCTTCAGAAGGGTGGCACTTGCTTGCCGGTAGCGTCCCATCTCCACGAGGATCTTCAATGGTCGTTTTGCGGCCCGCAGACCAATTTGTAAATTACGATTGTGACTGTTGGACAACTCTTTAAGCAACACATTAATTAGCTTCAGTTCCTGCTGCTTAACCTTGCTTTCAATTGCGTCCGCCTGCGGAACCTTCTTTCTGTTCTCTCCACGCATGAAGTCCTGGGTACGCTTGATCAACTCCTGGGCGTCCTCGAAATGTCGCTGGGCCACAAGGGTTTGAATCTCCTCGCTAGCCGTGCTTAACCACTCGGGCGTCTCATCCTCTAGAGACTTGGGCTCTCCAGGACTCTGAGGAGTGCTGTCCTTCTCTGGCGTAGAAGCTTTTGACTGCTGTTTGGTTCGAGCTGGGGGTTGTGGCGCCTGGCCCTTTTTAGGTTTCTTTTGCTGGTCAAAGCGAAAGGCTTCTTCAAGCTTTTCGATCCACTCGGTTTTTCCTGCTGCAGTAATGCTTTGGTAAATCTTGGAACCATCTGGTGTGATAATATTAATAGCATTTTTAACACCATCCAAGTCTTTGATGTTGATTACGGCTATTTTCCTGGGATCATACTCGGTAAGAAATTCCAAGCGCCTTTAAGAAATTATAGGTTTGGTTAGTTTTTGGTGTATATAAAATATGGAAAGCCTTACTTATCGCTCTTTACTTTACAGACAATTAGCACATCGTTGAAGAGGAAAAAGAAGACCTGTAATCTAGGCCTATAATCATTGCCATCCAACTCAATCAGTGCTCCTTCGTTGAGGAAGGTCTTGCCCTCGAGATTGCCATTAAATCCCTGCACCATTTCCTTCACCGCCCTGGTGGCATGACTATTTTCTACATCCTCAGTCGCCATTGTATTCTCTGCCCCCAAACTTTCAGCTTTTAGGTGGCTTGAGGTTTTTGCATCAGTCATGGTGGCTAATATGTTGCGCTGCTCAATCAGAATGTGAGACAGTTGGTACATTTCCGACTCGAGATCTGCAAAGCCAATATATTAATATTAGCGAAAAGATATGGCTTTAAGAGGCGTAACCTACGTGATATCTCCTTGGCCGTCTGTATAAATTCCATGTAGTTCTTTTTGCATGTTTGCTTGAGTGTTGCGGCCGTTGTTTCGTTGTAAGCCTCGATTTCCTTTTTCCGCTGCTGCAAATCGCTGCCACCCACACATTCTCGCGTTAGGTCTTTGGTATCTGCAAAACATAAATTTTTTTTCCGACCTTCGAAAACTGAATATTTCAAAGAAAACTCACATTTCTCAACGCTAAATTTGGAATCGTCGAACTCCTTCATGTTTGCAATGTAAACTGCAGCTGACGCAGAACCATTCGGAACGAATCGAGGAATATGGTGTATTCAAAAGTAAGGTGGTGAATGTAGACGAAATGCAATATTCTCACTTCTCCTTAATGAATTGGTTTACAACCTAGCGTTCATTAGTCATTATCTATCCAAGCTTTTAAATTAAAATTTAAAAGATTTTCAAAATATATTACCAGAACCAAGATTTAAGATATGTATATGTACTGTCCACCTGTTGATTTTGCTCATTTTCAATAACGGCAAGTGAAAACATCTGAAACCGGTATAGATTCTTTTTCTTACTATAAGCATTCGCATGTTAGCGCAAATCCGCCTTCACCACCATACAATTGCACACACCGTGCGCTTTTTGTTTTGGTTGATGAGTAATCTTTGAGAAACTCCGTCATCCGTCATTCCTTCGCAATTAGAACTTGTAGTTGAAGAAATCCTTTAAAATGGACTGGTTATTCGGCAAGAAGATCAGCCCCGATGAGATGCTGCGCAAGAATCAGCGAGCACTGAACAAGGCGATGCGGGACTTGGATCGCGAGCGTATGAAAATGGAACAGCAGGAGAAGAAAATCATCGCAGATATTAAGAAGATGGCCAAGGAGGGCCAAATGGACGCCGTGAAGATCATGGCCAAGGATCTTGTCCGCACACGACGCTACGCCAAGAAATTCATGCTGATGAAGGCCAACATCCAGGCGGTGTCTCTTAAAATCCAGACTCTCAAGTCGCAGAACACAATGGCACAGGCCATGAAAGGTAAATATTGCACATTTAGGTGATTCATTAGCTTCTTATCTTAAAATTCCTCTTTTCAGGTGTAACGAAGGCCATGCAGAATATGAACCGCCAGCTGAATCTCCCACAAATTCAGAAGATCCTGCAAGACTTTGAGAAGCAGTCGGAAATGATGGACATGAAGGAAGAGATGATCAACGATGCTATCGATGATGCTATGGAGGATGAAGGAGATGAGGAAGAGACGGATGCTGTGGTGTCTCAAGTGCTGGATGAACTGGGCCTGCAACTGGGTGAACAATTGGGAGATCTTCCATCTGCTTCGGGCTCCCTTTCTATAGCTGGAGGAGCTGGTGCACAAAAAGCTCAAGCTGTGGCCGCTGGTGGAGTAGGTGGTGGTGGAGCTGCTGGTGGAGGCGGAGCTGGAGGTGGCGGTGGAGGTGGCTCAGGAGCTTCCGGTGGCAGTGGTGCCTCATCGCCCATGTCTGATGCCGATGCGGATTTGCAAGCGCGCCTGGATAAGCTGCGCAAGGATTAAGCTACTCCTAAGAACCACTGCCTGCCCATTTTATATAAGAGCCACCACCAGTTTGTATCCCCCAGAAAGCGAATGTTATATTAAAGAAGAGAATGCTTGTGATTTTCGTGCCCTGCGTGTTTGAAAAATCGATGAGTAATTACCATTTACAACCAAAAATGGGAAATACTGGGTAGTGCAGCAATTACCATACTTAGATACATTAAATTCGCAATACTTGTTACTTTAGAGATATGCAAAAATTCGGTATTTTAAAAGATTTAAACATTTCATCACTGACCTCAATTAAAATAAACGCATTTAGTTATTTAAAACTTCAGCTGTAAAAGATACCTTATCTGGATATAAAATAATATCTTTTGCAGGCGTCAAAGAATACCTAACAATAACACTTGTTTAAACAATAGTGATAAAATTTCGCCTTTTTTTTGAGTGACTTATTTGGACAGGTGATTTCAATAGATTCTGTTTATTGCTTTTTATATTTTCTTATTTTGAAAAACCACAAAATCAATCAATTTTCTTAAATAAATTACAAAATATTATTATTCCTGCATAGACTTCAGAATTTGCTAAGTGTCCTTTACAAGATACTGAAAAATATGTGTACCTCTTTCCTTAATTGGGTATACTTTATGTATCTTATCTGGGTGAAGAAAATTAACCTTTTCCATTACTAGTAACAAGCCTATATTTGTGGAGGAGTACAGATGAGGAATAAAGATAGCACTACACACAGAATCGGAATATGAGCATGAAATCTAGAAACCGCCGGCAAGGAATATCCGTTCCACTTCTCCGAACACCTGCTCGGCATCCGGACTGGCATCGATTCGTTTCACCTGACCGGCGCCCTCGAAAAACTTGATGATGGGCAGCGAGTCATTGTTGTAGGTTGAAATTCGCTTCTTGAGACTGTCCATGTTGTCGTCCGTCCGCCCGGAACCACTCTGTCCACGGCCAAGACATCGCTGCACGCACACATCCTCGCTGCAGTCGAAGAACAAAACGAACTGGAAGTCCACCTTTTCGGACATTTGGCGGTTCCAACCGTCCAAGTTATCCTGATTACGTGGAAAGCCATCGATGAGGAATCGCGACTTTCCTGAGGCCTTCATGGCGTTCTCCAGCAGCGAACACGTGACCTCCACGGGCACAATTTTGCCATTACGAATGTAATCTTCGATGAGGTTACCGAATTCGGAACCCTCCCGCGAACGCTCCTCACGCAAAAGATCTCCAGCCGAGAGATGAGTAAACTGGAAGCGATCTACTATTTTTGAGCACTGAGTTCCCTTTCCGGCACCTGGGCCTCCCAAAACGAAGACAACCTTTGGCTTCTCTACGCTCATGATTCCGATTTTGTAAGGTGGTTGCGTTTGATTACCGGGGGTGGTGGTTATGAACTTTTGGCTAGCCTTGGAATGTCGCAATTGCGGATGCGTCAGTGGTAGAGTTGACAATACGGCTCCTGGTGACCTGCAATCGATGGCTACCGCTCTCAATGCCGTTTGTGCCAAAGCCCGCCACATCGACGAGTGAACTATGGGCTAATTGAGTTGGGGTTTGTGTGTATATCGACAGTATTTTCCACTGGAAACGTAACACTCTGTGACGTCACGCACAAGCGCAGCTGTTCCGGCCAGCATGCCTTACCCAGCACTGGCGCCGATTTAAGCGGGAAAATGCACCGAATTGATTTGCATGACATTTTCTTCCGGTTATAAACTGATAACTATTAAGAAGTTATTTAACAATTTTTATTTCTGTTGTAAAATTATTTATAAAAGTTATTTTTAGTATAAACCATTAAAAAACATATTTTCTAAAAACTTTTTCATATTTTTTTTTTTAATGTAAAAGTTAACTTATGATGGATGACTTTTAATTTTCTTAACAAAAATGAAACAATTTGTTATGCACCCTTTAAGTAAGGCTATCAAATTAGCTGCGCTTGGTTGTTTTGTATTAAGTCTGCCACTAGTTGGTAGGGAATAATATGCTGAGAACCGGCCGCCATGTCCACCTCCTCGTCATCAACACCCACGATCACAGCGGGCACTGAAATGGGAACTCGGATTTAAAAAGTTATATTAAATTAATGGTAATTGAATATATACCCGCTACATTTGCCTTCAGGAAGACATGGCTCATCATGTTGGGCGTTACAATCCTTTGCTCCGATTCACCTCTCTGCTGATTGGGCATATACTGGGTGGCCACCTTGTTGAAGTACTCATCTACATTATTGGCAAACTCTTGGGCAAATTTGGTCTCTTCGGGTGACAGGCGTTTGTCGTCTGCCTCTCGACTCGCTTCCTGGTTCAGGATGTGCTGGGTAAAGTTTTCAATCTTTTGGAGGCGACAGCGCAGATAACTAGCCATTATATACCGCACCCTCTCTAGTTCCATAGAGTGCACCACAGCTCGGAAGTCGTTTTTGTCCAGGTCGCGCATCTGCTCCTCCATGTGGGCCACCTGAGAAACCATCAGTTCCAGCATATCTGTTTGACTCGGCAGGATTTCGGGTGCGCACATTTCGTTGATCCATGCCGTCTCTAGAATTTCTAAAACCTTTGAGAATGCTTAGTGGTTTAATGACAGCTTTAGGATCAGCTTACCTTCTGAGCGGTTATCTGTTCCATATCATCGTCATCCTCTTCCTCCAATCCTGCTCCATCGCTAACGTCGATTTCCAGTTGGGTTTCTGGCACATCTTCGATATCCGACATGGTTTTAGGTGTATTTGTTTATTTTGGTGACTTTTTGGCGCAATAGTTACGACTCACTGGGAATGTTTCAATACTACATTTGTACGTTTCGCAACACTGTGTTAGGTCTTTAATATGGTTTAGATATATGATATTTTATGTAACATTTGATAAATAACTAAAAAGCCACAATAATAAAAAATAAATTTAAAACTTTTTATTTAACTTTATATTAACCTGATAGTTACGTCCAGCGAATGGCAAACAATTCGTTTGCTACTCCCAGCGAATGTCAAATGGTAAAGCAGCACATGCGATGGCAGCCGCACAACAAACAGATTTCCAAAAGAATTTTCGCGTGATTGTAGAGAAGATCTTCAACCACTGGCAAAATCTTCGGCTGGCGGTGGAACATGGCATGGGCGGTCGCAATGGCCAACAGGTGGGTTCATACTAATTCATAAAAGAGGTACATTTCTAACCTAATCTCTATCAATTGCCAGGTGGCCATTGAAATCATGGACTACACCTATCAGTATTGTGTGTCCAATGAAAATATCACCCAAGGCGAGTTACAAGAAGTCCTTGAGGAACTGATGGACCAGGAGTTTAATACCCTCTGTGACGACGACTCCATTCCGGAGATCTGTCGGAATCTCCTTCGTTACAAGCTGCTGGCCCAGCAGAATCAATATCCACAAATAGAGGCAGAATTGAGTAAACTTCCTGCGGGCAAGGAGTGGTTACGTCCCGATGTCAAGATAACCTACACACCCGTAGATGGGGACTCCTCTTCCGATGAGGATATGGATGATGATGAGTCGGACGATGATGAAATGGGACAGAACGACGAAGACACTCCCAGCGGCAGTGGCAGGATGACGCGTTCGCAGACGCGCAAACAGCAGGCCGATGAATTCGTGGAGCCTGAAGAGGGCTGGACCACTGTGCGACGAAAATGACTTTCTTAGGGATTATTAAAAAGAAAGCTGTTAGTTTTTTAGTTGTAATATGCTGTATTTACTTCCTGGAGGTCCAGAAAACGTAGGGGTGCAATGGGAGCACGTGTCACAGGTTGGTGGAAGCTCCTGCAAAGGTTGCAGTTAACTGGTGAATCCTTCTTAAACCGGGGTTCTTCATTTTTCTTGCTTTTTTGCAATTGCGACCAGGACGTAAATTCTGTACCCTTGGGTAGAGCCAGCTTAGGATCGACCACTGAGGCGATAGAATCCACATTCACTGTCATCGAGAGATTTATAGCCGGGTAGATGAGAAAGGCAAAAAACCATGCGAAGACCAACACCAGAAAAGGCACAAATACAGCAAAATACTTGTCTGGCAGATAGGAATGCAATCCAAATTCCACGGGTAGCAAGGCCCACGCCACGTAGATGAAAAATAGGACCGTAAACAGCATATAGAAGGCGAATCCATAAACCGCTCTATGCGGAGTCGGAGCCGGACTGTGTTCCGGCATTATCGTTGCTCTCAGGGATCACTTTATCGTCAGTAGGATCACCGAACTGCTTGATGGTGTCTTGGCAGAGGAGCAGGCACTCGAAGAAGGAGGTGATGGCCGTGCGCAGATTCTTTACTTGATCAGCTTGGAAATGAACCACAAGGACATCGTCATCCAGACTCAAAGTTTTCTGTACGAAATTCCGGCGCGGTTCCTGGTCGACACTGAGCACTTTGAATGCAATCTCAGCTAATCGTGGAGTGTCAAACGGCACTCTTATTGTGCTAATAAATAAACTATTGTTTAATTTCAATTAATAAACTTATTTCATGACTAAACTTACGATTCATTTGGTTTATTAACAATTTGTGGCATTATAAAGTTTTTTAGCTAATGCACTCGCTCACATGTTAGTGAAAAACGTGAATGGCAAATAGACAAGAAGAAGCATTTACCGGTTGTTTACGTTCTAAACAGCTGTTTATCAATAAAAGTCAAATATTTAAAAATTTGAAGGTTCAGTAGAATTGGTTTTAATATAACAATCTTTAACTATAACATGAAAGAAAAAATGGAGTACTGTTAAACAGGTTTCCATCATATCGTGCAGGCTTTCCAAAAAAAAAAGTTTTATATTACGGAGAATCAAAGATTTTCGAATTCAATTAACTTGAGTTTAAGCTTTTTCTATAAGGTGGCAATTGAAACGTTGTGTTAACTTCTCCAGTAGTTTCTTTATTACAAAAATCAGCCCGATGTCAACGCTCCAAGAGGATCCCTCGATTTCATGGGTCCGGTTTACTTCTTGGGCCTGACGGCTCCCTTGGGGGCGGGCTTCTTGCCAACGGCCTTGGCACCTGGCTTTCCGGCAGTCTTACCCGCTGGCTTCTTGGCGGCGGCCTTAACCGGCTTCTTCTCCACAACCTTCTTGACGGGCTTGACCAAAGCTTCCCGCTGGCTCTTCAGCGCCTTGACGATCTTCTGCTCTTCGATAAGGAAGGCACGAACGATCCTTTCGCGCAGGCAGCTGTGGCACAGAACTCCTCCGTAGGTCCTGGAAACAGTCTTCAGACGCTTGGACATCCTAGGACGCTCACTGGGTCTGGAGGGTGTGATTCCATGAAGCTTCTCCTTGCACTGACCACAACGCGGCACAGTGGGGTTCTTCTTCACGTACTGGTACACCAAGCGGCCTCCGGGAGTACGCACACTGTAAACAAATACATAAAAAGACTTGTTGATCTAGTAGTTCTATTGGAATCTCGCTACTTACATGCGCCTCTTGTTGGAGCGTGTGTTGTACGACAGACGTCGCCTCAAAGTCAGTCGCTGGACCATTTTGTGTCTGCTAAATCATATTAAACACCCAGAAGAATTTCCATTTCCATAATATTCATAAAAGATATAGAAAGATACAAGCAGAGGATCATAAGTTAGTTGCCATTATGTAGAATAAATACTTCTGCAGCATTATCTAAGCTATATAAAAGCTTTTTGCACTCAAAATAATAATTACAATTAAAACACAAACCTCTCCGGAAATCAAAAGAAAGAAGAAGAGAAATGAGAGGTCGACTAAAAACGATTTTTATTGACTGCTATCGATATTATCTAATGATAGAGCTGTAGGTAATTTTTTCTAAATATTTATTGGTCAGAATATGTTTAATTATTAACCCACTTTGAAAATAATTTGGTGACTATAGTCAAAATAACTAATGATTTTAAATTTGTTTATTTTTAAAGTAGCCCTGAAGAGAGGTCACTTGTAGAATTGATCGATAGCCTGTTGCTTATAGGAAAATCCCATCTCTAGACATTCAACACGCGCTTGATTTTGTAAATAAACTTAGATTTTTAAGTAAAACATGAGTTTTTTAAAACCCAAGAGCCACATAGAGAAAGGCGATGTAGTGATACTGTACTTAAGTGTTAGTTCAATGCATGCCATTGAAGCGGTTCCGGAAATTATTAATAAAAAGGGCGAAACGATACCGCACATATTCCAGACAAATTATGGCTCTTTAAAAGTTGAAAGTGAGTTCGAAGTGCTTCGATTTTAAACCATTTCTAAATTAAATCTCTATTCCAGATATTATAGGCGTAGAGTATGGAAGTCGGGTGGAGCTCTCCAAGGGTTGGGCCCATGTCCTACAACCCACACCTGAGCTATGGACCCAAACTCTGCCACATCGCACGCAGATTATATATACCCCCGATATCAGTATGATAATCCATCAATTAGAAGTACGACCCGGTGCGGTGGTCATTGAATCGGGTACAGGATCAGGATCTCTTTCGCACTACTTTCTAAGAGCACTGAAACCCACTGGACACCTGCACACCTTCGATTTCCACGAAGCTCGAGCGGATCAGGCACGCGACGAGTTTCGTCGACATGGAATTGCCGACTTCGTCACCGTCTATCACCGAGATGTTTGCAATAAAGGCTTCGGTGAGGAACTGGATGGAAAAGCCGATGCGGTCTTCTTGGATCTGCCCGCACCCGATCTCGCTGTGCCGCACGCCTTCAAGGCGTTGAAACTGTCCGGTGAGTGGCCAACATCGCGTTGACAACTAGTTGTCAGCGCCCTTTTGCAGGCAATCCGGCAATCAGGCGGATATGTTAAGTTAGCAGTGATGGCAAGGTACATTTTGTCGTTTCCTTAGTTAGGTACAACATTCGGGCTAAAAAAGCTATCAAGATGAGGGTCATTAAATCATAAATTTCTTTTGTGAATTATTGTACCAATTTTACTTTTAGTTTTTATTTATGTTTTATGTTTTTTAAAAGAATTTTAAGTTATTTGTTCCTAGTTGAGAAAAGGGGTACTAAACCTATCGTAGTACCTCACCACTGTCGGTCAGTCAGTCAGTTATCCATCCAGTAAGCCAAAGATCCTGTCAGCTAGTCAGTCAGGCTGCCATTTCACCGTGTTTGACATTGAATGAGCCCGCTTTTGACACTTGATGCAGCCAAGGCAGTCTGACCGACCGGGCGAGTTTGTCATTAGGCGGATGGGAACTTCAATTGTTCAGCAGGTTTTGCACCGGACCTATGGCACTACTGTATTGGAACCACAAATAAAAAGTCAGGCAAATCATACCATAAAAAGTTAGGGAAAGCTGAAGTGGGGAATCAAGTTTGGGAAAAACTAAAAATTTCTATGTAGTCACATAGTAACACTAAAATAGAATTAATATTTTTATGATTTCAATTTAATTATGGATTATTTATAAATTTTGTAAACCTGATTTTCCCTTTCCCATTTTCGCCAGGTGGTCGTTTTTGTTCGTTTTCGCCCTGTATTGAGCAATCGCAGCGCTGTATCCAGCAGCTGACCAAGCTGGGCTTTAACGAGATTGTCTCCTTGGAGGTGTTGCAGCAAGAGAACGTGGTCAAGACCCGCACGCTACCCGTCATCGATCTGGAGTTCCTTAAATTGCCCAAAATCGATGAGACGACGACGGCAGCAAATGCCGAAGAAAGCAAAGCGCCCAAGGAGGTGAAGAAATATCTGACCTCTAGTAATCCCCAAACGCTACCCGGTCACACGGGATTCCTCACCTTCGCCACTTTACCACCGAATATACCCAAAGCATGATGAATAAAGTTGCATTTATTTTTATTTGACCTACAATCCACGGGCTTCATCATTCATCGTAGGAATATGAGTAGGAGAACTCCTCGAAAAACTTGCGTTCGTTGGTCCTTAAAAATCCGCAATGGTAGCATCGCTGCTGCTTCACTTGCTCGTGGGTCTTGCGATTCCAGGACTTTCTTTCCGGCGCCCAAGGAGTCCGTGGCTCTGGTATGGCTACTTCGGTCCGCTCCGGATTTCCACTGCAAGTGGGACAACGACCCACGACTGTTGGCTTGGGTAGCATTCCATAGATAAGAGGACCAGGCGGTTGTTTTCCGTAAATTGTTACGATTTCAGGGAGGCTGGAGTACGGGCGGGTGGAAAACAGCTTCTCTCGGTTGAGAAAACTGAAATAGTGAGTGCAAAAAGAAATGTTTAATGTTTTGAAGATGACTAAATGGATAAATGGTATATTTTTTTAAAATTTTAAATTTAAATTAAAATAGCTTCAAGGTGGCAACGTTTGTTAATTATTTAGATTTCAAAATATGTTGCTAAGAACGAAAAAAACATATTCTAATATTAGGAAAATTAGAAAGAATAGGGTTTATGAGTCTCTTTCTGTGTAATTTTTAAACCAGAAGTCTATTCACTTGGGTCTTGGCTCCAGCCAGAGGTTGTTGATGCGCTTGGTGCGCATGATATCGCCCAGTTTCTGAAGGAGCCTTAAGTTCTCCCTTTCGATCTGCTGCTGGCGCTCCCGCTCGACCTGCTGTTTCTTCCACTTCCGCTGTACGTGCTCGTGGGCGCGCGGCGAGTGAGTGTCAATGGCTGGGCGGGCGGACATGACCTTCTCGCGGTGCTGAGCATACCGCAGTTGCTCCCACGGCTGCTGCAGCAATTTGTCGCGTCGTGAGATCATCTTCGGTGGTTTTTCGTTGGGCAAGTGTTGATGGGCTAGTGGTTTTTAACTGTTTAATTCTCCTCGAAACACCTGTGTTTGCCACAACAAACAAACAAACTAGTTGGTGTGCGTCCATAACAACCTTGCCAGGACAACGGACACTCAACGAATGTTGCACCATCATGCTGGGATTAAGTTCAACAACCAAATAGCCGAACAGCCAAAGAACTCCAGAAAGAAAGATCCAGGCGGCGGCCGCTTTGCTCAGCTGTCCGCCGAGTTGTCCATCCGCGCAGAGTGACATCTCCAGTGACTCTTGACTTGCAAATTTGCAGGCCACTACCAGTGCGGTTGTTACATAATTCTGGGCTGCTTCTGCTGTTGCTGCTGCTTGTTAGGTCTTCAGTACCGGCGAACCAAGGATTTCTGTGTAGTAGCCGCTCGACGAAAAACACCGGACTTTGGTGTGGCGGCAAAAGTTCCTTTCTTCTTTTTCAGCCGCAACTGATGTTGCTGCTGCTCATATGTCAACCGGCAACAACATGCAACCGGCAACAACTGGTTGCTGCTGCTGCCGACGCCGTTCTAAATACTCCTCGTTTAGTGTTTTGATGGATGTTAAGTGCCAGCCACATATTGAATTCAATCATTTTGCATCGATTGGAAATGGGTTCTCGGTAGTCATTCAGTTTTTTTGTCTATATTTCTTTCAAAGTACTTGAAACTTGCTTTGATCTATAAACTCTTTTTCTGTTCCTTGCTTATTAGCTTACATTAGGGATTATAACTAAAACTATAGACTTAAATGTCTCCAAAAGTATTGATATATTATTAAACAAAAATACAAATAACCTGATATTTTGTAACAATCGAATCGAATTTGAATTTTCCACTGAGCTATCAGTTACCAATCTAAACACTGTTTGTTTTAACTATTGGATTCAATCATTTTGCATCGGTTGATGTGGGTTCCCAGTTTGTTGTTTTTCTTCTACGTGCCCCCTGCCATCTAACCAAACCACTTGCAATTCCCATCGATCCTGTCAAAAAAAACCAACTTAGAGCAATTGTTCTCGTTTGAAGTTGATTAGCCCCCCGTTGTTGCTTACAAAATGTGTCTATTGTGTTTGTGGTTGCAACGGCCAATAGTGGGTAATGCGTGAGTTGGCAGTATTGGGGAAATTAAAAGGTCCACGCCGCATTATTGGCCAGTTAATTGGAAGATCGGTAATTTGATACCGACAATGGCAACGTGTTGCTTATCACAGCTCGCCTTGTTAAATGCCGTTGTGCCCGGTCAGTTCATCCGGATTATCTTGTTTGATGAATCGACAACTGTAACGAATTTCCACCATTCAACTCCGGAGGGAGTCTTGTCTCATGGGTCGGCGCTTTTCACCTTTGGCCGAAATCGCTGAACCGACCGCTTGACTCGTCACTAAACACCTGCTTAGTTGTGCATAAATTTCATTTGGATATGATTATTTTTATTGAAAGTTTTTTTTTTTTTCCATTTTTGCAAAATGGCATATAATTGTGCCGGCCTGGCTCTGTGGTCCCGCTGACGGGTGTGTGTTGTGACTGTGTGTGTGTCTGTGTGTGTTACCAGGGTGCAGCCTTACACCCGCCAGCAATATGGCCAGTTTCTCACCTTTAGAAGCCGGCCCCAAAGTCTCCGATAGCGAGGGACGAGCGCAAAATTGATGGCAGCGAGTGCCGCTTTGTAAGTTGCCAAGTGGTGGTAATGTGGATACCCTTTAAGTGTATATAATTAAGTATACACATGTTTAAAACAATTATTGTAATTGATTTGTTTGTTAGTGAACTTTTAATTCAGGAAACATGACAAAAACTTAGCTGATACCTTTCTTATTTGCTAAGTCTTTTACAATATGTTGTTAAAACCTTCATTAAATGCTTCTTATTTGTATTCCATATAAAATAACACCTTCTCTACCACTTTTGCTATTAAATACTCTATTTAAAAGTATTTACATTCAAAGTTTTTTTAGGTCCATTAACCCATTTTTGCAATTGACCCGACAAACCTGGCTAAAATATAGTGGAACCCTTTTGTTTTGGTTAGCACTCGCATATCATACAAAGTGTATACAGAGAATACTGGGACCTGGGTCCTGTCCATTTATTACAACATGAGCCGGCAGAACAGCAACAACTGCGGAAAGTCAGTTGAAAACTGCGATTTGCTGTCAGCTAATAATAATAATTTCGATATTGAAAATACGTTTTCTTAGTTAGGTACGACACTAAACGATTTCGCCCAGTCGGTCGTCGGCGGTGCAGCAGTGCTAAAAGTCAGGCAGGCCATAGCCACAATACCAGCATCACCAACTTGCAAGTTGACCGTTGGTGGGGGCGTGCTATTTGCTGCCGCTGCTTCTTCCACTCCGTCTACCCTTTTTTTTTTTTGTTTCTTTGCGGACAGGTGGTGTGTGGTGTCGATGTTGGCCGGATCGTCGACTTTTGGCTCAGACTGTGTGTTGCCCATTGCCCATTGCCCGTTGGTGTTCAATATGAGCCACAATTGAGGCATTTAATCGAGCATCTCTTAACACGCCTTGGAATGTTGACTTATTATTGGCCCAGCCAGCCATTCGTACTGCCTCCCCATCATCCTCCCCATCCTTCGTATCTCCATCTTTTTGGTGGTGCCTGCAAAAGTATCTGCGGTTCGGGCACAGTCAGCCATCCAGAGTTGGCCAGCCGGAGAGTCTTGCGTCGGTGTCAGGAGTCTGTAGTTACCTCACAGTAAAAGCGTTTATCATCATTAGACTCAATCTAAAGACGTTTTCGGCCGGGGTTATCATGTTGATTATGTTGTGTGAAAACAAATTACATTTCTTCTCGCCCTCTCGGGTTTTAGCACCACTTGGTGGTTCTTTTTCCGCTGCTGGCTAATTACGTAGATGATCGCTGATTTCAATTGTGCTTATTGACAAACCAATTGGCCAATGCCAAAGATGAGGCTTTTCTTTTCTGGTTTGGTGAAAGGAAAGTCTTTTCGTAGAGCCGTGAGAAAAAACAAAAACGATGAAGTCCAACCAACAGCAGAAAATATTTCCAATTTGCTAATGGCAATAATTGTTTCTACATTTTTTTTTAGATTTTCTTCAAGTACTTGGCTATAATTTTTTCTTTTATTTTTTATTCTTTTTATTTTTGCTTCGCACAGCTGTGTTCTATATAGTTGCTGTTGTTGCAAGTGGCATTGCCTGCAGCTGCAACAACAACAGCAACATCGGCGGCAACAGCAACGGCAAGAATAACTGCTTTAGCAAGGTTAAGTTTGGCCCTGACTGCCTGATTGTAGTAGCTAACACAGAAAAGGTTTAAAAAAGGAACAAAATTGAAAGCTAAATAGGAAATAATTATATTTGTAAGATTAAATACAACTTATAGTTTATAAGAACATAAAGTTTTGTTTAAAATTAATATTTACATATATATAGTATAATTTAAATATAATCTTCTCTCTCAAAAATAACTTTGTAGGTTCCTCTAAACATTTTGTAGTCCAGTGTAGTTCATTTGTCGTGGCGTGGAAAACCGAAAACTCCAACTCCAGTAAACATTTTATGCACTTTTAAATGCAAAGCATTATTGTAGTTGCTCCGATAACGTTATAATTTTTTTTTCAACTTTGTTGTTTTAGATTTTTGCCACACACACAGGCAGTCAAGAAAAACAAAAGCAAACACAGAGGCACCAGGGTCAATGTCGCACCTTGACGCCACAGCCAATATATAGATTTTGAAGCCGATTTTTTTTTGTTTTTGTCACAATTTATTGCATTCGGGTTGGAGTCGAGCTGTGTTTGCCATTTTTATTTCTTATTTGTATTATTTTATTTACCTCAATCTGTGTGGCTTGGCCGTTTTATCTTGTCAACGCAATCGCCTATGAGTGTTTCTTTTTTAATTAATTAACAACAATCGCATGGGTGTCAATGACATGCCTATGTGGCATACTTAGCTCCCATGGAATCAGATTTTAATGTCCTCGGAATGTTGAAAGTGAGTGGAAGGAAGTCGGGGGGCAAAACCAAATGCTCCTTCTGTCTTGAAACCACAAAGCAAAACAAAAAAAAATGTGCACAAAAAGTTTCTCCCGGCAGAAAACAACTTTGAGCTATGCAGAAACTACAACTCAACAGGTATGCAATGCCAATCAATAAACTTTCGCACAGAGAAGCCGCGGGGAGTTCGATTCTCAAAGCTCCATGAGAACTAATTGAGCCATTTCGAGGTCTATGATAATCGTTTGTGATGCAGCAGCCAGCTGGAACCAACTAGCATCCAACCGAAGACAACGCCTTCACATTATCCAATACTCAGACTATGTCAACTTGAAAGTGCACAAGGAAAAAGATATCCCTACATAAATAAAACATTTTAAAGTGTAGGAATAATAAATTTATTAATCTAAAATGGAAGTAAAACAACGATTAAGTGATTAACTGAAAGTAGAGCAGAGTAGAGATTAAAACTTCATAACTTTAGTTTATTTTTATATAACTTTTTTTATCAGTGCGCAATAAAATTAAAGTTTTGTTTATGAATGGAATTATACGACGACATTTAGATGGCCAAAAGAGCAGCTCGGTCGGGGCAACGCAGCTGGAAATCGAGAGGCCGCCGACTCGGCTCAGATTCACAGACACTTCATCTAAATGTCAGGCCATATCTAGCGACACTCGCAACACTCGAATTCGCACTAGCTGGGGATCGGATTGGTCTTTGGGACTTGGACTTGGACATCTCCTGGTTTGCTGGCCTCTAGTCTCCGGTCTCCGGTTGTCGGCTCTCTTTGGCGGCTGCTTTGGCCAAATCAATTGAGCCGCCTTCCCCCATAAACGAGCCAAAACAAATGACTCCAAGTTGCCTCGAGAGGCTGCGACTGTGAGTGCTCTGCTCTGCTCTATGGGACCCGGGGCAGCTCAAGATCATTAGTATAATTTAAGTAAATTAAACGCAGCGATTAGGTTCGGGATACAGCGGTCTGGGTGAAATAAAATAAAACCAG